CCCCACTCTGCCCTGCCCCGCCCCGCTCGGCCCTGCCCCGCCCCGCTCGGCCCTGCCCTGCCCTGCCCTGCCGCCCGCTGGTCCTGGCCGTGCCCTCCAGGCACTTTGCAGGATGACTTTGACGGTGAGCTCAGAGCTGGCGAGAGGAGAGGAAAATCTCGCCGGGCCTTGGGGATGGCAGTGAGGCGGCCGCTTCCGAGCCGGCCTCCGCAAGCCCTGCCAGGAGCTCGGGAGCAAAGCACGGCGGGTTCTGGTTCTCGAGGCAAATTTTTGCAGCTTTAAATAATGAATAAATAAAGGAGTGAGTGAACACTCTGCTGGCATTAGGAGAGCGAGTTATTTTTGTCACTGTTTCCTCGCTGCGAAAGCTCTTTTCCAGATTACCTCATTTATAACTTTGCCCAGCAAAGCATCTTGGCGGTCGAGAACTGCCCATTATCTCCCTGCGGATCAGTCACGCCACCCTGTTTGTGCAGGACACCCCATGACCGAGGAGGCCCAGAAATGGGGGCCATGGGCGGGGCAAAATATGAACGAGCAACTTTAAAAAACAGTAAAGGGATTACAGCTTTGCAGCAATTTTGTCTTGGCCACGTGCCCTCCACGCATCCTGCCGACATCCACGTTCTGTGCCGACGAGGTGGAATCCAGTGGCGGCCCAATGGATTTATCCATGGAATAGCAGCCCTGGTTTGTGCGTCTTTCTCCCATCCAGAGGGCCAGCCTGGTGAAAAGATAAGAGCGTGGGGCTTGGGCTGCGAGGTCTCAGCTCCCCTGCTCCACCATGAAGCTCACAGGGTGACTTTGGGTCGGTCCCTGACTCTTAGCACAGCCTACCTTGCAGGGTTGTTCTGAGAATAATGAAGAGAAGGAAGACCACCTGCAATGTTGCATGCTCCTTGAGGGAAAGGGCTAGGAAAAATGGAACTGAACAGTGTTTCTGAGGGTCTGTCTATGGGTATCTCCATTGGCTCTTTGGACTACAAATTGACCTGGTTCCTGCAGATGGGGAATACATGGCTCAGCAGAACCGAAAAAGAAAAAGATCTCGGAGTGACTGTGGACAATAGGCTCCAACAGTGTGATGCAGCCGCCAAAAGGGCATGTGCTATTTTGGGATGCATTAACAGAAGCATTACTTCCAAATTACAGGAAGTAATAGTTCCCTTCTACTCCTCACTAGTCAGACCCCATCTGGAATCCTGTGTCCAGTTCTGGGCACCCAGATTTGAGAAAGATGCAGGAAAATTAGAAAGGGTGCAGAGGATGGCAACAAGGATGATCCAGGGATTGGAAATACTGCCCTGTGAGGAGAGACTGAGAGGAGTGGGCATGTTCAGCCTTGAGAAGAGAAGAGTGAGGGGGGCATGGTACCTCTCTATAAGTACCTCCAAGGCTGTCCCAAAGAGGAAGGTCAAGGTCTCTTCTTGCTGATGCCACAGTGCAGGACACGGAATAATCAAGTCAAGTTGTGAAACCCAGGTTCAGGCTGGACATCAGGAAGAGCTTCCTCCCTGTCAGAGCAATAGGGCAGTGGAACCGGCTGCCTGGAGAGGTGGGGGGCTCTCCCACACTGGAGACACTCAGAAAGAAAGTGGGCAGCCTTGTGAGCGGGGAGGTGTGACCTGGTGTCCTGCAGGAGCAGGGGTTGGACCTGGTGGCCTTCTTGGCTCCTGCCAGCTCTGCTATTCTATGATGAAGGAAGCTTTAGCCCAGTGAATCTAGAAATGAAGAAGGCCCTCGCCTGAGAACATGGATCTGTGCCATCTGCTCCTCTTGCCTTATCCTTCTTGTAAGCAGCAAGACTGCTCCAAGTAGCTGAGCGAATTCCGCGGGCAGGCTCTCCTGCTTGAGGGGAGCCCTGCCAGCCCCTGCCGTGCCCTGGAGAGTTTGTGCAGAGCTGCCTGGGCCCGTGCGGGCTTGGTCCCACGCCCGGAGCCTCCTTCCTTCCCCCCTTGCACGCCTGTGGGCAGGGGCAGGCGGCATGTGCTCCAGGTGCAGCGGAGAGTGGAGCGCCGGGGCCGAGGGGTGGCAGCCTTTGCCTGGCCCCGCCCCTCAGAGCCCCCCCTCCAGCAATGTGCCTCCCCTGGGAGCATTCGGTGGCCCCTGGCTAGCTTTGGGTTCTGGGGCCACTCCGCCCCCCCCCCCAGCTTTGTCGAGGTACCTCCAGCAGGAGGCCAGGTTGCTCTACCCGGAGGGCCGCTCTTCCGGTTCGCTCACGCCTTTTCTTGGTAGAGCCCCTGAATTTGATTCTTCAGTGAGGACAATTCCAAAGGGATTCAGGAGTGACAGAAGGTCCCAGCAGGTGTCTCCAGATGACCGCGATGACGCCCTCCAGATCGGGAGTCAGGAAGTTCTTCGTGCGGCTCAGGCAGAATCTTGAGCGCATTATTTTGTGTCGCGCACTCGGCTGATTGGGGAGAGATCCTGCCCCCCCCCGTGTGGCAGCCTTTCACGTCCTTGAAGAGTGCCTTTCGCATAGCTAGAAGAGCACCCGCTGATCTCCGTTTCTCTTGCCTTCGCTCTGGCTGGTGTTTCTTGGGCTGCCAATGAGGCTGCTCCATTTCATCACTCAGAGCAAGTGGTTCCAAGAGGGTTTCTCTTCCCTCTGTCAGGAAGAGAAGAAAGAGAAATCCAAGGACAGTTGCACTCATAACAGTTCCCACGGGCATGCACAGGTGCTGTGGCGACTGGTCTGATGCAGCAATTGGGAATTTCTTGAATAGTGCTTGGCACGTATTTCTTGAATGAATTTACAGTTGTTCTATGCTGTCTGTCCCTTTTCCTAGCTTTTCACACTCGAGATAAGTAGAACAATAAGTGAAACAGGAATATAACACATTATTTTAAGTGTGTTTTTTAAATAAAAAATCTACTGAAAGCAGCAGGAACAACAGAATGGAGGGATAAAAAATAAGCAAAAGCACAAAAACTCACTTTTGACAGCACATTGCGCAGCCTGGCAAGCAGGTTTAGTTTGGCCTGGCGCCAAAGACTCCTAGCTTCATCTGCCCCATAGATGATGCCACCACCCCTGGTCACCCACCTGGCTCGGGGGGCGTCACTGGTGAGGACTGTAAAATTCAGAGCCGAATGTGGGGAAAAGCAGCCCTCGAGCAGCTGTGGGGCGGTTCAACAGCAAACCTGGAGCTGAGCCTGAATACCGCTTTACTGTTGTTGCTTAGAAGCTGGATAGGGGTGTTTTATTGTTGTGGTTTTATTTTCCAAGGTCTGCACATCTTCCCTGGCGTTTTGGGCTGCTTTTAGTGTGTGCTACTGTGCAAGCTCTCCTGGAAATGTTTTGTTATAGGGCGGCACATAAACGCCCTAACTAAAGGAATAGAACCGGGTGGCACTTGACGTTTCCAGACTTTCTCTCCCCAAAGGAGCTTGGATGTCTGGATCGGGTTCAGCGATGCTGCAAGTCCGAGTGCGCTGCAGCAAGAAGAAGGGTTCAACCTGCAGAGCTGCCAGAACTGGCTTCCCGGGGAGCCCCACCCGTCCAATGCTGACCACTGTGTCCGAATGGGCCCTGCCGGCCAGTGCAACACTGACCTGTGCATGGCCAAGCACAGCTACGTGTGTGAGCACAGGCCCCCAGGTGGGTTCCACGGAGGCGCCCTCTCCGCAGGCAGCTCTCTGCTCCTGCAGCCGTGAAACAGAAGCGTTCCATGCCGGCCACCCGACAGTCTGCCCAGCCATGCAAATGCAGCACGTGGACGTGGCTCCTCTCGTTCTCTGCAGCCTTCTTTTTGTTCTGTGTGATTTATTCGGATTGCTTAGTGAGGAGGGGAGAGCACGGAGCCGTGCACGGGTGGCCCTGAAGGTCCTTTTACAGTCTCTGGAAATGGAAGTCTGTTCATTTTCTTTTGAATCAGGTTGGATGTCAGCAAGGGCTTCCTGATGGCTAGGGCCTCGGATATGGCATGGGCTTCCATGGGGGTGGTGGGCCCCATGGATGAGGGTGTTCAAGGAAAGACGGGACACCCACATGCTGCCTGTGACATGCGCAGAGCCGGCTGGGGCCTGTGGATCAGACTAAATGGCCCAGGAGGACCCTTCCAATTTGCTGTGTTTCTGTGAATCTGCAGGGATTGGGCAGCAATCAAAGACTTGATTTTTGTCTCAGATATTCTAGTTCTGCTGGTACAGAAACATAATCATCATATAGAAATTAAATAAATTTTATAGCTCTGCTGGAGAAAGAAGTGTTCATGGTTGCATTGAAGGAAACTGGGTGGTGGGGATGGGAGGAAATGTGTCAAAATGCTTGAACAAGATGTCCCAGTGGGGCTTTAAGAATAATTTGGGAATGCGCATTCGGATGCAGGCCCTGTCTCACTGTTGCGTAGGAAGCAACGGGATAATCTGGCAACATTTGAAGTAGGACATGAACCCTATTGCATGTTTCTCTGTGGATTTCATTTGTGCTGGTGGTTCCTAAAAGTGAGGAAGCCCTGTAGTGTAAGTGCAGATATTGCCAACCATAGAACAGAAAAGAGGGAATTTAAATGTGTGGGTTTTATGGCCTCTGCACTTACCCCTCACAGACTAACTTTTCTTCCCTTCCAACTTTCCAAACAGAAATCCATTTAAATGCTCAGCACTTTTACCTGGGTGCTTCTGCCTTCGACATGCCTGTGGCCATGAGGCATGTCACCGAAAGAGAAGAACTGTCTGCTCCATCAAGAACCGTGGAGGTGAGGAATGCCACAGGCTCCTGACAGGAACCCCCAACCCTGGGACCTGGTGGCTCTTTGCAACCTTTGGGGTTTTGTTTTCCAGACGATGGTGTTTCCCGGTTTGCACTTTCAACAGGAGAGCCTCTTAGTAGCCTTGGAGTTTGTGACCCAGCCGCTGCATCAGACTGTCCAGGCCCGGTTTCAAGTGCATCGACCAGCAGGGACCAAAGGTGAGGCGCCATTTTGTGGCTGGCCAGGAATTCTTGCTGGTGTGAATCTGAAAGGAATGGGGTGTCCCATTTTCAGTTTTGTATCAAAAAGCCCTCAGTGGCTTTCTAGGGGGAAGAGTGTGGTACTCACCAGCATAGTCTTCCTCCTCCTCTTCCTGGAAAAACAGTAGGCATTGGAGAGAGCCTTGTAGGCCTCTGAGTCCAACCTTCTGATTGATGCAAGAAATGTAGAACGTGGAGCATCTGTAACAGGTGGGCTGCCTGGCCTCTGCTTCCAATGCTTCAGTGTGGAGCAGCCTGTCCATGCCTCCCAGGGCCACTGGTTTCATCGTTCAACTGCTCTTCCTATCCAGACTTTCTGCCAAACGTTTAGGCACAAGCCGCCCTCCTGGAACATAGATCTGTTCCTGCTTCTGGAACAGCAAAGGATAATTCTGTCCTCTTACAGAGCTTGGAAGAATCTTCCTAGTCCTTACCTACTGTCCTTGCCCTGAAATGCTTCCTTGACTTCTTCCATTTGGGTTTCAGAAAGAGAGATTTAAGCTGGCTAGGGAAGAATTCTCATGATGGTTGAAGTCCTACTTGGCTTTACTGGCTCATAGGAAACACGGCTTCCTTCTTCATAGTCCCCGTGCATAGTCCCCTGTGTGGGCTCTGCACCTGTATGGAGCCGGTGGCCAGGACAGTTCTGCAGGTGAACAGTCGCTTGGGTGGGAGCCCCTCTCCTTCCTGTGCCCTGCAACCTTGGAGAGGGGCTGCCACCCGTTTCGGCCACCGGCATGCCCAGGTCAGCAGGCCCGTCTCCCCTCAACTCGAGCCTTGTTTTCAGCTTCTATTACCCTTTTCTCTCTATCCCCTTCTCCTCCCTGCCTCCCTATTCAGCCTCTTTTTTATCCATCTCTCCATGAACCTCATTCTCACGCTTTACTTGTGTGCATGCGTGCCTCCTTCCACGCTCTGTTCGATCTCGTGTGTGTCTCGACCACTCCTGCCTTCCTTCTCCGCTCTCTGCCTTCCTCATCTACCACGATGGCATCAACGGCTCCTTTTGGAAAGTGCACCCGTTGTGGGGGTCCACTCCCCACACAGAGAGACCATCCCTGCTTTTTCTGTTCAGGTGAGGGACACATCCCTGCATCGTGCTGGCGTTGCCGGGTCTTCACAAGACAGGCCTGCAAACTGTCTGCGTCGCCCACAGCCACGTGTCCCCAGGCAGGGTGTTTTTCTCTGTCGCACTTCTCTGTTTCAACTTTTGTCGGTAATCCGGCAGGGATTTCTTCTCTCCCTTTTCAGAAAAACGTATTTAGCGAGGGCAAGAGGGAAAAGCCCACAGCAGCTTCACACAGGTGCAGGTAGCAGGCGTCTCCGATGAAAGCAGGGCTCCAGAGGCTGTGGTAATGTGTGTTTCCTGGGTTCCATCCTCAGGGTGCAAGGTCGGGAATGCCACCAATCCAGCATTGGCCTCCAAAGGGAATGAGTCCTGGATCCAAAGGGGCTGTCCGGAGGAGCTCCAGTGGTGTCATTCCACCAATACTTGCCTGCCGATAGGAAGCTGCCCCCACCACTCAGTTGCCCACATCTCCACCTCTGTCCCTCGCCACTGTGAAGATCATTTTGGGGAAGATGGGCTGAAGGAGGTGCTTTTCTCAGTACCACCCGGTCCCTCCACACCCTACCTCGTAAGTGCTGAGCGCCCGGCGGAATCCAAATGCAGCTCTGGTTGCCTGCTGCAGGGTGGGGGCGGCCTTTGCGTGCAACTGGTGTGAAGAGCAGAGCAGAGCAGAGCAGCAGAGCTGCTTGCCGGCTTGGGTGAGGCATGAGATAAGGAGCCTGAGATGCTCCAGTTTCGATCGGCTACTTCGTTCTGCTCAACCCAGCCTGCACTTCTCAAGTTGCAGGGACGCTGCCTCTGATCTGGGGGCAGCATGGAGCCATCAGGCTCACCAGCCACTGGCAACCACTTAGCGTGGCCTCCATAAGGTTGTCCAAGTTTTAAAGCCGTCCAAACGGGTGGTCATCACCTTGCCTTGCGGACAATTACTTCCCTGCCGCGTGCAGAAGGGCTTCCTCTGATCTGCCCTGGGCTCCCACCAGTCACCTGCATGGGATGGCTCCTCTGGATTCGGTTACTGGGGAAGGGAGAGAACCTTCTCACCAGGTCAGCTTTTCCCCACCGTCCCCTGCTGTGAATAGATCGGTATTGGCTTGCTCAGCAGACCTTCTGGGGCCAGTCCTCTGCCTCCGGGGTGCTGCAGCCTGGATCGTGTGGTCGATCAGTAGGAGGCAAGCAGGTGGATGGAAACATTGAAACAGAGCGAGTCAGAAGGGGCCTCCCGGGCCATCTAGTCTGACCGGCCAGCACCAACTGGCTCCGCTCACGACATGCCCACCATGTGCACGACCAGCCTGTCCTTGAACATCCTCACCGATGGGGCCTTAACCACCTCCCGGGGAAGCCCATTCCACACCCTCAGGGTCCCAACTGTCAGGAAGTGCTTCCTGGCATCCAAAGGGAACCTTGATTCCCTGAGCTTTGCTCTGTTGGAGCGCATCCTGCCTTCCTCTGCAGGGGAGAACAGATCCCTACCCACCTCCGTGTGACACCCCCTCACATACCTGCAGGTCGCCAACAGATGCCCTCTGAGTCTCCTCTTCTCCCTGTGGATAGATCACCACAGAATATTCCTGCAGATGGGATGCATCTCTCCTCAGTCTCCCGACCCTCCGCCTCAGGATGTCAGCAGGCTTGGACCAGGGCAGCTGGCACCCAACCCTTGTTCCTAAAACGCGGTTCAGAATTCCCCTACAGGCCAGGCGTCCCAGTGGCCCTTGCCGTGTGGACTGTGCTGGGGGCACCAGACTCACCTGCGCTCTCTGTTGCAGCTGCTTTTCCAAAGCAAGGAGACCATTACCAGCCCCAGCGACACCATGAGTATCCAGCACGATGCGGGACCCGGAGCTTTCCTGCTCTGCCACCCGGACCAGATGGTGCCCACCCGGATGAACTACTTCACCCTGAACTCTTCGGACTGGGAGCCGGGCTTCCCTGCCTCCCATGTTGCAGCCGCCTGGCAGAACGATTCTCTGTGCCTCTTCAGAGTCCTCTCTGCGACCGAGGAGACAGTGCCTTTGATCAGTCCGAAGAACAGAGGCGTGCAGGACTCTGGCCGCTATGTTGTGAGGACCACTGTAGACAACGGAGTCTTCTGGACCAATTTGTCCTGCGACTTCTGGGCTGCTTCACCCATTTCGGGGCTCCATGTCATTTACCCTCGAGAGCAAGGGGGGAAAATCTATGTGGAAACCAATCAGACTTGGCTGGTGGTAAAGATCCTTTCTGGGGTGAATGCAACCTCTGGCTGGCTCGGCGGGAGGCAGAGCTTCCCTTTCGAAAGGAGTTGCCCGCCGGCTGTCATGCCATTGGTGGCCGAGTGTGGCAGAGAGAGCAATGACACCTGGTTTTCTGTCATCGCCTTGGAGGGCATCGGGGGGAATGCAAGCACCGTGGTGCTGTGGGCAGAGAATGCCGTGAGCTCGCAGAGCGTCACTGTTGTCGTAAAGGCAGAGGAAGCGATCCGAGGCCTCCGCGCAACCCCAGACCCAGAAGCCAGAGTCCTGCTGGGTAACCAAGTGGTGAGTCGTCAGGTGCCCACGTGCACTGCAAGCATGCCTAAAGTCTGTTTAGGCTTTCATCCTGCCTTCATCCAAAATGCAGGATTTTAAAATGCCTGCCAGTGTTGGTCTGCAGCAATTCTAGCAGGAGTGCAGAGCAAAGAAGCAAAATCGCAGCAGGCCAAAAAACGCAGAATGGGACATTGGCATAAGCATCAGCTTCTGGGTCTTCCTTTTCCCTCCTTTTTTCCTTTTGCAAATCTCAGGTTTCTAGTCCTCATGACTGCAAACTAAGCTTGAAAGCATGCGAATATGTCTGCTGAAATCTTGGAGGCTAGAGTGGTAATTACATTAGATTTCTTGGCAGTTGAGACAAGCTGCATTGCCCTTTATAGCTCCTTGCTTCCCCTCCCCACAGTAACTAGCAAAACCTAGCAGGATATGCTGTGTAAGCAGAAAATAATGGAGAATAATTGATGAACTCTAAGAGAACTTTTCATTGGCTCAGGCAGTCTGCCCAAATCCAGGGAGACAGTCCAGTGGCACCCCCGCCCAGCTTGCCCCTACAGGGTTTCATTCATAAGCTCATTCCCTCCTTTTCCCAACAGTCTGGGTGTCTTTTAGCAGGAATAGCCTGTCAAGATCCACCACTGTGCCCCACCTGCCATCAACCCCTGTTTGAGGACAGTGATGCTCAGCAGCCGGCACTTCACCTGCGTCTGGCTAGGATTTGTGAAAAACTGCATGCAGGCACCTCTGCAGACTTGGTGCTGAGCACTTCCCCCTGTCGGTTGCAGAACTATGTCCCCAAGATGGATGCAGGATCGGACGTGACCTTTAAGTGGACCGTGGATGACAAGCCTTCCTTTTCTTTCTACAATGAAGTGTTCAGCGTTGTTTACAACACACCAGCTACGTTCAAGCTGTCGGTAAGCCGAGGGCTCCCAGCTCCAACTCCCTGCCTTCTGGCAGTGAAGGCAGGCAAACATTTCCCAGTAGTGATTGTGTGCAGCTGGTTGAGAAGCCGGGCTGCCAGGCTGCCAGTAGTTTCCTCGGGCGTCGCAAATCTTCGTTCCAGGCCTTAACTATGCTTGGTGAATCTGGCGGCGGAAGGGCAAAACTTACTCCCATTCGTATTCCACCTTTTTACCAGGGCTCGCCCGGCGCACACATGTCTTGCCTGTGCATTCGCCCTTTGAGGTGTGTCACGCCCTGGAAAACCACTGAAGGGATGGAACAATTCCTGCAGGGGAGGAGGGGGAGCCACAGAGCACACCCTGCTCTCAGAAAGGTTTAATGAGAATAGAGAGGAAAACCTGGCGGGGTTGGGCCCAGAATCCATCTCCCGCAGAATCTTTCCATCTGCCTGACTCTGGAAGAAGCTTCTGCTCCTCCAGCCACAGCTCCCCCCTTCAGACGGGTCTCCTGACCCTGCATGGTATTTGTGGGGGAGGGGCTGGGCGGGCTGCCCTGGGGGGCTGGGGCGGAGAAGCCTGCTTCCGCCGCTGCGGTGGGTCCCGTGTCCGTCCGGATCTGCTCCTCGGCGCTGACAAGCCCCAGGCCGTGCGCGCGGCTGCGTCCTTTCCACCCCGCTGAGGGAGCTGCTTCTCTCTGCTCTGCGTGCAGCTCACTGCCTCCAACCACGTCAGTAACGTCACCGTGGACTACAACATCACCGTGGACAAGATGAACCGGATGAAGGACCTGGTCGTTTCTGAGGTCCCACCACTCGTGCCCCAGAACAGCACCGTGGAACTGGCAGCCAGGGTGACGGTAGATTCGGCGGTGAACGTCACGTTCTTGTGAGTGTTCCCCCGTCACCTTTGCTGGTGGGGCGGGCGCCTCTTTCAAGCAGAATGGGTGGAAGTGGGGTGGCGATGTGCTCACACCCTTTGATAGGAAACAGTCCTGGAATAATCAATGTGCACGGAAGTGGCCTGGGCTTGAAAGCGTATTCACGGAATCGTGGCATAGTCGGGCTGGAAGGGGCCAGGAAGGCCATCAGGTCCACCCCCTGCTGTGGCAGGGCGCCTGCTTGCAGGCCTTGCTGATTTTGAGCTCTGCACAAGTACTTACCCAAATGCAGGCAAATCCAAGTAGAAGACCACTTGCTGGAATGATGAACTTAAAGCAGGGAGAAGTTGCAGCTATTCCAGTGACGTTTCATAGGAATACATGCAGGTTTATGAATAAAAACATTAATTTCTCTTAAAAAGTCCAACTTGTGGTAGCAGTTTTTGATGAAGTCTTCACTAATGAGTCTACACTGACTGGGTCTCAGACCTCGGCGTCTGAAGTCGATTTAATAAAACGGGACCGGTCGGCTCCCTGTCCAGCTTTCGGAATTGAGGGGGCAGTTTGGGGCAGAGCCGAGCAACCCTGTCTTCGCGCTGTGGCGCAGGTTTGCCACGGAGTGCTGCCGGGGCTCCACTGGCGCTCTCCTCAGCCTGGACGCGGCAGGCCCCGATCCTTTGCCACCTTGCTGCCGCAGAACCGACACAACGAGCCTCGGCCTGGGTTTGGCCAGACTCGCCGCAAGCTTTCCTCCCACTGCAGAGGAAAACCTCTGGACTGAAGCAGCCTCACCCTGCCAGTCCTCAGACAGCGTTGATGCTGCACCGAGAACCCGTTTGGCAGTTTGGCAGCTGATGAGGCTGGACGAGGGCACCTGCAGAGGTCTGTCCTCGGGCAAACCACCCAGCTGATGATATCTGGACAGCTTCTGCAGCTGAAAAGAATGCAGGCCCCACTGTGCTTTTTGAGCTCTGCAGAAACCCTGGCAGCAAACAAGGATTGGGATTGGGGAGACAAGGCAGGCCGTGTGGTAAGGGACACCGGCACTTCGGGAGGACAAGCCACCGTGCGTTTACTGGTCTACTAATGGGTGCACTTTGGGTTGTTTTGCAAGCAGCCCGGGCTGCTGTGAGGGATCCATTTTGTGGGGAGGCCTATGGCGGGTTCCCTGTGGTTTGCTTCTTGAGTGCCGGCCAGCTTTGCTGGGCCCTGCGCCTGAGTTTCTGGGGAGCATGCCCAGCATCCCTGGGGCACTCACCAGGAAGTGAGCCCCATGCTCTCCCTCTCCCTGAGGCGGAAGAAGCTGGCTCGCCCCGGCCTCACCAGGAACAGTGCTGCTGCCCCAGGAGTGGAGGAGAGCTGCTGGCTGCGTGGCCTCCAGGCCGCAGATGCTTGCAGATCCCCTCTTTCTCTCGGCTCGCTTTCCGTGACTGGGCCGAGCCCAAAGGGGCATCCGTGGTGCTCGAGGGCGGATTCTGCTAGGTCTCACCCTGACCCTCGCTGCTAAGCTGTGCACCGCACCTCCTAAAGGGTCATAGATTTGCAGGCGCGTTTGAACTTTTCTGTCATTCTGTAGCAGCAGAGCTATCACAGACCTTGTTCCCTTTCTTCTCGCTAGGTGGGACTTTGGCGACGGACACCAGAGTGCCGCCCAGTTCAAGCCCCCTTACAATGACTCGTTCCCTCGGCCAGGCCCCAGTGTCCATCAGGTCGTGCTCGGACACAGCGTATCGCATCATTACCAAGGACCAGGTGAGAACCCTTCTGGCATTTGGGATCCCATGCAACAAATCGGGTAGCCATTCCTCTTCCACGGAACAGATGCTGTATGTGTGCGCAGGAACTTGTGTCGCTATCAGGCAGGCCGCGAACTCTGTTGCGCATGCGCTTTTCAACCAGGTTCCTTTTCGCCTCCCCTGAGCCAGTGCATCCTGCTTGACCACAAGCGAGCCCCAAAAGCGTGCCTGCTGGGGCTGCCTCTTCCTGGGTCCTCTTGTGCATAAGATGTGCCCTTGACTTCTGTTCTGTGATTGATGCAGCATACGTTGACCTCGCATCAAGTATGAACAACAGTGACCCACTGTTTACCATAAGCATGATCTGTATTTACCTATTTGGGAATCTTGTGTGCCGCCCCATTTGCATAAGCCTCGGGGTGGCTTCCAACAAATAAATAACAATACAAATATATAAAAACTGGAAACATCCAGGCAATAAGTTAAAACCAATAAATAAATTAACAAATTAATTAAAATAACGTTTAAATAAAAAGGTCTTGGCCTGGTGCCGAAAAACAAATAATGATAATGGGTTTGCACAACATTCCCATTGATGGACGATATTTGGGAGGTAGGTTCTCTTCGAGGATCATCCCCTGTAACCTCCCGGAATGCATGGGAATTTCAGGAAGATCATATGGCACCATTTTCAAAAGTTTGTGTCTTGGAAAATACAGCAGATAGAAGAATGAATCTGGTGTTAATCCCATCCCATAATCTGGTGTTATATACCATTAATTAATGGTGTTAATCCCATCTGGTTTTAAGGGTCAAGGAAAACAGTAGGCATGTTACTGCAGCCGCCAAACCAATTGCAATTAGTCAGTGGATGTAGGATATGAGTTTCTCCAGAGAAAACCGTATTCTGCCTGTTCCACTCTGTCATTCAGCATTCCAGCACTGTTCAGCCTTCCTCTGCTTGTATTCCAGGTGGAATTCTGGAGCTGGGCTCTCACAATAATAAGTAAAAGTCAAAATCCTTTGCCATTTATGCTCTGGTGGAAAATCTGGGGAAAAATGGGGGAAAAAATCTAAATGCACTGTAAAAGTTTGTTTTCAAAGTATAAAAAACATTTTTAATTGTGCAGTTTTGCAAATAAAAATATTTGGAAGATGATTTGGGTAGGGAGCATTTTGCATTTATTTGGGTGAGGCTTTTTTACTTGAAAAACACAGAAGATTGGTTCAGATATTGGAACATTCCTTTAATTGTTTTTATTATGTACTTTTTTCTTGTAACTGTGATTGTCTACTGAGCATTTTAAAAGTGATCATAATACTTTAGTAAGTGAACCTTTTAGAGATTTTACTATATCATGCAGCACATCTGTATTACGCGTCAATGTAGTACACGTACTATAAATCAGCCGTTTAATCTCTGGATCAGCCAAGCTACAGAAACACAGAAACAGAGCGAGTCAGAAGGGACCTCCCGGGCCATCTGGCCTGACCTGGAGAATATTAAACTAGGCATTCAGTTGCAGATTCCTGCACAGGAGAAGAACAATGTTATCCCACCTGCCTCTGGGACTGTAATCCCTTGCAGGTGCATCCCCTCCAAGTGGCTCCTCTTGGGTTTTTTAACCTGGTTCCCTACCTAAAGTTATTGCCAGCTTAGAGGGAGTCCCATGGATTGCAACCTGAATGCACCTGGGCCCCGAAACGTGACGGTTTGTGAGCCTCCTGCACAGGACAGGAGGAGCAGCAGAGACGAGCCTCCCACACAGGCGTACAGCTGTGCACCATCCTCCCCTGCATTCTTCCTGGACAGGTTGTTTTACCACACAGAGGGTGCGACCTCAAAAGGACTCGTATTTTGGCTTCTGCATTCTGCTCCACCTGCCGAAACACCCTGCTTCCTAAGGGCAGCTGGCACGGTTCTTTCCATGTTGGTTGCAAGGGGCCAGAACGCCAATTCTCCTCTCCATCTTCAGAGCACTCCAGCATCGTACTGGGGAACGCAAAATATCCAGTGGCCCCACAGGCATGGCCCGGGAGCCACTGCATCGCTTTCTCCCTTAAGAATAGAACTTGCTATTGCATTGTTCTTATTCCTGCCGTTCCCTGTTTTCTGTCTGGAAATCTGGAGCTGTTTGGAGACAATCCATTGTTTGTGTGTTTCCTCATCTCAGCTTTCCTCAGTGCTGCCTGCAACTCTCGCAGCCTAATGGGAATATCTGCAGCTTCCTCTCACATTTGATCTTAGAACTCTGATCCTGCAAACTTTGCAACTTCATTACTAAGCCCGTCTTCCCCCAAGTTCTGCTCTGGGGCTGAAAGACCAAGGGAAGGGTTTGTGTATGAAGGTGGCCGTTTCCACTCTTGGGAGTGCCACATTTCCCGAGGAACAGAGTCTCAAAACGGTTTATGATCTGCAGTAATTGCTCTGCGGCTGTTTGTGGAGGGCCCCTCAGCACAGGCAGCACTGCAGCCACAGGCCACCCATCCCCTGGAATGTGCAGACATGCAGCGGTCAGCCTCCTGCACGCCGTCCTGTCCCTCCATGGTGCAAGGAGCTGCTGCCAGTTGATGAGTGGTCTTTGGTGCGGTGACTGAGGATGAGGCAGATTATGCTTCATCCCGCACTCACCCTTCTCAGGAAAGGGAGCTTTGTGCCCTCCTTCTGTCCCAGGGAGAAGGGAGAGCCTCTTGGGAGAGACTGTCCACCCTGCAAGGAGCAGACAGTCGATTCACTGGGAAATGCCAGAGTGGTTGCTAAGGACCAAGCTAGATTTTATACTGTGCTCAGGTGTGCTGAAAGCGCATGTGAGTCCTGTCAGACTGGGCATGGGTTTTGCAGCAGAGGAATGAAAGGGTGCTTTAAGTCTCCCCACCAGCCCTTCTTCCTGCCCTGCCTGCCTTGCTGCAAAGTGCCCCCTCCCGAAACTGCAGGGTGCCACTGTAGTTGGCGGCCATTTTCTCAGAGCACCTGCCGTGGTGGCAAATGAGAAGGAAGGGGAATGCGTGTGGGGCATGGCTGAAGATTTCTGCTTTCCCCCCCACCCCTCTGCAGGTGAATATCCCCTGACGGTTTCAGTCTCCAGTGACTCTGAGAACCTGACCTACTCGATTCCCGTTGAAATCTACACGTACCTGATGGATGTGGCCATGGACGTGGACACCGGCATTTTGGCGGTGGGCTACCCAGTCACGTTTGAAGCTCACCCTCTGCCGTCCAGCTACGGGGTCTCTTACACCTGGGACTTCGGGGACGGCACGCTGGCTTTCGCGGAAAGGCGGGCAACCATCGTCCACAGCTACAGCACCAGGGGGGTGTTCAATGTCAGTCTGACAGCCAACAACACCATTAGTACCCTGCAGATAGTCCAGTGCTATCGTGTCTTTGAAGAGGTGACTGGGCTGCAGGTGAGGGTGGATGAAGCAATAGAGCTGCGCACACCGGTTGAGATCAGTGCTTCCGTGGAAACGGGGGATGACATCGTTTGGATTTTTGATATGGGCGATGGGACCATTGTGGAGAGTTCCAGGCCTTCTGTGCAGCACATTTATTTAAAAGAGATGAACTGCACCCTAAATGTGACCGCAGTGAACCCAGTGAACTCTGTCTCTCAGACTCTGCCTGTCCAGATATTTGTGCTGATGGTTCTCAAGATTGAGCCTTCTTCTTGCATCCTTGAGCAGCCAGAGGTGCAACTCACAGCCTTTGTCTCCGGCAACCCTGAGGACTATGTTTTCGACTGGACGTTTGGGGATGGCTCATCCAATGTCACCGTGTACGGAGATCCAGTGGTGGTACATAATTTCACCCGCAGTGGCATCTTCTCACTGTCTTTGGTTCTCTCCAGCAAGGTCAACAAAGCCCAGTATTACACGGTGGTCTGTGTGGAGCCAGAAATCACCAATGTCACCCTGTTCATCAGGCCACAGTCTGTGAGGCTTGGCAATGAGAGCAAGTTCCAGGTCTCTGCCTTGCCGCCTTACCACTACCGTTACTACTGGGACTTTGGGACTAACGACTCAGCCAGGTTCGGTGGGACAGAGGTCAGCTATACCTACAAAGCGCCAGGCGTCTACTTAGTCATGGTGACTGTCTGCAACAACGTGTCCTTCAACAACGACTCTGCTTTGGTAGAAGTCCTCGAGCCGGTCGGGCTGGCCAAGATTGAGTCTAATGGCTCAAAGGTTTTGGAGCTGAACCAAGTCTACATGTTCTCTGCCAATATTAGTGGGACCAAGGTGAACTACATGTGGGACTTTGGGGATGGCACGAGCCAGCTGGGCAGGTTCATCACCCACTCCTACAACAAGAGTGGCACCTACAGCATCAGCCTGACAGGGTGGAATGAGGTGAGCTTCAGCGAGGCGAGGCTGAACGTCACCGTGAAGAGGCGGCTCCAGGGCTTGTCGATCAACGCCAGCAGGACTGTGGTGCCTCTGAATGGTTCTGTGAGCTTCACGGCCACGCTCCTCACCGGCACTGCCCTCCGCTACTCTTGGATCCTGTGCGACAGGTGCACCCCCATCCCGGGCTTCTCCACCATCTCCTACACGTTCCGCTCCATCGGGACCTTCAACGTGATCGTGACGGCAGAGAACGAAATTGGGTGTCTGCAGGACAGCATCTTCGTCCACGTCCTGCAGCAGATCGAAGGGCTGCAGATCACGGACGGTGACCTCCTGGACGACATGTACTTCCCCACCAACAAGACACTCCAGCTGCAAGCGGCGGTGAGAGATGGGACGAACATCTCCTACAGCTGGGCCGCCATGAAGGAAAGCCAGCCGGTGCAGGTGTCTGCTGGGAAGGTCCTCTCCCTGGTTGTTCTGGAAGCAGGGGCCTACACTATACATCTGAAAGCCACGAACATGCTGGGAAGCCTGGTGGTTAACAAGACAGTGGAGTTCATTCAGCAGGTCGGGGTCTTAAAGCTCACGGCTTCTCCCAACCCAGCTGCAGTCAATGCTTCTGTTAACATGAGCAGCAGCCTCACCGCCGGGACTGGCCTGGCCTACACGTGGCACATGGAAGACGGTGTCCCGGTTGCCACTACGTCCTCGGCCATCACACACTGCTTTCGGAGTCCTGGTGCCAAAGCAGTCACTCTTCTGGCGGAAAACAAATTTGGTTCTGCTCACGCCACACTCCTGGTATACATCCAGGAGCCAGTGGTGGGCCTGAGGATCAGGACCATAAGGCCAAACTCCAGTTATGTTGAGTCAGGCACTGTAGTGAACTTCTCTGGGGAGGTTGAGAGGGGGTCCAATGTCTCCTGGACATGGAAGATGCTGAATGGGTCCATCTCGGGGCAAAGAGTGGCGCTGGCCTTTCCCAAAGCGGGGTGCTTCTTGGTGTGCCTGAACGCCTCCAACGATGTCAGCTGGCAAGCAGCTTGCCACAGCATGACCGTGCAAGACGCGATCCAGGGCTTGAGGCTCAGTGCAAGCAAAGAGGTGGTGGAGCCTGGGAAGGAGGTCTCCTTTCTCATTGGGATATATTCTGGTTCCTCGGTGAGCTTCCAGGTGAGCGTTGGTGAGGACCGCTCCGTGGCGATCAACGGTTCCGGCTTCACGTACGTGTTTGCCCAGGTCGGAGACTACTTGGTCCGGGTGACTGCGGAGAACCACGTCAGCGTGGCTTGCACAGAGGTCCTGGTGGCGGTGGAGGAGGCCATCTGTGGCTTGCAGGTGCTGGGCTGCTGCGAGCAAGGCATGCCCACAGGAGTGGAGGGGCACTTCGCCGCGGAAATTGCACGTGGCTCCCGAGTGACTTACTTGTGGCAGCTCACCTTGAAGGTTGATCAGGGGCGCTCCCAGGTGACCCTCTTGGAAGGCAAGAACATCTCCTACACCCCAGTGGCAGCGGGGCAGCTGGACGTCCACCTCTGTGCTTTCAATCGTCTGGGCAGCCTGAACAGAACCACAGTGGTGCAAGTCCAAGACCTCATCATGCAGCTTTCCCTCATGCCTGTCGACCCCTTTGCCGGCCGGACAACTGCATTCCAGGTGTCCGTGCTGCCCAGTGCCAGGCATGTCGTGTTCTGGTGGAACTTTGGGGACGGTTCCCCAGCGCAAAGGACAGCTGTGGCATCCGCCAGCCACACCTATCTGAGGCCCGGGGATTACCTGGTGGAGGTGAATGCTACCAACCTCATCAGCTTCTCCGTTGTCCAGCGGGCCGTCACCGTCCGAGTGCTGGAGTGCGAGGAGCCGGAGGCAGAGCTTGCCTTGCCTGCTCAGGTGGTCATGAAACGGTCCCAGAAGAACTACTTGGAGGCACAAATCGACTTGCGGGGCTGCACAAGGTACCAGACGGAGTACCTGTGGGAGATCTACCGAGCCCCAAGCTGCCGACAGCTGGGTGCCTCTGGCAGAGTGCGCCTGCTCAATGTGGACATGAGCCGGCCGCAGCTCGTCATCCCCCGGCTGGCTTTGGAGCTCGGCAGCCACTGCTTCAAGTTCCTGGTCTCCTTTGGAGACACACCGCTATCCAAGAGCATTTTTGCGAACGTGACCGTCTTGCCCAGCAAACTGGTGCCCATCATAGACGGAGGATCGTACCGTGTGTGGTCCAGCACCCGTGACCTGCTCTTGGATGGCGAGAAATCCTATGACCCTAACCTGGAAGTTGCGGACCAGACGCCTCTGCACTGCCAGTGGTCTTGCGTGTCTTCCTCCAAGGTAAGCCAGGCTTCAGGAGGGCGTGCGGGTGGAGCTTTGGGACCTGATTTGGCTCTTGAGCCTAGAGGCAGGACACCCTGTCCCGGGGGCAGCTAGACGCCCGGTCAGGAGTCCCTTCTGTGGGTGGGCCACTTGGAGGCAGGCGTGGATGACCGTCAATCCCCTGCCCACCCACTGCCCTCCTCCAGCTGCAGCGTGTGGCCCTGATCCTGTGCAGCCCACGCCCGCTTCGGCCTGTGGGGTGGATCTGGCTCGTGGATTGCAGTTGCTGACTGGAAAATTTTGCAGGGCCTCAGAACTGAAGGGCACCTTGCAGGCCATCTGCGGGAGTGCCCATGCCCGCGGCAGGGCACCCTAGAGCTAGGACATCTGCTGGGGTGGCTACCTGGCCCGGCTCCGGGGCTGCTAGCCAGGGAGAGCTCGCCCACCCACTCCGTGGCAGGGCGACTGCTCCTGTCGACAGCCCAGTGGCTGCCAGGGAGCGGCTCGCGCCAGTCTAAGTGGGCTGGCGGGAACCCGATCCTGCTTTGGAATGGGCCAGGGGAGCGGAGTCCTCCTCGCATGCCGTTTTCCCGACAGATTGGGCTCTGCCATCCCACCGAGCAGATGGCCGGGGAGGACTCTTCCGGGGTGGCGGTGGAACTGGGTAGGGCAGGTGGCGCTGGGCTGCAGGCCTTCCACCCTGCTCTGTAGGAATACGTCTGCATGGTCTCCCTGTAAGAAGGACAGAAAGGAAAGCATGCCAGATGGTTACATGGGAGTAAAAAAAGGTGGCTTGGTTGTAAATGCAAAGGGGTGTAAAAATACTCCAGTTAGGAGTAAATAAAGCTGGGTAATTGGTCTATTTTGAAGCTGTTTTGCATCTGTCATTAAATTTGCCCTTTTTCTTGATGATTTAAATGACTGATTTAAATTGTTGCATTTACATGAATCCAACCTGCTCTGAGACAAAAAAGCACAGCATTTTGCCCTCTTTTGTGGCACAGCCTTCATGTGGCTGACGAGGGCTTCGCAGCCCACTCCCCCCGCCTCCACCTTGCCTTTTCCTGCCGGAACATGCCTGGTCCCGTCAACCATTCCTTGTTTCTCCAGGCTTGCTTTTTACATGGCCGAGCATATTTTTGCCTGCCCCAAACCCACTCCAGCTTGCCTCGGTCTCTGTAAAAGTGTAGCCCCAAGCCCCGATCTGGCCTGACACCACAAAAGCAAGTGGGGCCCTCACTGGCCCCGAGCTCTGTTGGTGCAGACCCACGGGTTCGTCGGCCTCCGTTTGCAGCCATGTCACGTGGCTGCTTGTCGCAGGCCGCAGCCCCCGGGCTGTTCCGGGGCTGTTCCTGTGCTTTTGCTTGCAAGCATGCAGGACTTTGCCTGGGACTGGGGTGCTGGGGTGCTCTTGTCCTTGGCAGGTGCACCCGGTCCTTGACTGGGGGTGGCCTGGCTTGACTTTCAGCCGGGTTGACACCTCTCAGCACTGCGCCTCTGCAGGTGGGGCAATGCAGAGCAACTCGTTTTCCCTGGAGTGCAATGGGATTGCTTGCCGTGTTTACTTGCTACCCTTCATGGCTGTTCTAAAATTGCCCATCAAAGGTCATGTTTTTGTATGAGAGGTTCTTGTTGCTCAGCTTCCATACAAGCAACCCAAATGTTTGTTGCTGGAAATAGTTTTTTGGTTAATTTTTACTCTCATGCTTTCTCTCTTTGTCCTGGCATGGGAGAACCTTCTCATCCCCAGGATGAAAAATGCTCTGGGGCTGATCCTGCCAGTCCCTGAGCACCTGCACCCAACCCTGTTCTATCTTATGCACCACAGAGCTCATCTTCGGGGTGCGCTCTGAACTTCAGTGCCACAGGGGGTGTCGTCACTGTCTCTCGAGCCATCCTAGAGGCAGATGTGGAGTACACGTTCGAGCTCAAAGTCCAGAAGGCTGGGATGTGTCCGGAATCTACCCACCAAACGGTTCGTGCCGTGGGGCCTCCCCTTTCCCGTTGCCTCTCTCGCGCTGCCATGGCCGCTGCTCCAGCAGGGAGTGGGTTAAGGCTGCTCTTGGCCACCCTGCCCCAGTCCAGGACTCGCTGTACCAGCGGCCACCCAGGCCCGCAGTTGTGGTTGTCACTGCTTGTGGTGCACGCGCTGTGCCCGCTGCTCGGAGTGAGCACCGAGGCAGAGTGAGTCTGGAGGGGCCTCCCAGGCCAGCCCGCTCTGCTCATAAATTTATTTATTTATTTATTTATGCATGCGACATGTGGATGCCCAGCCTTTCCTTGAATGCCCCCATGGATGGGGCCCCCGCCCCTGCGTGCGTGGGCGCGTGGTTCCCTCCCTCGCTCTCCAGAAGTTTGCGCATTGCACACTGACAAGTCTCGGAGCGTTTTCATTTCAGAAATTTAGTGTTGTTTTGGTTGTATTTTAGATAGAAAATTAATTTTTAAAAAATGGAGGAAGCCATCTTAAGTCTGCTGCCCAAGGTGTGTTGGGCTACAACTCCCATCACCCTATGGCTGGGGATAATGGGAATGGTGATCCAACACATTGGAGGGGCAGGCTGTGTTAAGCTAAAGAGAGCACTGCCGTGCCCGTGGCGTTTTCCCTCTGCCCCGATTTGTAGTCCCCGAGGGCGCAGGTGGGAGATTCAGGTGTGGAGAATGATGGTGTGGGATGGCCGAGACCCCCCCCCCCCCGATCTGACTCAGGGCCTTGGACTGGCCCAGGCTTCTTTCTTGAAGGTAAAAAAGAAAGGGTCAGCGGTAGGCCCCACATTCATTGCCTAAATACCTTCTGTTTGCCTTTTGAGTCTCCAAGGGGTGGGCCCGGGTGGGAGGTGTGTGGGGGATGGGCCCCACATCCTGCATGGATAGAGGGTTTCCTCAAACACAGGAGAAGATGCGCCTCTCAAGAGTCTTCCTCTAAAAAGAAAAGTGCATTCTTCCTCCTTGTGGCAGTGAGGATTTATTTATTTTAAATATTTTGAAAGTCACCTTCAGGTGCCTTGAGGGGGTCTGTTGGAAGCTCAGGAGCTGCAGGACCGGCCAGGCGGGCGCTTTGGGGCCGGCATCTCCTTTGCCTCTTCCTTCTGCCCACTCCTTTCCTCCCTCAGGTGCTAGTGAAGAAGGGGACGGTGCCCATCGTCTCCCTGGAGTGCGTGTCCTGCAAGGCCCAGTCTGTCTACGAGGTCAGCCGGAGCAGCTATGTCTACCTGGAAGGAACTTGTGCAAACTGCCAAAACAACTCCAAACTGGGGGTAAGCTGCTGTCAGTTCTGTCGTCACATGTCAGGGACAGACCGGTGGTAGGGCGGGACCCACCAGGAACATCTTCTGGCCGATTCTCAGCAGATCAGCACGTGTTCTAGGCTCCTAGTTGCCCAAGCTAAAAAAAATTTCCTGATAGAAATTTGGTTGCTTGAAAATGAATGCTGGGATGGGAAACCAGGAAAGGAAAAGACTTACGGGTCAGGTTTTGGTATGGCACAAAAATTCCTGGGCTGCAGGTGTGCCCCAAGACACACTTTGATTCTTAGCAGCATCTGCCCATGTGAGCCACGGCCCTGTCAGTGGGACAGAGGATTCCGGTAAAAGCAAAGCATACTTCCTAGCCTCAAGTCTGCCCAGCGCTATTTGATGCAACCTTTTCCCTGGGCTTGGTTTTCTTTATCTTTTGTCAAAAGAAGCAAAAGTTGAGCTGTAGCAAGAATTCACAGCAGGGTGTTTCACTGCCCCCTTTTTGCTTGCCCATCCTCCAAGAAGACCCTCTTAACTTACCTGGGCATGCTAATGAGCATCCTTGCCTCTTCCTCCTGGTCTCGGTCTAAATCCAGAACCCTTTTCAGTACAGTAAGATGAGCTCAAGCCCCGCCATCCTCTCAGAGAAAGGTCGAGTCCCCGGGGGGCGAAGGCAGGCTCCTCCTCTCTGGGGCAGCCCGCCCCGGCTCAGGGTTTGACAGGGCTTGCCTTCTGCTGCTGCTGGGAGAGCTGACCTTGGTGAAGGCCCTGCTTCTCCACCAGAGCGCCTTCCTTGGGAACAGGGCAACCGGGGAGGGGGCTCTGGAAGCGCAGGACACACTGCGGAGCAAGGCTTCCCCACCAGGACCAAGCAGCTGCGTGATGGGGAGGGGCCCCTCCACGGAGCATGCCTTGCCGTGGCCGTGGGGCTTGCGCAGCGCAGTGGAGCGATGGGCTCTGCCGTGCGGGGGCACCCAAGACGGACAGGCCATAGCAGAGAGCGCTGACGAAAGCCGATCCCCTGGAGAAGGCAACGGCAACCCGCTCCGGTGTCCTTGCCATGAAAGCCCCACGGACAGCATCGGAAGGCAGAAAGATACGACACCGGAGTAATCAGCCACCATTCGTGAGGGGAGGGTGTCTTCTTGGCTTCCCTGATGAGATTTGCTCTAAGTCTGGGCAAGATGCCCTGGCATCAGTTTAAAGTTCAACAGAAACAACAGTCCGCAGGACATGTAAAAGCGCATCCTCGGCGAGAGCAGGACAAGGCCGCTCTGTTGCCGCCGAGTGACGCGTGCCCATGGCCACGGGGGGTTGCCGCACCGGGGTGGGGGGTGAGGGCCGAATTCGAGCTGGGGCTGCTGCGCCACCAGAGCTCCACCCTGCGCTGATGAAGACCAGCTCCAGGCCACAGGCCACTTTCTTCCTGCTGCAGATCCGAATGGGAGGCTCGTGCCTGCGATCTAAGCATGCAGAGCGCTGGGCTGCATCTTGCCTCGGAAAGAACTTGGACTTGGCTCAGCTCTGCGACCCAGGAATGCTCTGCCAAGCCCTTCCCAGAGGATTGTCCCAGGCCTGCTTCCCTTGCTCCTTTGGGGCCTGAAGCTTTGCCGGGCTCCCAGGAACCCTCACCTGCCCTCGTGCTTTTCTGTTCCCTCTTTGGCAGCGCGGGAGGTTTAAATGGGGGCTTTTGTCTGCTCCCATCGAACCAGACAGCCCAGAAACAGAACTGGTCTCTCAACAGGACGTGGAAGCTGTTCTTCCCTGTCTCCTCATCTGGAGACATCAGCGGGCACTTCCAAACGTTTGGACACAAACCTGCAACTTTCCTCCGCCTCTCCCCTCCCCCACCCCATTTTCTGTCCTGTGCAGAGATGGGCAGCACAGAGCTTCAAAAATAAAACCCTTGTCTTGAACAAGGCAACCACCTCCACGGGCGACACGGGCATGAACCTGGTCCTGAGGCCGTGGGCCCTGAAGGATGGCGAGGGCTACACCTTCACGCTGCACATCACTGACCAGGCCACCGGGGAGGAAGGCTACGCCTCCATCGACCTGTTTCCTAACCAGCCGCCTGCCGGGGGGTCTTGCCGCGTGACTCCGCTGGGCCCTGTCCAGGCCTTGACCACAAAGATCCATTTTGAGTGCACAGGTGAGGCATTTGGCCTCTGGGCCTGGGGGCAGAGGATGAGAAGAGGCAGAGCTGCGTTTCTGCTGGAGAGACCTGGGCGTGGCTGGCAGCGTGTGCCCGGGCAAAGGGGGGGTACAGACATCATAGATACTAGATAGATGGTGGGCAGGTCGTGCGCAGAGCCGGCTGGAGCCGGGGGTCGGACTAGATGCCCCCAAGGACCCCTTCTGACTCGCTCTGTTCCTATGATAAGCAATATTCTTGGCAAAGCGGTCAGTAGGCAGGCCTTTCCCAGCCTGGGGCCCGCCAGATGTGTCAGAGCATCCAAACCAGCGTGGGATGCTGGGGATTTCACGCCACATCTGGAGGGCAGCAGGATGGGAAGCCCAGGAATCCCACTATGCGCTTGAAGCAGAATGTTCAGCCCAGAGTACCGACTCGGCGTCCGGGGGCTCCGGTCCCTTCTGGCCCTTCCTGGCAGGTCCCCAGAACCAGCGTGAAGCTGAGCCCAGACGCTTGCGTGGAGTTCCCGAGGCACTCGCTGTGCAAGGGCGCAGGTGCAAGGAGGTTGCAGCGCTCCCCCCATAATCACCACCACGCACTTGTATAGGTGGGCCTGCGGAGAGCGCACACTCATCCCGTTGCTCACTGCATCCCTCTCGTCCATCCGGACAGCGGCTCCTCTGCGAGGCTCTTGCTCGCCTCCCCAGGCTGGCGGGGTTGGCTGGTTTGCAGCGGCCAGCAAAGGCCTGCAAGTGGAAGTGCCCCTAGCAAGACTGCCCGCCCCTTGGCAGAGGGCTGGGCAAGGAGTCAGAGGGGTGGGAGAGGGGAGGAGTGGGGAGTTGACCCTCAGGCAAATGTGGCCCTCAGGCAGTCAAAAATGCTTCTCCTGCCCTGGCCTGCAGCTTCACTGCCATGAGTATGTCAGAAGTCACTGCTACTTAAGAAACGTAGAAACAGCGCGAGTCCGAAGGGGTCTCCTGGGCCATCTAGTCTGACCTCCGGCACCAGCCGGCTCCTCTCACAACATGCCCACCGTGTGCACGTCCAGCCTGTCCTTGAACACCCGCACCGATGGGGCCTCAACGACCTCTCGTGGAAGCCCATTCCACACCCTCGGGGTCCTGACTGTCAGGAAGTGCTTCCCGGCATCCAAAGGGAACCTGGGCTCCCTGAGCTTTGCTCCGTTGGAGCGTGTCCTGCCCTCCTCTGCAGGAGAGAACAGGTCTCTACCCACCTCCGTGTGACACCCCCTCACGTACCTGCATGTCGCCAACAGACATAGGTACTTGAGGGGGCTACTTGAAAGAAGGGAATTTTCAAAGCTTGGAAGAATAAGCATAATAAGAATGAGGCTCCAGCAGCAGGAGTCACTGGAACTGCAGGTGCGCATGATCACATGCAGACACAAGAGGAGAGATCGGCCCCTGCTTGTCTTGCTGGAAATACGCTCAGGCGAAACCGGTCACTCGCCATCACAGTCACATTGCTCTGCAGACTCCAGTGCGCAGCAAGCCGTTTGTCCCAGCTGTGCAGCTTGTTCCAGCTCGGAGCCTTTCTCCTTAACCCACAGCCAGGTCCCTTTGTCCTTGTTCTTGGGATTAGCCAGGCCATTTCTGCTGTTCCTCCAGTCGTGGGCAAGCAGCCCTTTTCCTGGGCATGCGATGTCTCGCACACATAGCTGTATTCTTGGAGGTGCCCTTTTGAGCAGCAGGTTTCCAGGTGCGACAAGGAGGAGCGGGCACTGGGAAGAGCATCAGCCCCATAGCTGCAGACTGCCCCCCAAGGGGGCAGGCCAGATGCTGCCCCAGTCCTGCCGGGGGCCGCCGGCGTTCTAGCTGCGCGTTTGGTTGGCAGGCTGGAGCGATGCGGAGGCCGCGAACACCCCGCTGGTGTATGTCCTCCTGCTGAGTCGCTGCCGCGCTGGCCACTACGAAGAATTCTGGGTGTACAAAGGAGGCCACTCCGAACATGCGGCCTTCCTGCCTCCCGGCTTCCAGGAGAGCAGCTTCCGGGTGTCCGTCTCGGTGCTCGTGCAGGACCACCTGGGAGCAACAGTTGTGGCCGTCAACAGGTAAGGGTCTTCCACTGCCCTCTTCTCGCACTCGCTTCCTTTGACTACCCAGCAGAGTCCTGCCGGCGCGGTTCAGTGGCTTAGAGTCCGGGGCTGGGGCTGAGGCTGCCTGGGTGCTAGTCCCCACTTGACCATGGGCCACCTGGGTGACGTTGCTCCAGTCATGGACTCTCAGCCCAGCCCACCTCACAGGGTTGTTGTTGTGGGGATAAGATGGAGAAGAGGAGGAGACAAATCATATCAGCCGCTCTGAGTTCATAAGGAAAACGTGGGATACAAATATAATGAACGCTTGAATAACCTCAAACTACTGTTCTCTCAATCTTATCCTGGTAAGGGTTAGGGACTAGCCCTGTCTGTCTTCGTCCCCCTGAGCATTTGCAGGCTTCCTCTTGTGCTTGACCTGGTCTTTCCAAGAGCCTTCTGTGGCGGGGGAGTGTCCAGCTGTCACTGCCTTCTCTGTGTAAACTTCTTGTGTTTCCCCACTGTTTCTGCTGCCTTCCCCCCGCTATGTATTCCCCCTGCATCTATGGAATGCGCTCCCCAGAGAGGCCCGCCTGGTGCCGTCGTTGTTTGTTTTTTGGAGCCAGGCTAAGACCTTTATATTTAAAACTTATTTTAATTGTTAATGTATTGGTATTTATAGGATTTTAAATCTTTTAAGCTGAGATGCACCGGGTTTTAATATTTTTGTTGTATAATTGTTATATTTGTAGATTTTGTTTTTGTTGTGAGCTGCCCCGAGGCTTTGTTGCGATGGGGGCGGCATAAAAATGTTTTAAATAAATAAATAAGAATGGAATAGCTGCACAAGACCCTTGGACTTGTAAGGACAGAGATTCCTACTTGCAAATGGGATGGTCCGGAGGAACGGGAAGTTTGAACTCCCACCCCATATTTTAAAAAATGCAGGACTAAACTTCCATGTGGAATGGGAGCGCGTCCCCGGCCAAGGACTGGGCGCAGCTCCTTCCTGTATGCAAGGGAGGGGGGTGTGGTGCCCACCGCTGTGTCCCTTCCCAGGTCCATGGTGATCACGCTGCCCAGCGCCCCGGGGGGCTTCCGCAGCCTCCCGCAGTGGCTCTATGGCCAGACAGAGGTGGTGCTCCAGGGCCTGGTGAAGCAGGGAGACCCGCAGCAGGTCACCGAGTACTCGCTGGCTCTCATCACCATCCTGAACGAGGTATGGCCGCAGCGCAGCTCCCTCGGGGGCGGGGGGGGCCGCGGCCGGTCTTTCTCCCCCTGCTTGTTGCCGCCACCTCGCCCGATTCCTTCTTCGCTCCGTGGCAGAGAGTTCTGCTGCCTGAAAGGGCACCTAAGACAAGACGGGGAGGAAAGAGGATCGGGGTCCTCCGTCTCTGAGAGCAAGTGCAGGAGCAGCCATGCGTGTTGCCAGCACTGGGGGGCAGCTGCTGAGGGGCCGCCCCACGGTCCGGCTTCGCCGCTTCCCCACTGCGGCTCGCTTGGTCACCTGCCGTCTGCGCTGCCCTGACAACGCAGCAGGCGGGAAGGAGTGGGGTGTGCCCCTTCGGCTGGCTCTCCCTGGCGAGCGGGCCCGTGGCCGCGAGAAGGAGGGCTCCCTGAGGGAGGGGCCCCAGGAGGGGGTCCAGCCAGGGCCCCTCAGAGCTAGAGCGGGGCCCGGGGGGCCTTTGCACCTGCCCCGCTCCTCTCAGTACAAATCGCTGCCTGCCACCCGCCCCACGGCGGGGGCGGCCTTGGGCTGGGCTGGCTCTTCACGCACCGGGGCCCCCGAGGGCCTGCGCGTCCCAGTCACCCGGCGGCCCTGCTCTCCCCCCGCCCAGTACGAGTGTTCCGCGCGCGCGAGCCAGCGGGTGGACCACGAGGACCGGCTGCGGGCCTGGACACGCAGGAATATCACCGAGACGCTGATCGCCCTCAACGTGAACACGGTGGATGACATCCAGCAGATCACGGCTGCCCTGGCGCAGTGCACGGTAGGCGGGTGCCGCGGGGGGGGGGGCCACGGCAAGGGCCTGCCTGCAGCCCCTCGCCTGGCGCCTTGGCACAGGGCGCACCCCGCGTGCTGCAGGCTGTGGGGAGGGCTGCCAGCACGAGCCTTGGAACGAGGGGGCGGCACTGCGGAAGCCTGGCCCGGCCCACCGCCATGCCCCAGACCTCGCAGTGGAAGTGTCGCTTCCAGAGCATGTGAAGTGCTTGTTCCCCGCTACTCGGCACTGGCCAGAACTCAGCTGGTGTGCTTTGTCCAGTTCTGGGGACGCAATTTAAGGAAGATGCAGGCAACCTGGGAAAGGTTCAGAGAAGGGCAAGAAGGATGACCCGGGACGGGAAGCAAAGCCCTGGGTGGGGAGATGGAAAGAAGTGGGCCTGTTTAGCCTCAAGAAGAGAAGGCCGAGGGGAGGTCGGCGGGCACTCTGCGACGCTGTCCCGAAGATGAAGGACACGTCTCTTCTCGGTCATCCCAGAGTGAGCTGGAGGAAGCCAGATTCTGGCTAGAGACCAGGAGGACTGCCTGTCTGTCAGAGCAGAGCGACAACAGGCCCAATCACCCTGGAGGCCTTTGGGGTGCGGCTGGACAGCCCCCTGAGAAGGATGACTCTGGTCCCTTCCCTCCCTCCCATTCTATGATCGTATGATCCAGATGCAATTGGGGTGGATGTCCCAACAGCCCTCGCCATTGATTCAGCTAAGGTTGATGGGACTTGGACTCCCGACACAGAGGGAGGGCCACACCTCTCCCATCTCCGTTATAAAGTCCCCTGGAATGATAGACACGGCACTGGCCCCCGGAAACAGGGTGCCGTCCTCTTCGATCCGCCTGGCCTGCGTGCCTGCGGGAACCGTTGCCCGGCAGCAAAGGAGCCGAAGGGCGGCGCTTCCCTTCCGTTGCTGGAGGAGGAGGGCAGGGAAGGGCTTGGGAACGGGGACCAGTGTGGAGTGCGCTCTGCTCCCACGAAGGCAGGCACTCCCTCCACGAGCGCGTTCTCTCGGGGGCCGGATAGCGGGCGGGGGGCATGGCTGTCCCCTCCCCGCGTGAGGCCTCTTCGCCTCATGAAAATCAAAGTGCTCCCCCAGCCCCAGCCATGCTTGCCGAGCTCACACAGCTTTTCGGGGAAACAAACTCAAAAATCCATACCAGAGTATGAAAAGAGAGGAAGGGATATAGACTGGCCTTGTTGATGCTGTATTTATTTTGCCGGGAGGCGCTGCTCGCTGCGCTGCTTCTCGCCCTTGTCGAGCCGTTGTTTTCTTTGGCTCATTTAGGCAAGAATGGAGACCAAAATTACTGCCGTTCCCCACCTGGCTCCCCCGCACCCCCCCTTCAAGGGAAGCTTGCAGGGGAATTTCGGGCGGCCTTGTGTTGAGGTGACTCGCAGTCACCCCTTCACCCTTTTCCCTTCCTCGAGTCCTTCTGCAGCTTTGGACAGCGGCTGGCTATGGTCATCCTGGCACTGGTACATGGTGCAAATGCAGGGGGCTTGGGCCCGAAGGCCCTTTCCGCCAAACGCAAAGCCATGAGGACTCTGCAGGGGGCTGCGTGTTGCGCAGTTCCCGGTCCGGCAGGCCTGACAGAAGTACCGTTGGCCGTGGCAGAGCCCCGAATTGGCACCCTTAACCACCTTGAGCGCCAGAACGTGATTGCTGTTCCCAAGCCAAATAACTTGCCGTTTTGGCTCACAGGTAGCCAGCAAGGAGCTGGTGTGCCGAGACTGCCTGACGAACACGTTGAAGAAGCTGGAAAGTATGATGGACATTCTTCAGGGAGAGACCATGCAGGGGACCATGACGCCGACCGCCATCGCAGACAACATCCTCAACATCATGGGTGTGCCCGCTGGCTCAAAGGAGACTCTGCGCTGGCCCCCGGCGGGTTGGGTGCCGGGGCACGCACTCTGGGGAGGCCGAGAGTCGCTGTCATGAAAGCCTCCGGCTGCCGCTGCCCTGCTGGGGCTAACGCCCCTCGTGGCCTGGGGCCAAAGCAGCTGTGGTGGTGCCTTTGTGCACAGTGCACCTCCCCTGCCCGGGGCCCCTGGGGATAATTTCCTGAAGGCTGCTCCTGCGAGGCTGATGCCTGCAACCCGGAGGACTTCCCCAGGGGCTGCCAGGAGAGGGTGTATCTGCTTTCAGTCCCCACCTTTAAGAGGGAGTTGAAGACGCCTCTTCTGACAGACCTTCCCAGATTAGTTTTTCTTATTCTGCTTGTTTTCAGTTGAAGTTTTAACTATCTATTCTCTTTCAAGCCAACCAGAGCCTATGGGAATGGGGTGGTATATAAACACCTAAATAAAATTAAAAAATAATTAGGACTACACATCCCAGCAGGAAAATTATGTCCTGCATGCAATTTCGGGTTTGGAACAGGCAGCAACTGTTGTGCGGTTTTCCTGCTGGCACGTGTCATTCCGGTCCGGGAGGAGCCCCGTAGCCAGGGGCCACGGGGCTCCAGCTCTGCCTTTCCCTGCTCCCAGCTCAGTTTCTGGGGAGCCTTTGGAAGGTGAGGGAGATGGTGGGGCAGCCTGCAGGACCAGCGCACGCATGCTTGCAGGGCGCCGCACCAGCGCGTGTGCCTGTGAGCCCGAGGCCGGGAGCGGCACCCGTAGGCGAGGCTCCTTGGGAGCTGAGTGGGGAGCTTGGGTGTCTGCCACTTATTTGGCCACAGCACAACCAGGGTGATCCTCGGCCAGCAGGGCAGATCGCAGCACTGGCTGTGCTAGCTGTGAGCGATGGGAGTTGCAGTCCAGCCCAAGGCTGACTGTGACTCTCCGGAGCCTAAGTGACCTTGCCACAAGCTTAGGACTCGCCAGCATTGCTGAAGAACGAGGCTTTAAAAGCTCTTCCAAAAAGCTGTTTTCAAGCGTGTATTTCATCCTTGCCTCTGGTTGTCTTTACTGGTAATTTGGGGCAGAGAAGAAGGACTGCCTCTGCCTGTTGTCAGCCCCACCATTAACCAGGGAGGGAGGGAACTTCGGTTGCCAGTGGGCACCTTGCGCCACCAGCCGATGCAGCTCTGGCCTCTGACCGCACCACTCTTTCCTGCTCGCTTCGCAGGGGATCTGATCCACCTTGTCAACACTGTTTCCCAGGAGTCCGAGTCGCAGAAGCCGCACGGTGGTCAGAACCACATCCAGGTGGCTTCCAAAGCTTACGCTCTGTCCACGAACCTCATGCGCATCCTCATGAAGTCTCGGGTCCTCAACGAAGAGCCCCTCGAGCTGGTGGGCAGCAACATCACGGCCACGGGCAAACGGGCCGGCCCACTGGGCCTCCTTTGCTACGAGGACAACCCGGACTGCCAGTTTTCCATGCCTCCCGCTTTCAACGCAACCTTTTCTGACCTGACGGATGTGGTCCAGGTCATGATCCGGGTGGACTACAACCCCTTCCCCTTTGGCTACATCGCAAACTACAGCGTTTCCTCTGAGGTGGCATCGATGGCGTTCCAGAACAGCAACGGAACGGAGATACCGGTGGGGAGCCTGGACTCGGAGAAGGCCATCACTGTGATGGTGCTGAACCCTGATCCAAAGGACGTCACTGTGGGAACCGCTGTGATTGAGGAGAGGGGTTCTGTGAATGTGGCAGTGACCGGCTTGAGCAGGGACGCGGAGGCAGGGCTGTTTTTCCAGGTCACCTTCCGTGTTGTCAACGGTAGGCGTGCGGCGGGGGCCCCTGGACTAACGGCTTCTTTGGGAGTGCTGTGTGATTAGATGGGCATTTGAAGATGCCCTGTCCTCCCAGAACCTCCAGGAATCAGCAAAGCAAGATAGCCTCTGTCCCTTCTGAAAAGACAGAATGCATGAGGGAAAGGGAAAGCAAACACAGGCCCCTGCAGCCATCCACCTCTTTTCTCCCTCTTGCAATGCATCCAGTCCTGTGAAAACAGAATTAAAGGGCCCACAACTCCCAGCAAGCCCAGCCAGTGTGATTGGCTTTCTCCTTTCTGAACCCCTAGGGATGGGGTGTTTGTTTGAAGCAGGGCTGGTGGGAAGGCCCCACTTCCCACCTCATTCCCCTCAGTGGCAACCGCTCAGCCCCATTTGGTCTTCACACACGCCCCCCCACGCCCCCGGAGCCCTGTCTCCAGGGAGCTGAGGCCCGTGCACTTTGTGAGTAGCCCTTTTTATCCCCACAAGAAGCTGGTCAAGCAGGTTAAACCAAGAGAAATTTCCCCGCCTGGCTGAGATTAAAGCACAGGCCTCCCACCGCTCTGCCCACTGCTGAGTGGAGTTGGCCCTGCTGTGCGAACTGCAGGGCAACCCAGGGCCTGTCATTGCTGGAGTATCAGAATAGTTGCACGAACGTCTTGTTGCGCCGCTCATGTTTCCGGGCAGCGGGGAAGCAATGCCCCCGTGTCATTGGAACGCCTTACCCTGTGCAGTGTTTACTCTGCACAGTATGGGAGCTATCTAGGTCCCGATTCCCACTCCAAAACAGATTTGCCACCACGGATGTCCCTTGTGAAGCTCAGAATAAAAGCTGCTGTAGCTAAAGTACAGCACCCTCCCCCGCCTCTCGGTCCTGTGCAGGAGCCCTTGTGCCCCACGGCGTGGCCTTCCGAGGGAGGATTCAGCTGGAGAGTGGCCACAGAGATGACGATGCCGGCAGGGCAGCCGTGCAGAATACAGTACCGCAGTGGCGCCCGGGCAACCAGAAACAAGCACTTCCAGAACTGGGCAGGCCAGCGGGTGACCCAGAAGGCCTCTCCTGAGCAGGTCCAGGGGAGCTTTTGGAAGCGCTTGAGCCTGCAAGTGCAAGGGAACCCACACAGGCGGGGAGGCCCCACAGGAACATGTGTAACGCTGGCAGTAAAACCCACTTCAGCCTTCGCAAAACCACGAGCGGCTGCACACACAGTCAGAAATGGCGAGCGCGGCGTGCTGGCCAGCTGGCGATGTGTGCAGGGCAACGTCAAGGGGCCTGGCGGGCTCTGGGGCTCGGGCTCGGGAGCCGCTGTGCTTCCGGCCGGTGCCAAGAGGGGCACAGCTGCCCAGGCCTCCAGGAGTGTGCCAGGCCCCAGCCCAGCTCCCTCCGTGTAGACTGTCGAAAGGGCTGCCCGCTGGAAGAGCAGGGCGCCTGGCGCGGGGCTGTGGAGATGGCTGCCGCCAAACGTGCCCACGCTGGGCGCCTGGAGGGCTTGCCTGCATCGAGCACAGCCGTCCTGGGCCGGTGCCCCCAGCTGGTCATTCGATTTCCGAAGGAAAATGTCGATGCTGTGGCTGGCTTGTGCGTGTGCCAAAGCGGCCCCTTTCCTCCTGCCTGGGGGAGAGGGCAGGATGCCTTTCCAGGAGTGTGCACAGCGTCTCTTGTTTTCATAGGGACTTTATTAGAAGGACTTTAATACAGTTGCATATAGGATATATAAGCCATTGTTGTTTATTAAGCACTATGGGGGCCTATTTCAGTGGATCAAGAGAGGTCCATGTTGTTGCATCCCCAGGGATAAATTGCACGAGGCCCTTTAAACGGCGCTTTGGGGCATTCAGAGCAGAATTCAGGGAAGAGAGGGCCTGTATCAGGAGTCCCATGTTCTGCCTGGGGAAGGCGGGCAGGGGCTGAAGGCGTGCTTGCCGCCTTGGGCAGCTGTGCTGGGAGCACTCGGGTCACGGCTCCCTCTTGTAAGCCTGTCGGACGCAGAAGAAGCAGCAGACACCTTCTTGGCTTCTGGCTTCGGTGGCCCTTATGGAAGTTTCCTCTCCACGGCCAGGCCGCTACCTCTCCAGTGAGCCGGAGCCATTCGTTGCTGTCTGTCTTTTCCGCCCCTCCGAGCACAACTGCACGGCCTTCAGGGAGATCCGCCTGGAGGACATGCACGGGAAGGCAGAGCGGGACCATCGGCGCGACACCTTCTTCCTCTCCCCCGCGTGAGTGAGCCATCTGGGCAGACGGGAGAGCCTGGGCCATGGAGGCCCGAGTGGGGCCGCGCGCGGCAGCTCGGTTGCCTCTGCGCGTGAAACCACCGTCTGTCTTGCCTCGCAGCGGCACTCGCTTTTGCAGTGCTGCCCAAGAGGCGATGCTGAACTGGTTTGAGTGCCACTGCTTTCAGAGGTGGCCCCGTTACAGCCTGCTGAGCCCCAGGCCTCTCCCCCTCAGGGGGATGACGGGAGGCGGAGATGAGGGCACGTGGAAGCACGCAGCCCGTGTCGGGATGGCCGGGTGGTTCAGCGGGGGCCAAGGGTGAGCTGCAACGGGTGGTGGGAAGTGGGGGGGGTGCGGCTTCCCACCTGGAGAGATCGATGGATGCTGCAGGTGTGACTCACCTGCGTGGCCGAGCCAGGAGTCCAAGGCAGGGTGTTCGCTGCACCGCCACCCGTGAGAAGTGTGACCAGCCCACCCTGCCTCGTTCCTCACTGTGCGGTTCTCGTACTTCTTCAGCACTGATGTGGCGGAGAGAGACTATTCCTTGAACATCACCAACCACTTTGTCTGGTCACCGGTGGAGGTGACGCTGGGCCTGTACGGCTCCCTGTGCCAGTACTTCAACGAGCAAGAGAACCGCTGGAAGACGGAGGGCATGGCTCCCTTGGAGGGGACCACCCCCAGCAAAGCCGTGTGCCTGACCCAGCACCTCACCGCCTTTGGCGCGAGCCTCTTCGTCCCCCCGCACTCCGTGCAGTTCGTGCGGCTGGTGAGTCCCAGCGGGCGGCATCCTTGCCTGCGCGCCCTGGCGCCTCGTGCTGCTTCTGCACTGCCACCACTTCTGACCTTCTTGCTGCTTTTCTTGGCTCGGAACCCGACTTTTCCTCCATGATGGGAACAGAGTTCATGGTATGGGGCTTTCCCTTTCCCAGCTTCTCCCCGTAGCCTCCTGGGCATCCATGGGATCTGATGGGGGGGCCTTCAGGTGGACGTGGAGTTGGAAAATCCCCCTCCTGCCTACCTGCACACGCACAGGCACACACACGAGCAGAAGAACAACCGAAGACCCAGGCCGCGCTTTGGATGATTTTTGGACAAGCGAGACAAGCTTGTTCTGCACTTCTCAGCTCAGTGCCGCCTTGGCCTGCTTTGAACCGGCCAGCCAAGAGAAGGAGGCCCCCCTCTGGTTTCCTCACGGGCCTCTTGTCTGCAGCCCTTGGACCTGCGGCGCTCTCTGCCTTGCATCGCCCCCCGCAGGGGCCGCCGCCTTTAACGCCTGCTCTTGTTTGCGTAGCCTCCCGTCCCCAGACTCAACTACGTGGTGCTGCTGACCTGCGCCATCTGTTTTGTGACCTACACCGTGGCCGCCATGATCGTGCACAAGCTGGACGTCATCGACATCCACCGAGTGGGCGTGATTCCTTTCTGTGGGAGAAATGGGCTGTACAAGTATGAGATCCTGGTGAAAACAGGCTGGTGCCAGGGGGCAGGTGAGTGCCGTTTTCCCTTGCTTGCAAAACTTGGCGCGTTCTGGCTCAGCCGCAGTCACATTGCTGAGTTAGGCTTGTCGCTGGAGAAGGCAAGGATGAAAAAGGAGGTTGTGGGTTGGGGAGGGCTCTGCAGAGGGCACTTGCGGGACCCCAGGATGGCGAATGGCTGGACTGGATACGCCCCTTCTTTTGGAAATGGCAAGCCGAGACCCCCGGCCAGCTGTGCCCTTGGCTGGGGCCAGTGGCTGTGCAGGCACCAGGCGATGGCAGAGCAAGGGGTGGGGCCTGCTCAGGTGCCCGCAGCCCCAGGGGTGCCAGCTCTGTGGCTGCTGGGGGCGGGCCGGCCTTTAAACGTCTAGCAAATCTACCGGCGTGTTTATTTCCCCCTGCCAGACTTGGAATCAACAAGTTAATCAGTCGTTGCAGTAAGTTAAATCAGTATGTCATACCGTGAGAGCTGCCACATTTTAGGAAGAGGGCGCTGCAGAAGGGTCAGGCCGCAGAAGGGACTTGGCGACACTCTGCCCCTGCTCAGCGGTGCCCCTCGTGGACGGAGCATCGCTCTGCCCCGTTGGGAAGCACAGACGGCGCAGGGTTGCTGGGCTGCCCGGGCAGGGCACCCTGCCATCCTCCGTAACTCCCTCCTGACCATGGAAAGGGGCTTTGAGACCCCTTGCAAAACTTTGCAGGGGCTTTCGGGAACATCCAAGCTGGGGTTTCTTTTGCTTACCGGGTTGCGCCTTTCTGTTGTTTTCTGTGTACACAAAGCGGCACTGTGGCGAGGGGAAGCATTTGCGATGCTCAGGACCAGGGGCTGAGGCTGGGTGTGACCCTGACTCCCCCGGAGGTCCGTGTCCAGCCCTCTCTTTCCCCCAGCTGGGCCTCTTCCCCTGTCTGCCCTTGCAGGGACAACTGCACATGTGGGCATCATGCTTTACGGGGTGGACAGCAAGTCTGGGCACAGGCATCTGGACGGCAAGCACGCCTTCCACCGCAACAGCCTCGACATCTTCCGGATCGCCACGGAACGGAGCCTGGGCAGCGTGTGGAAAATTCGCATCTGGCATGACAATAAAGGTGCGCGTGAACATAAGCAGAGTGTCGAGCTAATTCTCGAGGGGACTGTGGTTGTGAAGCTCTGCTTTGTGGGTATGAAAGAAGTCCCACCTTTGTCCCTGGTGTCCCGTCCAGTTAAAGCTGCGGGAATTCCAGCCTAGTCTTCAAGTGAGCTCCAAGCCAGAAAGCCCGAGCCTCTGACACCATAGAAACAGAAACAGAGCGAGTCAGAAGGGGCCTCCCGGGCCATCTAGTCTGACCTCCGGCACCAGCCGGCTCCGCTTACGACACGCCCACCATGTGGACGTCCAGCCTATCCTTGAACACCCTCACTGATGGGGCCTCAGCGACCTCCCATGGAAGCCCATTCCACACCCTTGGGGTCCTGACTGTCAGGAAGTACTTCCTGGCATCCAAAGGGAACCTTGGCTCCCTGAGCTTTGCTCCGTTGGAGCGCGTTCTGCCTTCCTCTGCAGGGGAGAACAGGTCTCTCCCCACCTCTGTGAGACACCCCCTCCCATACCTGCATGTCACCAACAGATCCCCTCTGAGTCTCCTCTTCTCCAGGCTGAAGAGGCCCAGTTCCCTCAGTCTCGCCTCATACGGCATCCCCTGCAAACCGGCCACCAACCTCGTGGCCCTACGCTGCACTGACTCCAACCTGGCTATATCCTTCCTTTAACGAGGGGCCTAAAACTGAGCACGATACTCCAGTTGCGGGCACACCAGAGTTGTGTAGAGTGGTAGTAATACCTCTCCTAATCTAGAAGCCACACTTCTGGCTATGCAACCAAGGGTGGCGTTCGCCCTCTTGACCACCGCATCACACGGCTGACTCATGTTCAGCCTGCAGTCAACCAGCACCCCGAGGTCCCTTTCACAAGTGCTGCTCTCCAGCCACTTGTCCCCTAACCTGTACTTATGACACCCATTTCTGTGCCCCAAGTGCAAGATCTTGCACTTATCCACATTAAACACCATCCTGTTGTCTCCTGCCCACTTCCATAGTCTGTCCAGATCCTTTCTCCACCAGGATATCATGGGGCACTTTGCCAAAGGCCTTGCTGAAATCCAGGTATACCACATCCACTGCATCCCCTCCATCTAGCCATCGCAAAACCTTGTCATAGAATTCCACAAGGTTTGTCTGGCAGGACCTGTTTTTGCGGAAGCCGTGTTGTGTGGCTGTCAGCCTCCCTTCCCTATCTAGCATCACTAGATCTCTCTCTATTATGAGCCTTTCCATTGTTTTTCCTACAGTGGATGTAAGGCTAATATTGATTTGAAAAACACATGGAGAGAGTTAAAAGGAGATGTGAAAAGATTTACTTTTTTACTCATCAGTTCATAAAACTTACTCCAGTACTCAAATAAATACCTGGACTGCCCCCTCCCCCACCACAGACCATATGAAGAAATATCAGACACGTCCCCGCTGCTAAGGCTGCTGTGGCCTTTGTTTTCTTTGTATCCTTCTGGTATGTTTATAAATGTTGTGAGCCTCTTAGAGGACTGTAGTCAAAAGGAGGGATTACAGCTACCAAAGCAACAATGGACACCAGACTCACTGACTTCCCGAACCTGCATCCCTCCAAGATGCGGGTGGAAGCTGTCGTCCGAAATACTTGAAGGGACCCAGGTAGGGAAGGGGCTGTGCCAAAGTAGATGCCCCCAGGAGGGGAACCTTGTAACACACCTGTTTCTACCCTTTATTGATGCAGTGTGTGTACTAGTTTGGGATAGGCTGCACAATAGATCATTTTCTACCCACAGCCTGACATCTTTGGCCTAAATTCTTCCCACCAATGTTGGCGGAATCAATCAAATGAAGGGGGAAAAAAAGGATTCCTCCATACTTGGGGGAGTCCTCCTGGTTTTTGGAAAACCCAATACACGATGACATTCTGTTACAGATGCACCCCTTCTTGCAGGTCCCGCCACTTTATAATGTCTAAAAATAACCCCAGCAACAAGTAGGAGTTGTCCAACCAGTCCATATAATGCCTATAAAACATTTGCTTCAAAAGCTGCACACACCATTTTCAAGTTCAGATTCTGAGGACAGGATGTTCCGAAACACTGCAGTTTAAAAATGGTGCAGTATTAACGGTTGATAGCCCGGAAAGTCCTAAACCTGTGTCTCCTTCAACTTCTCCTGTAGGACTAAATCCATCATGGTACTTGCAGCATGTCATTGTCCGAGACCTGCAGACCTGTAAGAACTATCACTTTTTGGTGAACGACTGGCTGTCGGTGGAAAGTGAGGAGAGCAGTGGCCTGGTGGAGAAGGAGGTCGTGGCTGCTAGTGAGTAGGAAGGGACATGAAATGTGTCCGGGAGGCTTTCGGAGGCCGTTCCCTTGTGCCGGACCTTGTGCAGGAGGAGTGGGTACCCGGGGAGCCAGCCTGGAGAGGGTGGGGCTCGTAGGCAGCTCCAGCTTCCCACAGTGAGGAGAAAGCCCCCCCTCCCCCAAACAGACCCGAGTGCCACTTTTGAGGAAAGGGGGAGCAAAAGCCAAGGGCCCAGGCTCCAAAAAGGCCGGACTTGTAGGTGCTGCCATTTTGGTTTGGCCATGGAGGTCGTAACTCTCCGAGTCCCGAGAGGGGGTTTCCGTGACCCCTCAGCCTTGAGGGTTGGAATGGGAACGGGCCTGGGACAGCCACTCTGGACAGACATACTGCTTCCCCCTGGCCCTTGCCCTGCGACCATACAGGACACCGGGATGTCCAGCGGCACTTGCAGAGAAGCTGTCGGTCACAGAGCTTCATTTTTGCTTTTGGCGACTCAATTATGTGGTCTTCTGAGCTCAGTGAGGACCAAGCCGAATGTTAAAATGATTGGAAAACAAATCGCTGCTTTGAGAAACCAAGTATGAGGCCAGTATAAGAAACAGCATGTGGAGCGTTGCTGTGCAGGAATAAAACGGTCCCCCCGCCCCAGTTATGATGAGAAATGCTGGACGGGAATAGCAGGCCATGCGCCTGTTTCTGGAATGGGTCCTCCCTTTTTAAGTTACAGATTAGCTTTTCAGGCATTTAAAATAGGTACATTTCCTTTAGAGTCACAGCCGTTGTCTTCTGGCATAGAACTATGTCCAGCCTAGCATGGTTAATCGAGGCGTATATAGGTAGCATACGTAGAAATTACTAAGAAACAGAAGGCCTGAGAAGCACACGAAGCTTTTGGTTGCTGCAAGTGCTTTGGAAGTCTCCCGTACCCCAAACAAGACTGCATCCGGATGTTAGGCCATCCCATTTCCTCTCCCACCCGCACCCCGTCTCCTGGAGAGGTGGGTCTATGAACTGGGGTGGCCCAGTGTTTGCTGTGGGGCATCCTCCCCAGCTCCTCATTAATGTTTTGCACATGAACTGTCGCTGGCTCAGAGGTGCCGTGTTGGCAGAGTTTGGCTATCAAGCCACTGGGGAGGACACGCCCTGGGACCCACTCGTGGCGGACACTCCCCTAGGCACAGGGTCGCCTGACCTGAGGCGGGCAAAGCATCTCGTGGGCTCGCGGCCCCGTTCCCTGCTCACCTCTTTGCCCCCCGGCTGCCTCGCCGTTGGCAGGCGCCCCGAAGGCGAGTTCTGTGGGCCTGCGGAGCGGGGCGTGTGCTCCCACCGCCCTGACTGGGCCCTGGGCTGACGCAGGGCTGCCCTGTGCCTGCTCTGCAGCCGAGGCCGACCTGCGAAGCTTCCTGCGCATCTTCCTTGGCGAGCTGCAGCGCGGGTTCTTCGAGAAGCACGTCTGGCTCTCGCTGTGGGACCGGCCTCCTCGCAGCCGCTTCACCCGCGTCCAGAGAGCCTCCTGCTGCTGCGTCCTCATCTTCCTCTTCCTCTGCGCCAATGCCGTGTGGTACGGGGTGGTGGGAGACAGCAACTTCAGGTATGCCCCCCCCGCCCCGCACAAGCGGTCCCTGGGCTCCCCTCGCGGGCTCCCTTCCTGCTCCAGACGACAGAGGATCCAGGTGGAGGCGTTCCTGCTTCCCCCAGGAGAGGCCATGTGGGGGCAAGGGACCTGGAGGAGATGGGGGCATCTCGAGGAGCATCTTGGAGGAGGGCTTGGAAATCGGCGCCCCACGCACGGGCTCGCTGAATGCTCTCGTTTGGATGAAATGTCCTGCTCACGCTGGAAAGGACAGGAGGTCCCCCCTCCCCACACCGGCAGGGGGCAGCGTGAGCAGTGACCGGATGGGTCTCGTGCACAGGTGGGGGGGGGGCAGGACTGAGCCGTGTCGGGAAGGTCGTGTGCCCGGGCCACGTGGGCAGGCAGGCATCAGGGCTGGGCTGCTGGATGTGCTGCGGCACGTGGCGCCGTGGGGGAGGGGCTGTTGTTCTGCAGAACCCTCTCCTCCCCCCCGTTACGGACCCACCTGCCGGCTGTGGCACGTTTTGGGCTCCAGTGCCCCCCCCCCTTCTGGGGCTGGAGCATCATGGACTGGTCGCTGCTGATTGCATAATCGTCTCAGGAAAGTGCTCGAGCAGCCGTACAATCCGTGCCCACGTCTCTGCCGTTCTCCCCTGCTTCTTAGCCACGTGCCCATTTCCACCTTGATCCCAGTGAGCAGTGAGACAGTTGCTGTCGGTCTGGTGTCCAGTCTGGTGGCCTATCCCCTGTACCTGGCTCTTCTTTTCCTCTTCCGGATGGCACGCAGCAAGGTGAGCCTCCTGGCAGCGCGCTCTCGCATAAGAAACGTGGAAGCAGAGCGCGTCGGAAGGGGTCTCCCAGGCCATCTAGTCTGACCCCCGGCTCCCGCTGGCCGCTCTCACGACGCGACGCGACGCGTGCAGCCCTGTCTCTGGGAGAAGAGTCTGCCGGGCCTCCGTGGTCTTGCAGGGCCTGGCTCCGTGCCGGTGGCTTGGAGGCCGCGCGTGAGGGCCCCGGGCTCAGTCCTGGGCCAGTCTGAGGACGAAGCCCCCGAGTGCTCCTGCAGCAGCACCGAAAGAACGGGTGGGACCTGTGTGCTGCGCTGCGTGTCTGGCTGCAGCCCTTGGGTTCCCGGCCAGAGCAAAGAGCGAGCTCCCATCCTGGCCCCTCAAGCCCTCTTCCCTCTCACAGGTGTCTGTCAGCCAGTCCCTGGCCCATCTGGACCAGCAGTCCTTAGAAATCGACAACTATGTGGACTCGTCGCTCCGGGAGAGTTCCTTCCTTGCCTTCCCTGGGCTTCGGATGGAGGTGAGGGGGCTGCTGGTGGTGCCGGGGCAGCTGTGGAAAGGGTGCCGACTGGATGAGCCCGGGTCTCTCCAGCCTGTCCTTTCTGTCCCCTCACGGCCGACGCGGCCCGTGCTCCTCTTGGGGCCTCTGTGCTCCGGATGCTTCAGAAAGCAAAGCCTCCTTTCCCACACTGGACTTGCTGAAAAGCAAGACGCTTCCGCTGGGCCGCTTTTATAAACGCCCCTCGTGTGCTTTGGAGCCCCGGGGCAATTCCAGGTCTCTGCGTGGCTGCTGCCCCTTTCCACCGGCCTCCTGGGACACGCCTGTTTCTGAGGCTGGGCCTGCTTATCGTGGCAACGTTTTCGTGCACAGACAAGTCGCCCCATTTCGCGAGGGTGCCGTGTGCTTCAAATGCACACTCCAGCCTGGATGGGTTGGAGACGCCCAGCCTAGAGGCTGGTGCCCAGATAGCTGCAGAGGGACCCTTTCTGGGGTGCCCCTGTTGGGCCCACTGGCAAGAACTGGCCATGCCAGACTGAAATTCGTTCCTTCCCTGCAGGCATTTTCAGAGCAAACCAAAACAGACCTGCTCCAGGATGATTCCAAGAGGTAAGCCAGTGCCGTGGGCACTGTGACCCCCCCCCCACTCTGCCAGGTCTGTGGGTGGGGTGGGAGAAATGCGCCTGGGCCATGGGCGCCCTTGAGACGGGCGTGGGATGGGGGGGCGGTGCTGCATCACTGCGGGACGGCTGCTTGTCTGCGGGCTCAGCCTCCCTCTGGTTCTTTCTGCTTGGGCCCAGCCTGACCCGGGGGCACTCCAGCGAGGCCCTGCTCAGCTGGCCTGACCTGCTGAGCAACCCCTCCATAATGGACAGCACCATCCAGAGGCTGAAGCGGGGGAGGACCAGCCGCCACCTGGGCTTCGAGGCTCCTCTCGCTGCGGAGGAGGACCGCTTGTCCCTCGGGCTCCCGCAGGCTCCGGCACGGTGTTTCTCGGCCTCAGGTAGGGGGGGAGGCAGGAGAGCGGCGTTCCGCCTGCAAACCCTGGAGCAAACCGCTTGCCCTTCGCGCGGACTGCCACGCGGGGAAGGCACGAACTCCGCCTGCAATGTGTTCTCCCGCCACAGATGAAGACCTGATCCGGCAAATCCTCGCTGAAGGAGTGGGCAGCCTCTCTCATCCCCAGGATATGGGACAGTATCCCAAGGCCGAAACGGACCTCATCTCAGGGCTGTAAGTCTGCTGGGGGGGGGGGGTCCTTCCCATCTCCTGGCATGGATGTGTGAGAAGGCCATCCAGGACCCCTGCATGATGGGAGGCCCCGTGCCACACAGGCATCCTGCCAGGAGGGGCCAGGCTCAGAGGCAGGAGGGGTGCATGGTGGCCCCTGCCTGCTTGGGCCTTTTGCCCCCAAGGCGTTTCAGCCGTGCAGGATGGGGTCCCAAGCATGCCAGAGCTGGATCATGATCCAGCAAGTGGAAGTCAGGAAGAGGCGTGCTGGCTGCAGCCCTGGCAGGGGCCCAGGGATCTGCCCCAAACTGACTGGTCTTGCTTTCCCTGGCAGATCCAGCATGTTTGGGGAGAAGACGGAGGCGATCATGCTGCAGAGGCTGAATGAGAAAGGGCAGCCCCTGGGCATGAGCAAGGAGCCCAACCGCCCGGCCAGAGCTGGGCAAGCAGGTACCGTGGGACCGAGAGAGGCTCCTGCGAGATGCGACCGTGCTGGGGGCTCGGGGCAGGAAGCGCGCTGGCCTGGCAGCCTGCCCAGGTCCAAACTGCCGTTGCGGCTGCACTGTGCCCTCCGCCACCCTTGACGCACAGGCGCATGGACCTGGCTTTCCTTCTGGGAACAGGCTGCGTGACCGCCCCTGGCTCCTGGCCACCACCGTCAGCTCTGGCAGAAGAGGCCGTGGGGTCCTGCGCAAAGCGTGCAGACTCGTCCCTGGGTGCAGAAGGGCTCCGCGCAGACCCCGCCTTTATTCCTGGCCTGTGTGTCTCCCCAGTTACGGACGGCTGTGCCCGGAAGCAGCTGCTGCCTTTCTGGTGCTCCCGCCTGGCCCACGGCCTCAGCTTTGCCCTCCTTGTCATCTGCTTTGGGGTCTCCGCGTGGATCGGGGTGGGCTTCACTGCCAGCGTGGCCCTCATGTGGCTTATCTCAGGGGTGTTCAGCTTCCTCTCCTCCTTTGTGCTCTGGGAACCCCTCAAGGTAGGTCCTGGTGGGAGGGTGGGGGGGCTGCAAGCACGGAGGGCGCTCAGGCGTCTTCAGGTCATTGCAGGTGCTGGTTCCATCCCAAGGCCTGCTTTCCGTGGGGCTTTCCATTCATCCATTTTGGGGCTCATCATGTGTGATCGATGCTTACTGAGAACAGCTCCGTACACCTCCAAAGGCAAGAGGTGCCTAGTCAATCCGTGCTCCCTGAGATTGCCCGAAAAGAGGTTGCTCCGCATTCTCCCTTGTGCCTCTGTGACCTCTGAGCAGCTGCAAAGCACACCCTTCTCCCGGGTGGCTCTAATCTCTAGGTTGCGCCTCCGGAAGAGAGATCTCCTTAGCAGAAAGGATTCCAATTCCCAAAGCATTCCCGGGCACTTGCCTTGCCTTTAGGGTGCACTCAACACCCACAAGGTGTGGGGAGATGGGGGGCCCTCCCACCTTCACCTGGCCGGGTACAGGGCAAGGGGCTGCACTGGCTGCAAGGCAGCCGGGCCTGGTGGCGCCAGGGAAAAGGATGCGGCAGCCCAGCTTCCAGGCCGGAAGGCCCGGCGGCTCGGCTCCAGAGGGCCAGGGTGGTTCTTTGGGGGGCCCAGAGCCAGCCGTCCTGTGGCCAGGCGGATGCAAGCCAGGGGCTGGCTCCCCACTGCCTTGGCAGGCGTTGCCCGGGCCCGGCTCGGGCTGCAGTAGGGAGCCCCTGCCTATCCCAGGCCCTTTGAAAGGGAGGAGCGATGGGCTGGGCGCCGCGCCGGAAGCACCCCGTGAGTCACGCGGCCAGCCGTGGCGCCTGTCCTTGCCAGAGTGTCCCGGTGGCGCTCTGGCTGCGGCTGCGGCTGCTCTGAGGCCGCTCGTCTCACACCGCCCACTCCTCCGGCCTCCAGCATCGCAGCAGCAGGGCAGCTCCCCGCGTCCTGCAGTGAGCAAACAAGCCGGAGCGCATGTTCTGTTCCCGGGAGGGGGGGGGCTCCTGGGCAGAGTGGCGGTGTTCCGACTGTCCGTGGTGCCGAGCGAGGGGCATTCCGGAAGCCCTGCCTGGCGAACGCACCCGCCTCCCAGGCCTCTTTGGGGGGCCTGCGGCTTGCCTGCAAATCGCGGGTGCAGACTGCCACGGTTCTGGCCCGGCAGCCTTTCCTGAGCAGCTCCGGCGTCGGTGTGGAGCACTCCATCACCGCCTGCTGCGGCGGGGCGTGGGGGGGGGTCCACCCTGTCCTTGCTCTAGAGGAGAGGCGTCTGTTCGGAGAGTGTGGCGTCTATCTGAGCAGGCAATCAGGACCGTGGCATGCCGTGCACGTCCTTAATAGGAGAGAAACGTGCACGTCTCACGCACCGTTTTGCACCTCCCACAAGACAACGGGCGCTTGTGCGTGGGCAGCCAGCTGCGTGATGACGGATCGCGAGGGAAGGTCTCTCTTCCTGGGAAGGTTTTCAGCTGCCTCTGAGAACTCTGAGGAACCCTCTTCTCCTTTCATGTCACGGGCTTTTCCAAGTCTTATTCTGAAAATCCAGAATTCTGTAGATCAGCGCAGGTATCCATTTTTGCAACTGCACCACCCATAGAGCGGCAACATCGGGGTGCCCCTTGTTTTGGCCATGGCTCACATGCCCGCTTCCCTGAGGGGTCGCTCGGCCCCGTTCCCCGCAGTTGCACCTGGTCCCTGGTGTGGGAGCGGCGTCAAACCCTGAAGCAGGCCAGGGAAATAGCGCGGTGGGCGAAGCAGCGCGGCTGGACTTGGCCCTCTGTCCTGCTTGAAATCTTTGCTGGAGATGTTTGAGGGACTCCACTGGTGGCACTGAAGTGGGAAACCGTGGTGTCTTACTAACCCATGGGATTATTCTGGAGCAGCTGCGTGTGCTTTTTTCACCTGCTCGCATCAGCTTTGCCGAGTTATTGGAAAAAAACCTGTGCACAAAAGTCATTTCACCCGTCCGGCCTTCTCTTGGCTGTGGGAGCAGCGGAACCTGGACGAGCGGGGAAGGTGCCATTCCAGCTGGTCTGGTCTGTGTGTCTGCGCCGCACCGGCCGCTGGGAGGCGTGAGCCGTGGTGGGTCGGTTGGTACAGGGGTGATCTCCCCGCCAGGTTCTCCTGGAAGCCCTGTACTTCGCCCTGGTAGCCAAGCGCTTGCACCCCGAGGAAGACGACACCCTGGTGGAGCACCCCTTGGTCGAGCCCGTGTCGGAGAAGATCGGCAAGGTCCGGCCGCCTCAGGGATTTGCCCTCTTCCAGGCCAAGGAGGAAGCCCGGAAAGTGAAGCTTCTGCACAGACTGCTCAAGGTGGACGTGCTTTGCAGCACCGCAGGGGGGCCACCAAGGGCCAGCGCCCAGGCACTGCCGCCCCGGGGGTCCGAGGGACAACCCAGCGATCAGCAGAGGGTGGGGGCCTCCAGGGAGGCAGAGGGCCGCACGCTCCCATCCCGTCCTCTGAGCTGAACACGTGGAGCGGCACGACCCTGCCTTTTTCCGAGGCGGGCGCTGAGCGTTCCTGCATTCTGCCCTGGCATAGCAGAGGTGCAGGAGCCGTCCCAAGGCTGGCAGCTGGCGGGAGGAGAGGCGTGCGAGGGAGACCCCTCGGCACTGCCGAAAGCGAGCCCAAAGCCGGAGCCGCGGGTCCGGCTGCCCAGGCGGCCTTCGCTGTGCCGCAGTGGGGCTGGAGGCCTCGGGAGGGTGGGGCACGAGCCTCCCAAGCAAGGGCCCGCTGTGGGGTGTCCTGCTGCCGAAGGGGACTCCCCTGCCGTGTGGCATGGCTCGCAGGCACACGGGGCCCCTCCTTGGGGGCTGTTTTGCTGAGGCGGCCGAGATGGGTGGGCGGTTGCGGGCCAAGCCGTGAACCTTGCTTGTCTGCCCGTTCATGCCAGAACTTCCTGGTCTACATGTTGCTCCTCCTGGTGATCCTCCTTGCCAACTACGGGGAACCGTCGCAGAGCAGCCGGGCGTTCCTTCTGCAGAGCTCCGTCAAGCGGCAGCTGCGGAGCGAAGAGTTCCTGCGCATCCAGAGGTACTTCGGAGTCCGCAGCCTGGGGGGCCTGGGTCTGGGGGCACTGAAGGGACACCGAGCGGAAGCACGGCCCCTCCTGCCGGGGCGAGGCCGAGGGCCTCCCTCCCCCAGCGTCGCCCCTCCCCGTGTCTCTTCTGCTTCCCTTCCGCAGGGCAGAGGACTTCTGGGGGTGGCTCTCCGGGGGGCTGTTGCCCTACCTGCACAAGAACCCGCCCGGCTGGGGAAGGTGCGGCGCCACGCTGGGGCCGGCCCGGCTGCGGCAAGTTCGCCTGAAGGAAGGTGCGTGGGAGCGCGAGGGAAGGCAGCCGCCTGGGCCCGGCTGCCCGCTCTGCTCTGCTCTGCTCGGGCCTGGCCCACTCCAAGCGCCGGGCAGCAGCGCCCCCTGTGGCCGGCCGGCCGCCCCTTCGCAGCGGAGCACACTTCCCGGGTCCTGTGGCTTTCTGTGATCCACGGCTGGGCTGGCTGGCACAAGGGGTCCTGGAGCGATTGCGCCTCCAGCATCAGTAGCCTGCAGGGGGAGGGACGGCCCCCGCTTCCTCAGGAAGGCGGCTCAGGCGAGTTGCCAGGCCTGCCCGCGCAGATTTCTCTTGTTCCTGAGCCGGGAGAATGCTGCCGAAGCAGCCGAGCAAAGGGGCCCTCTGTGGAGGGGAGAGGCGGAGGTGCTGGGCGTGCTGAGTGATGCGACGCGGAGGGGAGGGCAATGGGTGGCGTGGCTGCGACGAGCACCGGACTGGCGGAGGACGAACGCAGTGCCGCTGGCGTCTCCCCACAGGGTGCCCAGGCCCCGCTGGCCACGTCCTCGCCGGGACTGGCCCCTCTGCGTCTCGGGAGCAGTGCACGCTCGGCTCGGGCGGATTCGACACGGCCAGTTACGCCGTCGGCTGGAAGAGCAGTTTCAGCAACGGCACAGAGTTGTGGACCTACTCCCCCCCTGATCTTGCCGGGTAAGAAGGGCCGAATCTCCCCTGCCCCGGCTACCCTGCAAGAAACGCCTCGGGCGCCGCTGTGGCCGGTTTCCTGCTCCCCCGACTTCCTCGCAGTCCCCCACAGGCTCAGGCAAAGGCAGGCGAGGGGCTGCTCCTGCCGCTCCCGCCTCCAGAGGGTCTTTTCCGGGCAGCAGACAAGCGCGGGTGGCAGGTCGCCTGCCCTTCCGTCCCCGGAGGCCCCCGCAGGCAGCAGCTTCCCAGCGCTCCCGTCCTTGATCACAGTCTGAGGGGGGTGGGCGCTCAGGCGCGCCGATGCCCCGGGGGCGAACCGGGGGGGGGCGGGCCCTGCCACGTGAGCCCCCGTTCGGTGTCACTGGAAAGTCCAGGAGGTCCAGGCTGCCCCTCAGTGAGGACCAGGGTCTGGCTGAGTGTGAGCAGGCCAGAGAAAGGTGTAAAAGGGTGGTGAACGTGAAAGGGCACATATTGGGAGTGCTGTGAGTGGTAGTCCGACCCACATCGGACGCGGACCGCACATGGCGTGGGCTCGGTCCGTCCGTGGGGAAGGAGCGTTTTAATGCCGAAGAAGTGCAGGTGCCCACGGCGGGAGTGGGTGTCGGGGGGCTCCTGGCCTGACCTACCTCTCAGGGCAGCTGTTGTGAGCGTGGACCAGAGGAATCTTGCAGAAGCTGGTGCGGCTCCCTTGCAGGAAAAACGGGGAGTAAATCTAATAAATGAGTGACCGGCGGGGAGGCGGCCCGCCCAACCTAGTTCTGACCAGGCCCCGGCATGTTTCAGAGCCTGGTACTGGGGATACCTGTCCTCCTATGATGGCGGTGGCTACATCCAGGAGCTGGGCACGAGCGTGGAAGAAGGCCGCGCCCACCTGGACGCCCTCCGGCAGCACAGCTGGATCGACAACAGGTGGGCCGGGGGAGCGGCCGGCGGGCGGGCGGGCTTGTCGGGGGGAGGATGGGGCACTGGCCGCCAGACCCGCTCCTTTTCTGAACCAGTTTCGCCTGGCCGCAGCGGCCACCGCTGAGCCCGGTGCGCGCTGAGCCGCCTCTCCACCCCCGCAGGAGCCGTGCCGTCTTCGTCGAGCTCACCCAGTACAACCCGGGCCTGGGTCTCCACGCTGTCATCACTCTGCGGCTGGAGTTCCCCGTGGCCAAGCGTGCCTTGCCGGCCGTGGCCGTGACCGCGCTGCCCCTGGCCCCTCTCGGCCAGGCGGCCACGCTGCAGCTCGCCATGATGGTCAGTGTGCGCCCGGGGCCTGCCTCGCTGCAGCTGCTGCGGGCGGCAGGGGGCCCGGGCCCTGCAGCCGCCCGTGTCTCAGCCTGCCGTGGGGAGGGGGCGCCGCAGGGCTCGGTGCCGGGGGGGGGGGGGGGGAGGCGGGGTTGCTGCGGACCCCCCGGGGCAGGAAGCGCTCGCTTCCCCGCTCGGGGCACTGAGACGGCTGCCATCGGGCTGCCTCAGGTGCTCCGGGGAGGGAAGCGAGGGCAGGAGGGGCCGCAGCGATTCAGAGTCTCTCTCGGTGATTCTGAACGCTTGGCTTGTTAAGACGGCAAGCACTGCACTGAGCAGAGGCACGCACAGGCCTGGAGACCCCCCCCAAAAGACCCCCACCCCTGTGCTCTGCAGGTCTTCCTCATGGTTGTGGTTGTCTACTTCGTGGTTGCCGAGTCCCTCGCCATGAAGAGGGCGGGCAGGGCCTACTTCGCGCGTGTGGGGAGCTACGGGCAGTGGCTGCTCATTCTGGCCGCCACCTGCACGGGCGTCGTGCACCTCAGCCAGGTGGCCCTGGCCAGCCAGCAGTGGGCCAGGTACCTGCAGGACCGACGGAGGTTCACCAGCTTCTACCCCGTGGCTGCTCTGCACACGGCCTCGGGCAGCCTGGCCGCCTGCCTTCTCTTCCTGCTGACCATCAAGGTAGGGCTTGCCTTCCGGCGAGCGGCTGTGCAGGGCAGGGCCCTCCCTGCTGGGAGCCCCATGTGCGGAAGGCGCCGCGGAAGGCCAAGGCAGCTGCTTGCTGCGCCGTGCCTCGCCTCGCCTCGCCTCGCCTTCCGTGCATCCAGATGGTCATTGTGGCACCTTGCTCGTCTAACCGCCCGCCCATTCCGTTGTACTTAAGTATTGTCCTATACTCAAGCGAGCGAGGTCTCCTTTTCTGGAGGGGGTGCGAGGACTCCTTGCTCCAGAACTTCCCCTGGAATTCCAGGGGGCTGTCGTGGTGAGACGTGCCTTCCACCGGCTGGAGTTGGCATTGGCCCACCAGCTGCGTCTTCCTTGGCTAGATAGAGCCAGGCCATGGCGACCCACGCTCCAGGAACCTCCCATTTGGACTATTGCACCGTGCTTCAGGTGGGGCTGCCCTTGAAGGCAGTCTGGATACGCCGGTGGGCACAGAATAGGACAGCCGGTCTCTTGGCTGGGACCGGCAGGCATGTTCCTGTACCATCCACCAGCCGAGGCCTGGGTTGAGAGCGACATGCGATGTCCCCAGTGGCTCAGGCCCTCGCGAGCTAAAGGAACACCTGCCTCCATGCATGCCTGCTCTGTCCCGAAGATCTTTGCCTGAAGCCCGTCCCTGAGAGCCCTCCTTGAGGGAGGCGAGCAGGGCCTTTTCATCGGTGGCAACTCATTTGTGGAATGTGCTCCCCAGAGATTTGTCTGGCACTGACTTTCTATTCTTTTTGGCACCAGACCAAAACCTTTTTATTTAACCAGCATTTTAATTGTTGATTTCAATATATATTTGATTATTTTAATCAAGTGCTGAAAATTGTTTTGATGTTCTTAAAATTGTAAACCATCTTGAGATTTTCTATGGAAAATAATAGATGGTATAAGAAAATTTTACATAAATACGTAGAAAAGTGCCCTGGGGCATCACTGAAGTGAGGCGGTCGGTGCTGGCAAGCAGAGTCCAGGTCTGCTGCTCCGCCCTGCCGGGAGCTCAGCCACAGACAGTGGGGCCCACGGCGCCGCCTCCTCCCTTGCTGGGCAGGATGAACCCAGCCGTTTCAGGAGGTGAGCTGCTCTGCAAAGAAGAGAGTTGTGCCCTTGGGAGGGCAGTTTCCGTATGATAAACATCCCATATTTCAACATAAAACAATTCCTGAACTGCTTCTAACAGGACACGACAATAAACTAGGACCATGCAACATGGCTGGAAAAATATCACTAGCGATTTAGAAGCCTGGGTCCAGAAGTGACTACAAAGGGGAGGCGATCCTCCCCGGGCCACGTGGGGAGACCCCTGACCGCATCTGCTTTCCCAACAGGCCGCCCAGCAGCTGCGCTTCATCCGACAGTGGTCCACATTTGGCAAAACACTGCGGAGGGCTGCAAAGGAGCTCTTGGCCGCAGCGGTGGCCTTCGTGATCCTCACACTGGCCTATGGACAGCTTGGCTTTCTGGTAGGTCTCGAGTCCTCTAAGCAGGATGTGATTTTAGGGTGGTTCATTATGTCTGTCTGGAGGCCCTTGTGGATGAAGGATGGTATACACTTCCTAATACTGCAATGCACTCTGCGTGGGGCTGCCCTTGAGGACGGTCCGGATACTTCAGTGGGTTCAAAATAGAGCTGCCAGGCTGCTGAGGGGGCCGGTCACTATTTTCATATAATGCTGGTCCTCTATCAGCTACACTGGCTCCCCACTGAAGTCTGGGCCCAATTTAAGGTGCTGGTATTGACGTATAAAGCCCTAAATGGCTTGGGACCAGGATACCTGAAGGAACGTCTTTCTCCCTGCGTGCCCTCCTGCCCCTTAAGATCTGAGGCAGAGGCCCTGCTCCGGGAACCCCCCCTGAAGGAGGTCAGGAGAGGGAACACTCGGAGGAGGGCCTTCTCTGCGGTGGCGCCCCGGTTCCAGAATGCGCTCCCCAGAGAGGTCCGCCTGGCCCCAACGTTATATGCCTTCCGGCACCAGGTCAAGACATTTTTATTTACCCAATATTTTAAAGTTTATTTTAATTATGTTTTTATTGATAGATCCTCAAGTCACATTTTATCTTGTTATGGTTCGATGTACATATTTATTGGATATTTATTACATTGTAAGCCGTCCAGAGACGATTCGTATTGGACGGGATAAAAATACCCAGCTAGAGAGCGAGTGAGCGAGAGCGGGAGTGAGAGAGAGAGAAACATGGAACTGCGCAGAGCACCGACTGGCTGCTTCTCCGCCGGGGGGAATCCCACTCTGCTCTGGGTGCATCAGGCCCTTCCCAGGCCAAGCTCATGTGCAGCTGTTCCCTGCGAGCTGCCGGGGGCTCTGGGAAAGCAGAGGCGAGGAGGGATGCGCGGGCCCTCTGGAGCACTTCCCACACCCAGATCTGGGTCCTAGGAGTTTGTAGGAGGAGAGGCGCTCTTGCAGCAGGCAGGGTGAGCGAAGGCTTTTAGGGATGGGTGGCTGTGGGAAGGGAGCTGCAGGAACTGACCCTCCTCCTCCACTCTGCCCTCGGGTGGCAGCTGTGGGGCGGAGAGCCAGTGTACCCAGGGCCAGCCGTGGAATTCTGACCGCCTCTCCCGTGTCTCTCGGCCAGCTCTTCTCTTCCCGCTCCGAGTCCTTCCGCAGCTTCTTCCACGTGCTCCAGGTGCTCTTCACCGCCCTCCGCGGGGGCCTGAGGCTGCAGTTCTGCCTTCCTGAGCCGGTGGGGCTCTCCCACCTCTTCTGCGTCAGCTACATCCTGCTGGAGCTGTGGGTGGTGCTGCGCCTCTTCGCCGCCGTCCTCATCCACCATCACCGTGAGACCCGCTTCGAGATGTACCGGCCGGCCGTCGAGTCCCAGGACTACGAGATGGTCGAACTGTTCGTTCGCAGGCTCAAGATGTGGCTGGGATTTAGCAAAGCCAAAGAGGTGGGGGGGGGGGGTGTGGGGGGGGGGGGGGGTGTGGGGGGGGGTGTGGGTGGGGTGTGGAGGGAATCTGCTTGCAGTGCTTGCACCAAGATGGTGAAGGCAAACATGGCAGGCTAGTAGGGAGCACAGCTCATGCCCTTCCCTTCCACAGGGCTGTGATCCAAACGTAGCAATTCTGTGCCCAGACAGAAAAGTGGGTTTTGCCGCTGGGATAAATGAAGCACCGGCCAAGTTGCTCTCGTTCTGCTAGGCAGGTGTGGAGCGGCGTTCTGCCCCTTGCGCCAGGTCCTGTGCCCGTGAGGGGGGCACTCGCCATGTCCAGAATGGGCGACCCGATGCACGTGGAGCTGCATCTCGCGCCCAGGGCTGCACTTGGGTTCTGCCACCAGGGAGGCATGTTGGCCCCCGCACAGCAGGGGCGTTCCTGCGGCAGTGCCCTTGGCTTCTGGGCTCTTCACGGGGCTTGCCCGGATTGTTTTAAATGATTGTTTCAGATTTTTCTTGTTCTTTAACTTTGATTAATAAGCACCATAGTGTCCCCGAGGGCTGAAATGCCGCGCTTTGGTACATGGCACCTGCGGAGGGGTGGCAGTTTCTGTACTTATTTTCACACAGAACCAAATAGACGTTCTTTGTGCTGCACAGAAACTTGCATGGCTCTCCCTGTTGCACCTCTTGGGGATCCAGATCCCTCCCCCTCCCCCTCCCGGCAACAGGCCCCGCACAGGTGTGATGCACAGAGGCCCGTGGAAGAGCAGTAATTGCCTGGGAGACTCAGCCTCAGGGTGTGCCCCGCTCTGCTGGACCCAAGCAGAGTCGGCAGTGTTTCACCTTGCAGTGTGGCAGGCCTCCCTGTTCTTTAAAAGGCTAAAAAATGAACTCGGGAGGGACAGGGAACCCAGGGGGCACGAAGAGACACATCCGCGTGCCTGACGGCACCACATCACAGGACACACTCCAGCGGAGCCAAGCTCAGGGAACCCAGGTTCCACTTAGGTGCCAGGAAGCACTTCCTGACCATTGGGACCCCGAGGGTGTGGACTGGGCTTCCAGGGAAGGTGGCTGAGGCCCCACCAGTGACGGGGTTCAGGGACAGGCTGGACATGCACGTCGTGAGCGGAGCCAGCTGGAGCCGGGGGTCAGACTAGATGGCCTGGGAGGCCCCTTCTGGCTCGCTGTTCCCATGTTTCTGTGTATGAGAGCAGAATGAAGTGTCTGGCTCCAGAGCCCTGCTGCGTGAATTTGTCAATGTGGCTTTTCTGTTCTCCGCAGTTCCGCCACAAGGTGCGCTTCGAAGGGATGGAGCCGCTGCCCTCCCGCTCCTCCAGCCAGGACTCCCAGTCGCTGCAGGGCCCCACCCCCAGCGCCACCTCGGACAGTTCTCGCGCCTCCACTTCCTCCGGCCAGCTGGAGGGGCTCAGCCTGGCCTCCAGTCCCTGGGACGGCTCCGAAATGGACGCTGAAGTCCAGCGCCTCCTCTCCCTCTTCGAGACGCTGCTCGCCCGCTTTGACCGGCTCGGTGCAGCTACGGAGGAGGTGTACGACCTCGAGTGCCAGCTTGCAGGCATGCACAGCTGGTGGGCCAAGAAGAGGGGTGGGCAGGGGGCAGGCGAGGCAGCGAGGCTCGGGACCCCAGCCCAGGCTGCTCTGGCCCCCACCAGCAACAGCCCCCGCCCGCTCTCCCAGCCCGTGAGAAACTCTGGGCTGGCCAGGACAGGCCTCGGCCAGGGCACTCTGCTGGCTCCTCCAAAGACGCACGCCTTGCTCATGCCACGAGCCAGAAAGAAGAAACCGTTACGGGCCAACAACCGGGTCCATCCCAGCGGTCAATAACCGCAGCACTCGGATGCGATCGGTTTAAGCGAGGCTTCTCCCGTCTCCAGCTCTGGTGCCGAAAGCAGCCACGTGCTGGGTAGGAACAGCGTCTTCATCAGCTCGGTGCCAATGGATTTAAAGGAGGGAACGTGGCTGCTGCTTGGAGCCGTTGGGGCTCCTCATCATCACAGCATCTTCCGCTTCCCTGCCTGGCGGCACAGCAGCCCTTTTCCAGTACTGTGGCTTCCTCCAAAAAAAAGGGGGGAAAAAGCCCCTGCTGTGTTGCACAGGGATGGAGGAAAGCCAGAAAAGGCGGGCGCGTGGCTTTTGCCTCGGCAGCCCTTAGGGGGAAGCCAAGGCTGTCTTGATCAGGGCAGTTACAAAACGGCGAGGAAGGAGGCGCACCAGGAAATAAAGCCAGCTTCTCTGGGAAGAGGAGAGGACGGGTGGACCTGTGTGGGGTCTGATGGAGCTCCAAAGTGTCTGCGGATTTTGCAGACATGGTGCATTGGAGGAAGAACTAAGCACCTCCCTGGCCACCTCCTCCAGAACATCACCTTCACCATATTCAGAAGAAATGCAACATGGTGTTGGCCCGAGACTCTGCAAGCAAGCAGGAAAAGGCCGAAGGTTGGATGAGGCCCCCAACACGCCAGTCTCGAGGATGGTGGCCACACTTTGGAGGGGGCCGAGAATGGCTGGTTTCCAGCACCTATTTTGGAAACGGGGCGGGCGGTGGGGGAGTTGCTATTTGGATAGAGAGCCCTGTGAGCTGGTTTTATGGGGTTCCCAGTCCAGCATGTTTTTTCCCCCGTGGAAGCAACTGCATGGGCGAGTGTGTGTTGAGCTGGTTGCTCCAGTATGGGGAATATTGATTGAGTATATCTTATGTCTGGGGGTGTGTGTGTGTACATCTGTGTTTATCTATTATTTATATATGGTTTACTATTTGTATTTACTGCCCAGCACTTTAATCAACGCTTGCCTTAGCTAACAGTGACACATGCAACTTTTAAATAAGAACAGGATAATATATCAGGAAAGCAGTATTGTTTGTGAACCATAATTTGAAACAGGCCACTGGAATATGACCACAGACATGCCACCTGATGCTGTCTTACTGGAAGGTACCCCAATGTGTCAAGTTCCACCCAGCAAGTTTACAGTTCTGGAAAAGTGCCTGGCCTCTTAACAGCAGGAGAGGTGAAAATTTTAGTTCATGGATTTTCATTAGTGCCTATAGCTAGCTCTCCAACTTAGACAAGCAATGCGCTCAAATGCTAAGGGCTTAGAAGCAGAGCAGTCAAATTAATTGAATTTGGCTTCAAATCATGGTCTGTAGTCTCAGAAGCAGCACCTCATCCCCCTTATAGCCAGTATTCCTCCCAAATCAGTTTAGGCTCCACATCTGCCCCCCACCCCAGGAAACTTCACATTAATTTGTACTACAAGCAGAAAGGCATGTCCGAAAGGTTACAGGGCTGCCAGCCCTACTTGATAGTAGCAGCTAGTGAAACCATGCACCTGAGTGCTGCGGAATGCAATACCGGCAGCATCTGGAGTGCCATTAAGTTGTCCTTTTTACACAAGAAAAGGGGCTTTTGAGGTTAGGGGAGCAGTCCCTAGCCTATAGATTAATACTAGCTTACTTAATACTAATTTTCAAGCCTGCCCCATCCCCGCCTCCCCTTTGAATGAATGACGACAGCCTCCCCTTGAAAGCTGCAGCGGGTCTGTACGTTTTCGGGAACCTCAGCTACCCTTCATTAAGCTGTTACCCTTCCCATTCGCTCTGGCATGCCTCTTGTCTTCATATTCCATGGGCCAGTTTAATGTTATGTATATTGTAAGTAATTTATATGGGATTTTTACAAGAAGAAAAATGTATATTTTTCTATGTTTGCTATATTTTTATAGCATTGGTACTGTGCTCTACATGTGTAGATAGGAGTTATTTAAAAAAGTGTGTTAAAAGCCTTCCTGCTAAAATGTATAGAGGTGCGTCGCCAAAGTATCAGGAGTATGGGATTTGTGCCAAAGGAAGTCTGGGAGATATATACATTCCCCATATCCAGGGCAGGGGGCAGGAACTCCCCGCAATGCACTAGCCATATTTTCTCCCAAGACTTTGCTAAGAAGTCTAAAAGGAACCCGGCTATCAAGGCACCGTTTCTGGGTTTCCACAAGTGCCATTTCAGAATGTTGCCTGCCTACACACATCTCCAGCTTCACTGGTGATTTAAAATGTAGAGAGATCTTTTTTCGTGAAAGATTTTTTTTTAATTGCTGTTCTTTGGCTGTAACCATTATCCTAAAATTGGGAAAAGATGGTTACATGCATGTTTTTATTAAAATTGAATTATTTATATGGATGCTGTTTTTGAATAAAATCTCTTTTTAATAGTATTCCCAGCTGCTCTAGCATCAGGTAGAAAGAGAAGAGGGAAATGTACTTGCTTCGTCCTGTGATAGAAACAGGAAAGATTATTAGGTGGTAGGGAAAATGAGTGGATTGAAAAAAGGGATTTGGATTAAATTTGCCAGGAGAAGGCCTTTAGGAGAGGTTTTTCCACAGCCTTCTGCCATCTGAGGGCAAATTGCACACTTTTGGCCTAATAACAAGCTGGGCAGCCCTCCTCCCTCTTTTGTTGACCAGTACAGCAAATTTAAGGAAAACCGGTACAAATGTGGGCAAGAGCAGGCCTCGGCTGCCACGAGAGAAGAAGAAATTGTTGGCTTTAAAGAATATAGCCTAAAATATGTGCATGGCAAGTAACTGAAGCAAGCAAAAGATGGATATGGCTTGAATCCGATGAAGGTTTTTTGCACTTGTTAGTCAGTTAAATTAAAAGTTCTCAATGTTTGTTTTAATGAAGGTATTTGCAGAGCTGCCCGAGTCAAGCCTGGGAAGCAGGTGGCTTAGCAAATTAGCTGTGCTTTTATGCTACGGGTCCTTGCCCTCCTCCTCAGGAGGAGACACTCTGGCGCATGAACAATACGAAGAGCGGCAAGGATGGACCTGTTTTGGAGGAAGTTGGTACACTCAGTGGAGCAGAATGTCCCTGCTGCTTTGCTACAGACTAAGCCTAATTAAGCATGGGGTGGATATGCCGCTCCCCATGAGCAGCAAGCCCAAGCCACGTCCTACCTGCTCAACCAGTTCTTGAATGTATATTTTGGCCTTCACTCACAGCTAGATGGTTTATTTATTGTTGCTTCCAACCCCACACCGTGATGTGCTTTTTAGTAAAGAACTCAATCAGCTAGACAGATGAGCACCCCCTCCCCTCAAAAAAGCCTCTTTCGAGGTGGGTAGCTTTATGAAGGCTTCCTGCAGTAATGGCAGAACACGTGCTTGATGGTGGTAACACTTGCAAACTATTTTCTTTTGTAATGATGAAAAAAATTGACAAAGTCAAATTAAAAGAGGTAATGGACGGCTAAAGGATTTGTGTCTTAGTACGTGAATGCACATGTCCCTTTAAGCGAAGTTAAATAAGCATTTGGAAGAAAAAAAAAAAAGATTTTGGGCACTTGCAAGTCCTGGTTCTGAAAATGGCATGTTCTAATGCTCTGGATGCTTCCTGGCAGCCCACTGGTGACAGTCAGTCTCGGAGGTGCGGTGACACAGTGTGCCCTCAAGCGCTTTGCGCTAAGGCTTGGCCACCCGTGGCAGTGTCCCACATGCTTCCTGGCAGCTTGATGGTTAAATCGGCTTCCAGTGAGCATCCCCAGACAGCCCAAGCGCTCACCTGCACCCTCCCGGCCCCACGACACACGGGCTGCCTCAGGCAGGCGTCCCCTGCGTGGGGCTCTCCAGCCAGCCCTGGCAGCCCTTCCAGGGGCTCTGCCCCACGCTCCAGCCAGAGGGAGGGAGGACAGAGAAGGGATGGGAGGCCCCTGCAACCCGTCCGAGCACAGAAGTGAGTTGCGCACAGTGCTGGGAGAGGGCGCTCCTGGGAACTGGCAATCCGGCAGCCATACAAATGGTTCATTCCATTAACAGTGTTAGAAAACGTTTGCCAGATGAAGCAGATACACAGAACTGGAAGGGCGTTTGACCGTGCTTAGGTGACTGCCCCCCGCCCTTTAGGGTGGCAGAGGGGATTTACCCCTGCTCTCTCCAAAGGGAAACCATGGCAAGGCTCGCGGGAAAGCGCACCGCCGTTCAGTGGGCAGCACCCGCGACTGTGGAGCGGGAAGAAAACCAGGCAGACGGCCCAGGGGCGGTTCACACGCTCCCCTTCCGGCAGAGCGTCTTGCCCTGGGCAGCCCACACAACGCTCCAGGAAGGTCCGCACGGCAGGGCAGGGACAGGCAGCCCGCTCCCTCCAGCTGGTCTTGACGGCAACTCCTCCGCCCCGTCATTTGGAGCTTCAGTCCTGCCACGGCTTGTTTCAGATCGACCAGGCAGAAGGGGGACTACCAAAGCAGGAGGGTGCTGTGAGATTTCTCTTGCCCTCCCCGCCATATACTCTCCTCTGGACAGAGTAAATCTTCCATGCCTCCTGCACTGGGGAACAGGTCGGACACACGCACACCGGCCCCTTCCTATCCAGACCGACTGCCAGAGCATTTTGGCCCCATGAGACAAGGCATTCCACCACTGGAATTCAAAAACAAAGAAATGATCGGTTCCTCTCCGTTCAGCCCTGCCAGATGGATCCATTTAATCAAAGAAAGACCGCTGCCTGCCTGCCCTCCCTCCCTGTAAACCTGGTGGACGTTTTGCTCTCAGCTCTACCCAGATCAGAGCTACTGTTCTGCTTCTGCTTAAGACTGGCCCACGCTGGCTCCTGAGCCTACTCAGCTCAGTTACACAATCTCCACAGGTTGGCATCTCGACAAAGTCCACTGGCTTAGGCAGGGCCCTTTCAGACTGAATCCTGCCTGACCCTCCCAATCCGCCAGTCACCCCCACCAACTCCCTTTCCCATCAGGCAGAGATAAAGTGCACGTGAAAATCCACGAGGATGGCCTGTGAATCGTCCAGCCAGGAGGACCCTGGCTGCCGGGGGGTTCGGCTCAGGCTGCCGCTCAAGCATCCTTCCTCTCCACTTTGCTCCACTCTCTTCAGAGAACACGATGGCTAAAATCACAAAAACGAAGAGCCAACAGGCACTTCCAGTGAGCCGCGTGTTGCAGAATTAGGGATCAGGAGCTGCTGAGGTCGCCGTGAGTAAAACCGCAGTCACAAATCACAGGTCAAGAGGAGGCTGATGTGCTGCTGTCGTACGCAGAGGGTGCAAAGATGGGATCTTCTCTGTGGGGGAGGAACTGGAGCCTGGGAAAGGAACAACGCCTGGCACACCAGACAATACAGGCAGGCGGCGACGGAGCTACACAAACTCTGTGAAGTCATCCACTGAGGAGATCAGGCGCTTCCTCTGTCCGGTTTCATAGGTGGGAGCGGGATCTTGAGGGGCGTGTGCAGAAGGCTGCTTTGCAGCGGGAGGTGGGTGCATGGTGGGGAAGCCAGAGGCGTGGTAGTCGGCCTCTTCTCGGATCTGGAAGAAACATGCTTATTTCAAGCACTCCATGTAAGCTTTCATTTTTGTTTCACATGCTCCAGCACTTTACGAAAGGCTTGTGTTTTTATTTCCCTGAAGAGAAGAGGCCTTTGGCAAGGAAAATGCTACTTTGAGTCCATTTTGGGCAGAAAGGTGGGATGATAAAACTAAACCAGCTGCGGCTGAGGTTTAATCCGAGACTGTGGGCTCAGTGCTGCAGACGGCCATGGCTGCTGGAGACCGTGCTGCCACCCCAAGTGCATCCACCTGGGAAAGGAGCTCACGGAGTGTAGTAAAGGCCTGGTCCTGAGGAAGGAGGCCAAGGCAGGGCTGCAAGAGGTCTAGGGGCCGGCCAAGGAGCACACCCACTGTAGGAAGATTGTCAGGCCTTGTCACAGGACGGGCTCTGATCAGCTCGGCCCTGCAGCATGCAGTCCCGTCGTGGGGATAAGACTGAGAACAGCAGGAGGAGAACGATATAGGCCACTTTCAGTTCATTGGAAGGAAAAAGCGGGGTAGAAAGCCAAGGAATGAGCCAACCAGCCACAAGCAACCTTCCCGCTGCTACCCGCTTGGGAAAGTGCAGGCCCAGCCCCACCCACACAGCTGCTGCAAGGTGGGCCCTGGCAGGTTTCTAATTCAGAAGAGGTGGCATTCCATCTGCATGTCCGAACACAAAGGTGCAACCCTCTGAGGAACAGGAAGGGGTGCAGCAAAGGGCACAGGCTTACCCTGTGCCGGAGCCTTTTGATATGGCGTAGCCGAGCGATCCATTTTGACGGGTAGGTATCTGTGGGATTGGAGCGGCTATGATGGACTTGAGAAGCCATCTACAGAGAACAAACACAAGGAAGAAGAGCTGAGTCGGGAACGTCAGTGCACTGCTCGCAAAGAGCAGCTGGCTTAGGTGGAGGCCTCCAAGGAAACGCTGTCTTGGCTGCGTCCTGTGTGCAAGGTGGCATCAGGTAACTGCACCCTTTGTGTTCCTAACCAAGTAAATAGGATGACACCACGTGCGCTTGCGTAGACACAGGCACGATCACGGTGGTTCCGAGTCAAGCGGGAGCAACGCCAGCCCCTCAGCCGCAAGGGGGTGCAGGGGCTTCACAGAAGGGGCGCGAAAGAGGGAAGGGGGGGCCACGTGCTCTGGGAAAGACCCCGTGTCCCAGCCCCTCCCAGCTCAAGTTCCTGTACTGCCCAGTTGGTTCATGGCAGTGTGGGAGGGCTGGCCTTGTGAGGACCTGGTGCCTGAGCAGCAGCGGCGGCACTCACATTGGCATGCAGGGCCATCTGGCGGGCAACAAACGACAGGTTTTTATCAGAAACGATCTTCGCCACGCTGGTATCCACAAGCCCTTCCATATCTATATACAGGAGAGAAAGGGAGCAAGTCCAAAGTCAGTTCACGAGAGGAGGCAAAACGTTTGGATTCTACTGCGGGCAGACTGCTCCAAACGAGGAGCTCAAGGCAAGCCCCCTTCCAAAGCTCTGCAGTGGTCAGCCTGGCCATGTCGCCGTGCTCCGGAGGCGGCGGCTGGAGGCTCTGCCTACCTTTCCGGCACTGAAGGGTGAGCAGGTGGCAGTCATAGTCCAGGGGCTTGATGACCACGTGCACAAAGTTGAACTGGCCCTGGGAGGGAAGGAGCTCTGGTGAATCGGAATGGGTCCAGCAATTCCCGCTCTGGGCCCCCCTCCCTCTGAAAAGGTTACCTGTGCCCCAGAAGCCACCTGGCCACTACCACAGCCTCTTCTTGCACGAGAGTTCCACAGTCTCTTACCTTTATGGTCCCCAGCTTGAAGTCCTCCCCTGAATCGTTGTAGATAATGGAAACAAAGTCGTTCCCAAGGTGCCGTTTCTTATCACAACGATGCTTATCCAAGTCCTTGGTAGGCATCAGTGTAGCAATGTGGAAAATGGCTTCAAAACCACAGAACGGGAAGAGGGAAAGCTGGATGAGCGGAATGCCAGGCCCCAGGGTGGAACTAGTTCAGACAGCAGACATCCAGGGACAGTTTGGCAGGAGAGGGAACGGAACTGCTAGCCGGATCCTGATTGGAAGAGCTCTCCCCTTTTGCTCTGACCCCAGGCCCTGCAGAACTGAAGGTGCTGCTGCTGCTGCAGCCCCTGCCCCTTCCCCACCCCGGAGATGGCGGGGTCCTGAAAAGCCTGGCCGGCACATGCAGTGGCCAAGACATTTTGATGCTGGAGGTGGCACCAAAGTGATGGGCTTGCCTGTGAGGACACTGCCGAGCCCCAGGGGCTCCTTCTGCAGTCTCCCCGAGAAGAAAACATCGGTTCATCCGTGCCTGATGATGGGAGACGGAACACTCATGCGAGCACCTGTGGGGGCTGCCTGTGGATGCCGAGGGCAACGGACACCTCCGCTCCTCTAACCCTTGGCCCGCCTTCACAAGGCTGGCCTGGGCACTGTTTTCGCTCAGATGCTTCACTGCATTATGCCGTGCACGGGCTGCAAACACTCCAGGCTGTGCCAGGGAGCACAGAGCCAAACCCTGGGATCTGCCCGGCACAGAGGAACAGAAGGGCCCGTGTGCCGGTGCCATCCTGTGTTACTCCGGTTGGAAAGGGTCAACAGTGGCTCCCACTCTGCGGAACAGCAGTGCTGGAACAGGCCTGCCTCCAACTTACCCTGCATGATGTCGTCGTGCCAGCAGTAAGTGAATTGCCCATCCTCCCCACACACATCCAGGCCACCCAGGTAAATCTTGTCTGGCTGGCAGTCTTTGAGCTCGATGAGCTTGCCCAGGCCAGTCAGGAACTCTGTGTACCTGTAGGAGCCGTGCTCGTTGGAAAGGATGGCCAGCTCGTTGCTGCTCTGGAACCAGAAGGGGGCAGAGGCGCTTAGCAGAAGCAAGGAGGGGGGCCTGGGGAGCACGCTTGCCGTGCAGGTCGGGGGGGGAGGCATGTGAGCGCACGCGTCAAGGAGGGCCCGGAACTCAGGGAGCATCCCGGCTGGGGTTAAGTGGTTGCCTTCCGCAGGACAGCTTCATGCGACTCTGGCAAGCAGAGCCCCCACAGAACGGCAGTTTCTACATCAGGCGTAGCCAAGCAAGCACGCGGCCACCCCTGGAAAATTCCCTTCCCGGAGGCGATGACCATCCTCGGACCCCATGTCTGTCCTTGGGAACATGCTCCCCACATGTGTGCAGGCCCCTTACCTGTCCTTCCCCAACATACAGCACTGCGATCTTGTGCGTGTCATATGGAGGAATCTGATCCAAGAGCTGAACAGATCTCTCAAAGGTCTAGCAATTAAAAGGAAGAGTCTCGGTGTGGCAAGCAGAGCAAAACCCACCTGGATGTCTTACACAAGACCACAGGCCCCCCAACCATCTCGCACTGCTTTGCTCGCCGCCAAAGACGACAAACCGATTTTTGTGTGAGAACAGCGCAAAAAGCATCACCCGCACCACGCGCTCGGACCAGTGCAGCGGAGCTCCCTTTCCCTTTCTCTTCACTGAGTACAGGGCTGGGGGGCACCCTGGGGAAGTGGGGGGTCCTCAGAGGTTTCTCGGGGGTTCCTTAAGAACTACAATTACAAGTGTAATGACAGGGTGGTTGGATCCAGACTCACACAGGAGCACCTGGCGGCCTGGCAAGCAGTTGCTTGAGCACCTTGCTCTGCAGGGAAATATGTAACAACCCCTGGGATAGATTTTCCTTTCCAGGGAGGGCTCCTTCAGCGTCCTCCTTCAAGATAGCCGGGACCGTTCCGTGCCAGAGTGCCGCTTTTAGCACTTCCTGGACTGAGCCAGCCCATCGCACCCTCGGATGCATGACCTAGCCAGGCACAGCCTGTGCGCTTCCTGTGGCGACATTCCTCTCATATTTAAGGCAACGGGCTCAAGCCGACCTACCTCATTTGGCAACAAAAGGGGCTTGTTGGATTCATCACCGAAGAAAGGAGAGTGGTACAGCTGCAGGAACACAAAGCTAAGCAGAAGAAAGGAAAGGAAGCCCCTTAGCTCCACCAGGGCTGAAGCCCAAGCAGCTCACCCTGCAGTCGGCGGTGGCCACCCACACAACTCGACGGGCTAATTGGAAGGACCTGGCAGGGGACATCTGGAAAGCGGGGCACCCGCCAAACTGGAGGAAGGGGTTGAAAGCACTCTGGCTTGAAGGCCACACACGCGCTGCTTCACTCGAATTCCCAGTCTGAATTTGCAGGGGCCTGCCCCACAGAAAAGTTAAGAAAATCTTAACATTGAACTGGCCCGTTTCAGTACTTCCCAGTGTTGATGCCTGCTTGGGTACTAATCCCATCAGAACATCCCTCCTTAGATCAGGTCAAAAAAGCCATCGGAGCATCCCATTCCACACCATTTGCTCGCCCTCAGTATCTGGAACTCCAGGTAGACTGCCACTGAACCCAGAAGCTCCACAACTAATTGGTATTTACGAGCCCATCCTGCAGGAATTTGATCCTTTTTAAAAGCTGTATAAGCTGAGGCCCATCATCACCCCTTCTTCTACCAGCAAATTCTATAAATTGAATGAATCTTGCAGAATTAAATTAATTGGCTGGCAATCCCTTGTTCTACTATTGTGGCTTCTAGATCAAGAGAGGTATTACTACCACTCTGTATGACTTTAGTGCATCCACAGCTGGAGTGTTGTGTTCAGTTCTGGGCCCCTCATTATGGGAAGGATATAGCCAGGTTGGAGTCAGTGCAGCGTAGGGCCACAAGGTTGGTGGCTGGTTTGCAGGAAAAGTTTTATGAGATGAGACTGAGGGAACTGGGTCTCTGCAGCCTGGAGAAGAGGACACTCCGAGGGGATCTGTTGGCGACCTGCAGGTATGTGAGGGGGTGTCACATGGAGGTGGGTTGAGACCTGTTCTCCCCTGCAGAGGAAGGCAGGACGCGCTCCAATGGAGCCAAGCTCAGGAAGCCAAGGTTCCCTTTGGATGCCAGGAAGCACTTCCTGACAGTCGGGACCCCGAGGGTGTGGAATGGGCTTCCATGGGAGGTCGTTGAGCCCCCAGCGGTGCGGGTGTTCAAAGATAGGCTGGACGTCCACATGGTGGGCATGTTGTGAGCGGAGCCGGCTGGTGCCAGAGGTCAGATGGCCCAGGAGACCCCTTCTGACTCGCTCTGTTTCTATGGAATAAAGAAAATGACCCTCCCCCTGCACAGCCGCACTTCTGGCCATCACGCACAACTTCCCTTTCAAAGAAAACACCTCGCTACATAGCTTCATAGTCCACTACCACCTTGGGCCACTTGCTCTCCTTGATCTGCTGTGGCACAAACACCTGCACCGCTCCTAAACAAATGTACTCTGGACACAGAATCCGGGTGTGGCTCCTTCAGCAAAAAGCACATGCTCAGGCAAACGCGGCTCAAGCACATGACTCACCTTGGATTGATTCCTGGCACCTTCTCTGCGTTGGAGGCTGCCGCTCGGACCTTGAAAGGGTCTCTTTCGACCTTCTTGCCCCGTCTCGAGGGTGCCGAATCAGAGATCGTGTAGCCACGGGGGCGGTGGCCCGTCGGGGAATGGGGGGAAGCGGGCGTGCCACGCCCCAGCCTGGCTCCCTCGGAGGCCCCGTCCTCATCCCCTCTTCCCAGCCAGGCCCCTGCTGCTTCACCTTCCAAGTGTCCAGACTGGGACCTGGGCTTCACGGTGCTGCTCAGCCGCCCAGGGGGCTCTTCACTGCTGGCGTCTTTGAGCACCTCCTGGAGGGTCTGAAGTTCTGGAGAGGAGCTGGACTTGCTCAGGGGCTGGGAAGGCTGCAACGAGAGGGCCTCAAAGGCAGGGCTGTCTTCCAGGTTCCTGGGCCTTTCGATGGGAATGGAAATGGCAACTGAGTCTTCTGGCTTCAGAGCTTTTTCCTCTTGACTAGACGTTGAGGAGGACTTGAAAGCAAACGAGGGAAGAAAAGCCACTTGAGAAGATGCCCCTCATTAGCAGCCCTGTTGGCTGGCCCACCAGTAGAGCAGGGCACGGCAGGCAGATCCACCCCTAAGGACACGGCTCTGTTGGCATGGACCCCATTTCCGTACCAACCTGCAGCTGAAGCTCTACCCGCTGCCCTTCACCTGAAATGTCAGGGATGGGGGGATGCATCGCAGTCAAGGGAGGGGGCTCCAGTGCCGTTCCCTGCCTCGCACTCACCTTGATTGCCGATTTGCATTTTTTCGTTTTTTGCCACAGTGATAAACACATGCACGAATGATACAGGAGGAATCCGTCTGGGAATGGGAGTCCATTCCCAACCTTAAACACCAGTGCAGAGCAAGAACGGCTTCCGTGGGTTTGGATGGAAAGGAGAGAGTTGGGGCAGCCAACACGCTGGTGGCCCCGAATGCCAAAACTCCAGACAGGCTCCCTCAGTGGCCTCGTGGGCAAGCTGCGGGGCACGGGGGTGGGTATGACGACGCAGAGTTTCGAAATGTTCAGTGCGCCCAAACTACTCAACCTCCCTTAATTTCCGTAATTCTACTGCCTGAAGGACATCCCAAGTAGACAGCTCTTCAAGGCCACGTTACAGCGAGATAAGAAAGGCGAGCAGGGGTCACCTTACCTGACTGTCCGCCCGTTGGACTTTGCCCACCTTCTCCCTCCGGCCGTGATCGGAAGCTGCAGGTTCAAAGTCTTCAATCTCCTGCGACTCTGAAGGACCCTCCATTTCTGGCAGATCTGTGTCTGGGGGGCTTCCTTCCTCCAGAACCATGGCGGATTCTATTGAAAGACAGAAGCAGGAGTCCTGACTTGTGGAGAAAAGCGCTGCAGTGACCGGAATGCTACCCTCTGGGGTTCCAGCCTTCTCCCACATCAGGTGGGATACATGGAAGGAACCATGTTTCACTGCCAAGCATAAGGAGCACTTTTTTTTAGCGTGCATTCCTCTGGGGGCATTTCAGTCTTTTAAAAAGCGTGCCCCTGTTTGGCGGCATCCTGGAGTGGCCTGCAGTGTCTCAGGTGAGGAAGGCGACGTCGTTCCGCAACAGTGGTGCGACGCTCATCATGCTCCAGGAAGGCAGGCCAGTATGATTACCCGCGTGCTGTTGAGGCTGTGAAGGAGGCGGGCCTAAGGCTGCTTGCTCCAATCCGGATGGCGAGGAGAACACGAACGAGGGGCTCCGGGGACGGCAGCGAGCGAGCTCAGCTCTGCAGAAGGGTGCTTGTTACAAGAGGCCAGCTCAAGAGCAGCGAACGAAGGCACAATGTAAGCCTTTACTGAGGAAGGTCCAAATCCTTCTAAGCTAAAGCTAACCATGAACCCTAAATGGGGCTTTCCAGGTGGAGCGCATGGCCTTTCTGGTCCTGAGGAAAAGGCTGGGATACAGGGAGCCTACTGCAGACACCACCTACCAGTTGCGAGGGCCAAGACTTATCTCACCAAAGTAACCTTTTAAAATCATGTAAACATAAACAAAATCAACAAAAATCAGCAAAGGGGACCAGTGGAAAAGAACGCCACTGCTGCCGCTTTGGGCAAGCTGGCTGTCACTTGCACGATCAAACGGGTACTTCAAAGCAGTCATTCAGAGTTCACACTGCATCCACACCAGTGCACCCCTTCTAACAAATGTGCCGATCCATTAAATTGTCCAAACCAGGGACCCCTGCCCAGTTTCTCAAATGCTCAAGCCCAGACTTCTTCGAAGGATTTCGCTGCCTGGGTGGGCAGCAGGATGGGGCGTGAATGACAGCCCAGGAGACGGCCTGTCCTCTTGGGCAGAGTCTCACTTGTACTTCTTTTTCGCAATAATAAATTCCATACTGAAATTCGAGTTGAGATTTGAAAAGGCAAGCAAGGGCAAGGCAGCATTCTGTCTGCGACTGCTGGGAGATTCAGGACAGAGGAAAGGAAGTTCTGCACACAGCACACGCTTGAACTGCTGGATTCACCTCCAGCCAGACAGCTTTAAAGGGGACTGGACAGAGGCCTGGAAAAGGCTAGCGACAGGTGCCAGCCCTGATGGTGCCTCCAGGACTGGGGCAGCCCGCCTCCTGTGCACCAGCTGCTCAGCGACCCGGCAAGCGTGCGCACCAGGCGACCAGGAGGCTGGACTGCGCGGCCCTCGCTCTGTCCCAGCAGGCCTCTTTTTGTGTTCCTAAATCAAAGGGCCGCAAGACGTCACACATTCCACGGATAAGCAACAATACGGAGGCCAGAGAACACCATGTCGGATGGATGTGGCTTCCTGCTAGATGGCTTTCATCTGGTAATGGAGGCGACACTTCTAGGCGCATTATGTAGGACTGGATTGAAAGCATTTCCTAGCAGCTAAAAGGTGGAACTAAAAGGCACTGGAAAAGAACGGAACTAACGAAAGGCCAACAATCCATTTTCCTAATGACAGATGGTGCCACTACATCCAAACCATCTCATACTTGATGACTCAGAAATGATTGTTCCTTGTTATTTATCCTATGTATATCTGCCTTCTTCCTGCGCAGGAACTCAAGCCAGCTCACCTAACTCTTTGCATGCTCTCCATCTAATCCTCATAACAACAACCCTGTGAGGTAGATTGGGCTGAAAGTCTGTGACTGACCCAAAGTCACCCAGCTGGCTCCATGGCTGAGCGGGGACTAGGCCCTGGATCTCCTAAGTCCCCATCCCACACCCGTAACCACTATACCCCACGGGCTCCCAATTGTATGTTTGGGGTTAATGCAGAAGTTTGCTTTCTGATTAAGCATATTTATGACGTGATAATCAACTTCTGTTTAAATGTACTTCCAAACGTTTAAATCTCTTCCATTAAAAACGGTGCTGGTGCTTCCCTGCCCCTTCTGCCCCTGGCCCTGCCCTCCAGGGGGACAAAGCACCCATGAGTCGCTCCAAAATGGAACGCAGCCCCTGGGCTGGGGAGGGTCAACACCCCCGTCCCCTTGGCGGGCAGCTGCGGCCCTCCCTGGCTGCAGCCAAGCTCCTTTGCACTGCCGTGGGGCCAGAGGGGCTCTGCCTGGCTGGGCCTTATTTACGCTCACTGCGATTTCTGCCTTTAAGTGCCAAGAGGCCCGGAAGGAAGGATATTTGAACAAGCTGATGGAAGATGAGGCGAGGCAAGGCAGTTCCTGGGAATCAGGGCAGCTTTTCTTCTTGCATCCATGCTTGCTTCCCCCCACCTTTAAAGATGCCTGTAAAGATATGCAAGTGTACCTGCCCAGGAAATGCTCCTGTGCAACTTTTCTTGAGAACTGGCCGGGAACATGGAAGAGAAAGAGGCCACTGTGAAGGGAACACCGGGGAGGAGCCACATCAAAGAGGAAGAGAGGGGGGAGGGAGGGGGGAGGGAGAGAGAGAGAGACTATGTGGAGAATAATAATAACAACAACAACAACACAGCAATTAACTCATACTTGAGAGGTGCTGCTTTTAACAAAATGCACAGGGGGAAAGAGGAGGACAGGGAAGTGGATGTGGGATCACGAGAGCGGCATGGAGGGGCAGGGGACGCTCAACGCAGGGCGCTGTGGGGCTGCAATGCTGGCCGGGGTTCATGGTCCGGAGGAACCGAAGAGGCTTCCCCAAACGGAGGGAGAAAAGAGGACTGCAAAAACCAGGGACCCTGGAAGGCTGTACTCTAGGACTAGGAGAGGGGCTCCCCACAGGGCTGTCGCTGCCCCCTCCTGCTCCTCTTCCTCTGAGCGCCCTGGGCACCCCCCAGCAAGAGGCCTCCTTTCACAGGAGCTGCCTGCTCAGGGGACGTGTGTGTCCAGGAAGAGCTCTTGCTGAAGTGCGGCTCATGTTGGCAAGAGGTGGGCGGGCGCTTTGTTTCAGGGCAGCCCTGTGTGCTGGGCTGGGCAGCACAATGATTCCTGCCAAAACGGAAGTGCTTCTTTGCTAGGCAAATGGTGGCAACGCCAGACAAGGGGGCATGCACTGCTTCCCCACCACCACATTCCCCCACTCCCATGCAGGAAGCCATGTTAATTATGCATCTATCATTAGTCTGTATATGTCCCCTTTTTGTTGAAAAGCCATCCAAGTGCAGAAGTGCAACCCTGACACACCAGGAAATGAAGACAAGCAAAAGTCTGCAACTCCCCGTCACAGGTTCTAATAGACTGTGGCGGGGGTGGGGGGGGGGAGTACTGGCCGAAAGGGATCCGCATTTTTGTATCCTGGCATTGCTCGTGAATCTGAACTAGTGGCATGGGAGGAGTTTCCGCAGGGTCACCCGCACAATTGTTTGGGCAACTGTGTTGCTACTGAGTGCGGAATCGACCCTGGAGCGGCTCCGCATCGATCGCAAGGAGCACCCTCCGCGGCCGCCACATTTACAGCCCTCCTGGGGCGTCCCTTGCACCCTGCAGGCTGCTCAGATAGAGCGGTTCGAACTTGGAGCTGTGCAGAGGAGCCCGCGTGGGCGACGCGATGTGCAGAGACCAGGAAGAACACAGGCAGCCCTGCACTGGTGAGCGGACCAGCCTGCACCACAGGAGGTACAGCCTGTTGCATCCACCACCCCGTCCCCAGATAACGGGCATTTAAGTTACAGGACAGCAGCTTATGTATCTGATGTAGTGGACTCGAGCCCATGCAAACTCGCTAGCTGTTTAAGGTGCAAGACGCTACACAAAGCCGTGCCGCGAGTATCCTCGGCAGAGAGCCGCACTTGTGGATACCACGCGGAAGGACGCTCCCGCCGAGCGAAGACTGACGTGGCAGAGGCCCCTCCGCCTCGGCCCGGCCACGTCGCGCGAGCGGGCGTCCCGCTGCTTCCCGCGGCCAGCGACGCCTGAGGCAGTCCAAGGCAGCACGTGCAAGCACTCCCAGTGGCTTACCAAGCTTCCCCCGGCGGCTGGGCTGCGGCGCGCCAGGGCGCCCCGCCTCACCTGTGTTGGAGCGCTGCAGGAGAGAGGGCTTGGCTGTCCCGGCGGAGAGGCTGGAGGAGGGCACCGAGAGGGACTTGTACAGAGCCGTCTCGCGGTGCTCCTTGAAGCGCTCGGCCGCCATGAGCGCGTTGGAGAGCTCCTGCAGCGGCATGTTGTTGATGTCCGACGAAAACGGGCTAAGTGGGTTTTCCAGGCTCATCAGCCAGCTGGTGTTCCCTGCAGGAGAGGGAGGGGCAATCAGAGCACAGGAAAAGCCACCAAGGGACCAGCCAGTGCTGTGCTGCCTCGAGAGGAAAAGGGCACCCCCATTCACGGAACGCCTGCCGATGACCCTCCCTCAGAAATCCCGCGCTGCGTTCCTTCTGCACAGCAGCCATTTCCAAAATGCCTGCTGCACCAGAGCTCGGTTGGTCTGCCCCGACACCTCCCTGCGTTCCAGGGGCGCGCACACAATGCACGGTGTGCGTGCGCCGCGCAGCCTGTTGGATCCTGCGTGAGCAGAAAGGGCGCCCCAGGCGGCAGCAGTGCGGCACAGGATGCCTGCCTTTTCCCAAGGCACCGGCCGCGGGTCTGGCCAGTGCCCGGAGAGCAAGCTGGTGCTGCGTTCCTCCGGATATGCCTGGCAGCCACTTCCACCCCCCGTTGGCGTTGGCCACGCTGGCCGGGCCTCCACGCCAACCAGCAGCCTCTCTGCAGGGCGCCCTCCGGCACCAACCACTTCCGAACCCTTTCACGGCCAAGGGCTGCAGAGCGATGCTCTCCCCCAGACCCGAGCCTCGCACTGCAGTGCAGTAAACCGAGAGGGCGGGCTGCCTTCGGAGGCGTCTGCTTGTCAGGACTGGCTTTCTCCTCAGAGAGCCCTTGGCCAACTGAGGAACCCCAGGGCTCCCCACAGTAGCCTGAAAAGCAGAGCTGGAAGGCCTGGCTTTCTGCAAGGGCCAGCTGCCCTCTAAGTGTGGTCACACCTTCTCGCCAGGCCGCCAGAGCTGAGTCAGCCAGGGCTGGGGCCAAAATGGTCCATGAAGAGATGCCTCTCGCACTGGCCCGCAGGACAGCCGTGCAGGCTTAGCAGAGCCTACCTGTTGGTCTCCGCACCAGAATTTCTGCCCAGCCTTGGGTCAGCAGTGGGACATATGCAGCCAGGTTTGCCTTTTCCTTCTGCAAAGCACTGGAAACAGTTTTTTCCGTCCGGGCAGCTGAAGCAGAACTCTGTACTCCTTGGGGCAGTGAGCTGGCTGAGAAGTGGGAGGCAGAGCTATCCACTGGCCCAGCCCGCAGAGCGTGGCCACCTGCGGAGCACAGGAGCAGTGGGAGGAAGAGGAGCAATGAGCACGTTTTGCTCAGCGCTCTAAGATGGGGAGAAAGCAAATCAGTTACTGAGAAGATGCAAAACGTAGCAGAACTACGTGGCCTCATCCCTCCCTGGAACTATCGGGGTGGGCAACTTTTTTGGGTGGAAAGCTGCAGAGGCAGCTGGGTTTGGACACTCCCCCCTGGACTGGCACACACACACACCCCCAGCCACCCGCCATTCCCACACACGCAGTCCCATCAGAGACAGCCATTCTCTCTCTCTCTCTCTCTCTCTCTCTCACACACACACACACACACGATTCCTTCCTCAGAACCCATGCACCCCCTTCCCTGCTGTCTCCCCCTCTCCCAGTCCCCACCTCCAGCTCCCCATGACACTCAAGGAAGTACCCCAAGACATCTGGGGTTATCTTGTGGTCCCCAATATCCAAGTGGTTCATACACAGAACCTGGGGAGGCACCTTACCAGACATTGACCTGACACGGCTGCGGGTTCGAGCAACCTGTGGACCAGCTTGAGACTCGAGTTTGGCTGGGGCCTCTTTTGTCTGTCTCACTTCCAAGATGTGGTCTGAACTGGAGATCAAGAGAAAATGCACAAACTAATTGTGAGTCCCTGCTGGCTTGAATATCAGATTTTATCATGTCTGGGAAGGACCCCACAAGCCACCTCTGGAAGAATCCTCTTTGGAGGGTGACCTAGAGATAAGTATCTCCACAACACAGCCTGCTCCAAGGAAGTTGGAAGGCAAGTGGGGATTTGGTCCCTCTGGAAAGGCAGCATCCAAATCATTCTGCCAAGACACAGAGAACCCCCTGCTGCTGAACCGGCCGGGGGAGTCAAGCTGCTGCCTAGCCTGGGAGAAGGGGCAGGATCAGCCAGCCGCCAGACAAAGGCCTGCCTACAAGCACATGGGCCATGCATAGCTCTGTGCATCACGACCGTTCTCAACTGGCTCTGATGACCTGCAGCTGTACTCGGGCAGGGCTCTGAACAACACCCGGCTTGCCAGCACAAGGTTCCCGGCCGCCTTGTTCCTTGTGGAACCCCAGGTGCTTGGACTGTCTCTGCTCTCAGCACTGGCTTGCGCTAATTTCTGGTTTCTCTGCCCTAGCACCACCTGAAGTAGGTTGGGGCCGAAGCTCACAGGCAGAGAGCACACTGAGCCCTTCCCCCCAGTCTGTAGAATGTAATAGTGACTACATCGTTTTCCATCCTCTCATCCTTTTACCAACAAAACAGAGTGCTTACAAAGGATCAGAGACGCACCAGGCTTACCTTGTCTCCATGCTGCTCTGCAGCTCCCCAGAATCCAGGCCCAGGAGTGACCTGGTTCCTGTCCCAACACTTGTAGTGATTGTCACTAGCTTGTTACCCACCAGCCAGGTCTTGGTTCTTCCTCCAGCCAGGAGGAACTCTCCAACAGGAGATCTAGAGGTGCCAGGAAGACATGGACAATGAAAGAGCCAAGTCACTGCCTTGCTGGGTCCACCAAAGGGCCTCCCCAGCTGAGCACTCGTGCAGTGGTGGCCAGCCGCAGGCCCTCTTCCCAGCAGAGGTGTGCTGCCTCTGGACGCGCCACTACCATAAACTAATCAGCAGACTAATGTAGGGACAGGCCTCTCTCATTTACTTCTACGTACTGCTGCATAATATGCTGATTGTCAATGCATCTGGAGGCAGTGAATTCCAGTGTGCAGAATGCTTGCCTGCCAGTGCTATGTAAAAAGGATTAAATGGGTAAAATGGGGCTATGTATACAAGTGCAATGTGGTAGTAATAATTTCCAGTTTAACTCAAGTGGCTGTTCAAGTTGCTAAGAAATAACAGTCTAAAAAAATCAGATCCAGCAAATAACCGGCAGCATGCAAATATAAAAATAACGTCAAACGCATGCCTGAACGCGATTTTCAAGAGCCACTTAGGAGCAAGTATAGCAGACACTGGATCACCCCAGGAGGAGAATCCACCACTGAAGTCTGGCCGGCGAGATGCTCCTGTCCCTGTTACCAGGTGGCTGCATTTCTAGCGAGAGTCAGGTCAGTAAGGCCAGGCTCCAAGGCTGGTGTTAAGTTCCATCAGGGAAAGGGCGAACCTTGAGGTCACTCTCAACGTCGTAACAGCCAGGGACTGGCACGTGCACTGAGCCCGGAACAGACGGACAGCCAGCACAGTTCGGGTGCTATGGAACTGACTGTGGGCCAGGTGTGGGGATCTCTGAAGGAGGGGGCGTGAGAGGGAAAAGATGACACACTGCAGAAGAACCCAAACGCAGGAGCAACAATTCCAACCTTTTGGGCACAGCAGTGAAGTTTGAAAAGACGTATCGGGCCATCATATCCAGGCAGGTCTCTGTGAGCTCCAAATGGAGGTTTTTCAGGCTGTCATCTGCCTGGGCCATCGAATTCTCATCAGCAGATCCCAAGCTGGAGCTGGTGATGGAGGTCTGTATCCGGCTGGAAAAAAGACAGTTGGAATTTTGCCAAATCACCGCAAATGGAAAAGGTCACCTAGTGATCTCTAAGGCATGCAGCAGGCAGGCGAAAGCTTAGCCGTTTTGCTCAGCAGTCCATGTAATTAATTACATCATGGCCATACCCCTAAGTTGACTGATCAGGCTACCCTGACATCTTGAGTCATGAATGTGAGGAACTGTGTGCCTCGAAACAGAGGAAGGAGAATGATGAACTGCTATTTCCATGTGCTTAGAAGAGTCTCTCCTGGCCCCTCTATGGCCCAGAAGAGGGAGAGGTTATCGGCTGCATCCGACCACTTGCACGTGTGGGAAGCCAGCCTTTGACCCCATCTTAAAGCAGATTTCCAAGAAATACAGCTGCTGACGAGGGATTTGAGAGTTTAAGATTATGCATCCAGATATTTACTTAGAAAATGTAAAAAGGAATGTCGATCAAGAGGAAGTTAACGCCAGCACAGTGACAGAAGGGCGAAATGCTTCCGTGCCCCCCAAAAAGATGCTGCACACACAAGCCCCCTGTGGCAAGTCCACAGATCTCCACTGGTTGCCCCCTGTGGCGCCTCCAGTCTTCTCCTCTAGGGCTGCCGATGGCCCCATGCCGGACAACGCCTCTAAAGGTCGTGGTCTGAGCTGCCTGGACTAGGCCTGTCTTTGGCTGCATTCAGGGGCATGGGGGCAGTTGGATCCGGTTCACGCACGCTGCTGGTGGGGAGGATCCCTTGCAGCCCTGCGGCTGGGCTCAGGCAACGTGGCAAGGCGTCCTCAAGGTCTCAGGATGGGTTGTGTGCACCCTGCCACCGAGTGTGGCTTTTAGGGTTGTGGGAGCCCAGCTGCACGACTGACCATGGTTGGCTACCCACAGAAGACGCACAGCCCACAACCAAAAACATGCCTTTTCTTCACAGGTTGTTCATGGTTAACAAGCTTTGATCTGATGGCTGCGTTCTGCTCCACAAGATAGAACATTCCAGCAAGAACACAGTCTATAGACGGAGAATCTATACTCCATCCTTAAGTGTGGGGCATCACATTCTCTAAATCTAGCATTCTTTCCAAAGGAAACCCAATAGCTAGCTCTTCCGTTCTGCTGTGATAAGAGTTGCCAACTCTCCCCAGACAATCGCTAACCAAGGCTGCTTGGATCCTGTTTAAAACAAGGAGAACAAAGGAAAGAGAGACCAATCCTATCACAGTTCATATGCAGAGTGGTGTGGCCGCCCTCTCATGCTCCCACTTTCTGAAGACTGTGTCTGTCATCCTTGCCCAGTGTTCATCCAATTGTGTAGTTCCTTTATTTTCCATCGAAATAAGCCTTGCCAACACACACTCAAGAGATCGAGGGTGTGCAGCTTTCCAAGGCTACATCTGCAACACGGCGGTTCCGCTTACTGTGGAAGTACCATCCCCACCAAGGAAAAATATCTGTGCTTGCAACTCAGACGCAAGAATATGCATTTTTGCCAAAGCCTGGCTCTTCCTTTTCAGCTACAACTACTCTCTCAATAACGTAGCTTGAACATGGAAAGGAGAAATGGGAGGACCAGAGCTGAAACTATTTTCAAATAATATTCTCTGAGACATCCAAGATATAACGCTGACTCAAGCCAAGGACTGTAAATTAAAACCTAGCCTCAAGAATTCGGATTCCTTTCCCCACCCCCAGCGCAAGCCCTCCCATTATTAACATGGGTTAGTTGCCATGACAACTGCAGCAACACCAAGCTACCACTAACTACAGTTTCTATCATGGCTTGTGTGCAAACCATGGCTTCAAAATCTGGTTTAGGAGTTAATCACAGCAGCTTCCACTCTGGCGTGCAACCGAGGAGATCCGAAACAGCGGAAGAGGGAGGAAGGCGCCCCCCGGGGCTCTCACCTGCTTTGTGAGCTACCTGTCCTTGCAGGGGCCGCTCTTAGGGCTGCACTGCACCATGACACAGATATGGGCTTGGGACCGGGATACCTGAAGGAACGTATTTCTCCCCGCGTTCCCTCCCGCCCCTTGAGAGCTGCGGCAGAGGCCCTGCTCCGGGAACCCTCCCTGAAGGTCAGGAGAGGGAACACTCGGGAGGGCCTTCTTTGCGGTGGCGCCCTGGCTCTGGAATGCGCTCCCCAGAGAGGTCCACCTGGCGCCGACATTACATGACTTCCGGCACCAGGTCGAGACCTTTGTACTTACCCGATATTTTAAAGTTTAAATATTTCAGCAACACACCAAGCTGCAGAGGGTGACCAGACAGCGCAGAACCAATTCCTTTTCATCAAGAGGTCTCTCATTCCAGGGGTGGAAGCTCACTTCTATTTCACCCTGCAGCTAAACTGCTCGTGACGACTGGCCCCTAAAGCTGGCATTCTTAGCCAAGAGTGCCAGCAAGCTGAAGACTTTAAAGCCCACCTTTGAATGGCCACCAAAAGCTGACCACAACCTCCCATACCTACAGCAATGGGAGAAAGATCTGGGCCAAACTGCAGCACGGAGTCATACAACCAAACCAACAGAGAAGCAGTGTAAGTGTGGCCCATTTACCCCAAACCATGCAAAATACCCTTGTGAGGCGAATAGGATGAGTGGCCCTTGATCTAAGGAGGACATGCAATAACCCCAGCATGCAAATCCCCACCCCATCCCCAGCAGAGCAAGCAGTGAGGCCGCAAGGCCCCACTGCTCCTGGCCCTCCCTCTTCCAAGCATCACTACCTGTGGACTGCATGATCAGACACACTGATGCTGCGAGACCGGAAGGCATCAACGGCAGAGGGTTCTTTCAGCTCTTTCACTGGAGGAGAGTTATTCAAGCTTTGCCTGGCATTTTTGGCTATTTTAAAATTACTAAGATGAAGCACCACCAAGACCCCACATAAAGAGGTGTGATTGTACAGGAAGAAAATCATTGGAAGATGGAAGTTGAAAGGCCAAAGTCCCAGAAGGTGATGTAAAAAACAAAACAAAAGGAAGGATGCCAAAAAAAGAAAAAGAAAAGAAAAAAAGTGGGGGATTAAAAACAGTAAGCAAAACTCAAGCACATAAACATTTCAAAATAAATAAATGAAAAAAAAGGCAACAGAAAGCAAACACCTCCCATCATTACCCCAGACTGATGTTACCAAAAACAAAAGTTAACCTAGACAAAATTAGCATGAATTAAAACCAAGGCTGGAAGTGGCAGTTGGAATGCTGCAGTACACGGGGTGGGAAAATCAAATGCTGAGGCAGGTGCCGGGCACACTCCACAAAAACCATCCTCGACTGACCCACAAGGCACAAAGCTACGCCCGACTTCCGCCAAATTCCTGTTGTTAAGTGTTTTGCTGCAAGCAATATCACCTAACTGCAGCATATGCAATGACCTTGGATCTCACCGCAGCCAAATATGAGGGAGCACCAGGAGCAGAGCAAATGCGCTTCCTGCCCAAAGCAGACAAACACACTGTGCATTAATCCATCACACGTTTTGTGCCCGAGCTGCCTTGAAGACGAGAGAGAGGTTCCGACACCGAGTTCTGGCTCAGATTTATTCCTGGCTTCACAGGGCAGTGCTCATTCAATAATTTCTTATAGAAGCAAATTAGGCAAATAATTAAAATCTGAGCATGAATGCCTTTTAGGGTTTCTGAAGCTTCAGCTCAAAGGTGCCTTGAGTCAAAGATTCACAGCTTCTGGCTGCTCCAGCATCAAGACAGTGGTGCTACTCTGAAAAGTGCTGACAGAACATCTCTACAAAGCAAGAGTATTCCAGCTTAGAGAAACAGTGCACACCTGGGTGAGGTGGTGGTGATGGAGTCATAACAGAAAAGAATGTGGTAAATAGAAGAAGGCTGAATGGAGAGGGTGGAGTCCTACTATTTTAATCTTCAGACTCAGAATAATTTGCAGTGTTGCACTGAAAGGCGAGTTCCTTTTGGAACCTCAAAGAAATAAGAAGTATGCTTAAGGGGATTGGTTATCACTTTGAAAGACATGGCTAAAATACTGCTGGACCTCACGTAACACAGGTTCCACAACTCCTCCTCCACAGACAGACAGTGATACGAAGTTGAGTTACCCGGATTCGAACTGGTCTTCGAAGTGTAATAACACTGCCAGATTAGGAGATAAAAGTGGAATTGGGATAAAGCTCTCGATTACTACTGGCAAGTGCCAAGTCGGAATGCTTAGCCCAAAACCCATCAGAAAGTTCAGCAGAAATGTTGGCTGAGCCACTGGCTGGTGCTCAGCCATTCTATAATGAAATGGGGCAAAATAAGCTACCTGCAACTAGACTGAGTGATCAGTGGACTGGAACTCGATCAGACTAAACTCTTTCAATGATATGAAACTGCACTTTGGAATTACAAGAACTGTTCTAACAACTCCATTAAGCCAACAATCAGTGGGAATAAGATGTCGTTATATAAGGTATACTGCCTACTGCCAAAGAAAGCACACTTTCCTTCCTGCAACCAGCTTTTTTACCTCTTTGGCCTTTCATTCAGACTTGTGCTACGGGCCCGGAAGCTGTCTTTCTCCGGGGTGTCATCAAAGGAGAGGAGGACATTGGAACGCAAGCCCTGCCACAAAAGAAGCACGGACACAGTTCACAAAGTTGGGTGCAACCATGGAGCTCCTCCATTCCGGCCCTCCCAGTGTATTGTGCTACATCGCCTATCAGCTCCAGCCAGCCTTGTTGCAAACACTTCTGCAGGATGAGGGAGCAGCAGCCCCAGGCCAGTTCCTCCAAGCCTGAATCCACACCTGCTTCTTCTTAATGGTGGCAATGCATGAACAACTCCACCCTGCTAAGTAATCCGGACGGAGCACCATGAAGGCGGCCCTGCAACGATGCTGCTGAAAAGCTGCCACGCACACCCTGCAGGGGCAGGGCAAGCAGCCTCCTCCCGCGGGTGGCCCCGCAGGATGCAGCCCAGGCTCCCATCGGGCACACCACCCCCTCCCCCGTATTGCGCAAATGCAGCCTACCAAGCTTACCTTGGTGATATAGGGAACAAAGTCTTTCCGAAAGGGGAGCCGGCATTTGATAAACCACATGGCTATGACATGGTGCGCCAGGCAAACAATGTATTGATTAAACCTGGAAAAGAGTTAAAGGAATATTTTGGTGGCTTTAGCCAAATGTTGTGTATGGCAGACAAAACTCCCAATGAAAGACTGAAAGGACAAAAGGAGCCACGAAAATAGATGCGACCTTCTGAATGGGCTGGAGAACCAGAGACACCTCCCAGCAGGACGCTTTGACACAGCTCTCCCCTGTCTTCCGGCTTAAATTTCCTGGCTGGTGCTTGTGCCCTCTAAAAGCACCACCTAAGGGCTGCCAGGGGATCCCTGGCACGCCTGGGCTTCTCTTCCCACCACCACCTGCCGCCACCACCTGCCCCGTTCTGCATCGCAAGCAGGAATCTGGGCTGTGCCTCTGTGGCGCTGTGGACCCGATACGGAAGAGCCGGGACCGACAAGCTGAAGGTCCTGCCTCGGGGTCACGCTGAGGAGAGGCAGAGGGGGACGAACGCCCAGTGCAAAGGGACCTTCACATATAAAGGACTCAAGCGCTTTATTTAAAAAAAAGTACTTCATCCAGGGCATTCCACCCCCACTCAGCTTACTTGGAAGGGTTTGTGTAGGGCAGCGAGATGGCAAATACACTGGCATACTGCTCGGCTGCAAAGTTCCTGTAGAGGTGAGGCAGTCGGGCCAATGCTGGGAGGTGTCCGTTGGAAGAAGAGGGAAAACAGTGCAGTCAGCTTGCAAGCAAAGCAGCGGCCTCCACCCGCTCCCGCCCACCACCCTCCTGATTGCCTGGGACTATTTGGGGCCAGGTTCAAATGCCATTTTCTCCCACTCTTGCGTTGTGTCACAGGCCAGGCTTTTAACTACAGATATATTTATTCATATTGTATTTTAATTTTATTATGTTTTATGCCTTGTTTGTTGTTGCAATTCATTTTTATCTGTATTTTAAATATATTTATCTTGCATATGAGCCACCCAGAGAGTCTTTGGCTATGCGACAGATCGCTCGATCAATGCCTTGATCCAAGAAATGGCAGAGCTAGTTTCACGTGCCAAAGAGGACCTCAACCCAGAGATCCTCATGCCCCCTCCCTGTCCCCACTCTTAACCAAACCATTTGCAGAACCAGGAATACTTTCTAAAGCAGACTGCAGGTGGCACCTGGGTGTTCAAAAGGCTCCAGTGTGAACTGCTGGATGCACTTAAAAGAGCCTGTGTCTCCAAAACCTGCAGGTAGCTGCTCTGGTGCTCTCCTCCCAACCCAGAAGAGAGAATCAAACTCCGTAACTTACTTGAAAGAAATTCCAAGAGGGGAATGGCCATATTGGCTGTGGCTGAAATATGAGTCAGCTTGACTATCAGGACTGGCAGGGCCTTGATGATAATTTCTGGCATCTCCACACTGCAGATGGACAGGGCCACGACACACTGGCTGGCGCAGCGGTAGATCAGGCCGTGCTCCAGGCAGTACACCATCTCCCGCTGGGTGGGGGGAAAGAGCAGTTACGCAGGCAGTAACACAGCATGAGTCACACTCTATGAGCCAGCGTGGCGATAAATGGTATCATTTGTTTCGGTTTGGTGCTTTTAACCTGTTAAGGAAAACCCTTGCTCTCTTTTTAGTGTTCTTCTCACAGCTTGGAAAAGCAATACGCAATGCCAAAAGCCACGGGCCCCTGCAAGCCCTGCTTGATTCCTCACACCCACAATACCTGCTTAGTTTTGTCCAGGTAACTGTGGTAAGAGATCAAAGCCGTCAACACTGGAACCACAGCCAGATGCAAATCATTACGAGACAGTCCTTCGGGTATGCCCCGCAAGCGTTCCGTCATCTTTTTGTCTGTAAGCTAGCAGAACATACGCCCAAGGTTACGGTGCATAGAAACGACTAATGAAATGACCATCTTAGCTGCCCTCTTCTGCCCCATTTCCCCATTCTGTGGGGTGAAGCAACCCGCCCTGTGAAAAACTTCGCTCCTCTAGACCAAAATATTGCCAAAGCTAGAACGGCTGCACCGGAATTCTACGCTAGCTCATGTGCTTTCCCACCAGTCCTGCTGACAGAGCAGGGGCTCGCGCTCAAGGCCAAACTGAGGGTTTGGACCAGAGCCGACAGTGCAGCAGGCGAGAGGCGCTGCTCCACCAGGCACGGGGCAGAATCGCTTCACACACTGTGCAATTGATTAAGAGGCTTGCCTGGCCACCTGCAAAGCCCTTCAGCGTCAACAAGTGGGGCTGGGCTGGCGTTCGACCGGTTTGCACAGGCGAGTTCCACAACAGAGGTGCAGCCCCAGCCCCTCCTTACGCAGCACCACAACTGGGCAGTGGGGATGGAGATGTGGAGGTGCGGCTGAGCCGAAGCCGGGGCCCCGTGGAGCAGGCAAGCTCTCACCATGGCACAGAGGGCAGACGACAGCTGATCCATGTTGCAGGGGGACGTCAAGTAAAGCACTTTGCACTGCAGAGACTTGGGCAGCTTATTCAGAACCAGCTTCAGCACCTTCCAGTCCGTCTCCTCAGAAAGACAAGGAAGACATGATCAGATCCCAGATCACACGCTTCCCACCAATAAAGTGCCAGGCTCGCTCCTCAGAACATCCAGAGAGCAGGGCTGCGAGAGGGCTGCACTTGAGTTTCTCTGTCAGTCTCCACCTGAGACCGAGTCCTTTGAGTTGGGTTCATCACCTACTTGTTTCAAGCACTGCAGGAGGACTCCAAAGAGCAAAGAGTAAGGCAGGTGGCCTGCGCGGATGGCCGGGGTCTGCGAGGGCGCACTCGGACTTCCAGAGGGAGGGGACAGGGTACCAGGTTTTTTTTCAGGTTCCCTATGAAAAAGGAAGAAAAGCATCAGAATGCACCGTGAGAGTGCAGCACACAGCTCAAAGCAGCCTTTTCCAAGTGGCAGGCAGGCAGGCTTCCCTCAAGCACTTTCCCAGAGAGCCTGAGGTAAAAAACTGGAGCTATGGCCAAACGCTTTGGCCACTACAAAGAAGAAACCTACACAAAGCTGCAGAGGCAGTAGGGGCTGAATCTCACAAGGCCATCTTTGGTGGGCAGGCCTAGTCGGTGGAGAGTGTCGGCCCGCAGCGAGAGCAAGAAATCAAAAACCTGAAGGAGAAAACCAAGAAATCATCAACACTGGATTTCCAAAGCAAGCCAAGGCCAGGCAGGCTACATGCAAACATTTTCTTCAAACAAACCAAGTGATCTTGCAACGAATGGACTCCATGATGCTTTTAAAGAGAAGGGAGTTCCAAGAGAACTACGGCACTGTAGGTTGAGAACACCCCTTCGACTTTCTTTCACCCATCCATGTAGGAGGAGCCAAGGGAGCTGGTGGGGAAGGAGCTATCTAAGCTCCCTCTGCAGCCAACACAGAAGGAAGATTTCTGGGAAAGTTCAATTCAGAGCCTACCCCCCTTGCTGCAGGGACCTCCCAGGTCCCGTGGTGACTTGCAGGACTTGCCCTTGAGACTACCCACAGTTGATCAACCCCAGAATTGCTCCTTCTGGCCCACTTGAAGCTAGTTTGCTAATCAGGATACCCCGGGGCAAGCTGTCAAAAGCTTTGTGGAAGCCAAGAGATATTATGTCTGCAAGGAAGATCACTCAGTCAAAAAGAACCAAAATCAGATTACTCTGGCAATATTTGTCCTTGACAGATCTATGTTGGCTTCTAGTAATCACTGCATTTTTAGGTGTCTGCAGCTTAACTGCTTTACATTCTGCTCCCGTCTGACTGACAGACACTCCAGTGAAATTTCTAAAAATGCTCCCTCCACTTTGGGGCAGGAGTCACTCATCAGTGCATAACCTCTCCCATCAGAGTGAAAGGTATTTTGTGATGGGGAAGACGGAAGACGGATAGAAGGACGCCTTAACAGACAGGACTGTGGTAGGATTCCACGGGATTGGAGCAAAAACCACAGCCTGCAAGTACTGAGCAGGTTTGGCTTCCCCAAAAGATCAACCCTCATGTAAAAGAAAGCACACATGTAACCGGCAGCGTCTCGTTCCAACCAGCACAGAGGAACACTTGGGAGTGCGGGGGCCTCTTCCCAGTACTGGCAAAAGGAGAAAAACACGTGAGCAGCAGCATCGGCCAGTGAAGCCACACCAAGCGCCATCGGCAGCCAGTTCTCCCCTTCCTTGGCCCTCTCCCGAGTGCTTCCTACCCCAGGATGGAGCAGCAGGATGCCTTCTCACCTGCAGCCGGATGCTGCTGGCAACTGGGAGGCTGTACTTGTACTTGTAGTGCAGCTGAACGTGCAGGACCAGCATCTCATAGACACGGGTGGCGTGGCTCGCAGGCAAGCTGTACAGCTTCGTCTGAAAGGAAGAGCAGCAGCGTTTGCCAAGATTCCGGAATGGTGAGCTCTCTATACAAGCACAGAATCAAAGAAGAGTGGAGTTGGAAGGGGCCAGAAGGCCATTAGGTACAACCCCCTGCTCAGTGCAGTACTCCAACTTAAACCATCCCATTCAGATGACTGTCCAGATGCTTTTTGAATGGAAGGAATGGAAACACCTCTTTCTTTACACTGAAAAGTCAGAGGGAAACCACCAGATGAAAACAGTCTGGCTGCACAATGTGGCATCTACCTGGAGGATAACCAGTAAGCCCAGAACTGCAGTCTTCACATCCTCTAAAGAGGCAGAGAAGGAGAGTAGGTCTCGCTCCTCCAGTTCAGCAGGTGGCGACAGGGAGTGCGAAGCAACCTGTTCAAGACAACAGCAAACAGTCATGATGACAAGGGTTACAAAGCATTAGGCACGTAAGAATAAGTCCAGTGCTAATAAGCTGAAGCTTCACCCAGCAAGGGGCAGAGTACTGCAAAAAGTATGGATGTGCAAAGCAATGGCTTATTTTCCTTTATGTTCTTTTATTTTAAAACATTTCTTCATCACCTTTCAGAGCAGAAGCCCTTCCAAGGAGGCTAACAACAATAAAGCTGAACCATTACATTTTTCCTATTTTTAATATCTTAAGTGCAAGGAAAACAGCAAGTAAAGCAGCAACAAAGGGATCTGACCCTTGGTGGGATTTTACTCCAGAGGAATATTCTCTTGCTGATACTGAAGTGCAGGCAGGCAGATATAGGAGCAGAGAGTAAATTGATCCCAAACTATTTATGGCACTAAAGGTGAGAAACAGTACCTTAAAATGGTCTCGGTAGCTACTGCACTAGGTACCTTGTAGGAATTATATGACTTTATCCCCTTTCCCCTAACAGCCTCAGGCAAGAGCAAAAGATGTCACATACCAGGCCAGTGAGGGCGAACCTTGTAGAGACCCAGTGCCCAAACTGCAACCCAAAACCTACTTATTTATCGCAAAGTGCCAACACTATAATAAAACCTGAAAACTGAGGTTTTAGTTTAAAAACAACAACTCACAGCCAGTCCAAGCAAATGCATCCATCCATCCATCCATCCATCGATCCTTGGCAGCGCACATACCGGCCATGCAAAAGCTCGGACCAGTTGTGGCTAACGAGTCGCGGCTCGTGATGTCATTGCATGGAGCCGCTACTCCTTTCCAAGCATGAGTGTGGCCCCTCTGTGCGCTGTTATCTGATGCTTGGCTGCTGGGGCGATGCTGGGGTGACTTGGCTCGCGTGCCAACAGAGGGTTCTGCGTGCCCACTGTGGCACGCATGCCATAGGTTCACCACCACTGCACTAGGCAAAGATCATTAAACGACTACCAAAACGACATTCTGGTTCTCCCTTCATGAAATATGCCCAGCCTTGCAAACTCAAACCAGCAGGTTACAGTAGCAGAGCTTCCTGAGTATATGACACAGACCCCCTGCCCCAAGCGGTATTTCCCCCTGGAGCTGCTGGGAATCTGGTGAAAGCTGGGAGGCCTCACCTTCTCTATGATATCCAGCAGGCTGTTGAAGTGATGGGTGTTGCAGCCCTCAGCCAGGTCCACCAGCAACTGGGTGGCCAGTTTGCGAACTTGGTGATCTTTGTCTTCCGGGATGTGGGCCAGTTGGGAGATGACCACTAGATTGATCAACTCCTCCTACAACATGACAAGGTCCTTGTCAGCTGGCTACAGGCACCAGCTTAACCGGCTGGCAAAGCAAACAAGAGACTTCTCAGACCGCGTGATGCAAACTGGGCACTCTCGGCATACTTCTGCCTCCACAGAGCGCTGGGCAAAGCGGCTCACCGGGAAAGCAGCTGGCAGCACCCTTCTCATGTGCCAGGAGCAGCCACCGTCGGGCAGCTTTTGGGTCACTGCAGCTGGTATGAAAGGAGGCTGGCAGTTGCCCAGCTGGGGGTCCACAAGCATTCACAGACTGCATTTCGGCTCGGCTTGGCTCAACTTGGAAGACAGGGCCAAGCACAAGAGAAGGTCCATGAATGCAGGGAGGGACAGAGGCTGGTGAGGTTTGTCCCTACTCTAGTCACCATTTTGATTACATTTTTATAGAAGTTTTTATCCATGAGTGATGAATTTCTGAAAGTATGTACACATCTTGCTACACCAACTGAATTTACAGAATAAAAGGAAAACCCACCTCATAAAATTGTCTGTTTACACTCAGGACAAATGACAGGACATACAAAACTTTATTGCGAACAGCACTTCGACTCTCATTTCTAAGGGGAAAAAGCAGGCAATAATATGTTTTAGAGTCCAAACCTTACTTTGGAATGTATTATACAAACAAAATCTCAAAAATGTTAAGTTCATATGAACAACTTTTCTCAATACAAAATTTGTAAAAAGGTTTGTGGAACCTGGAAGGGATGGAATTCCAGGAAAAGGTACACACATGTTCACAGAATCTTACCAGCGAAAGATACCTAGCTCAACCACCTGACAATGAGGAAACCTACTTCTGCTGCAACCTCGCCTGGTCTGTGCTTGGGAGCTCTCCTGGAGTTGTCACGGGGAACTCAGGGGCACAGAATGCATTTTACTAGCCCTCTCTGTCCAGAAACAACCTGGGTTCACCAATCCATGCTTGCATCTTCCCTTCCCTCAGCTGTCTGTGGACAGGTGGAAGATGAAAGTGTCACAAGGATGCACTAGGAACTCATTATCCATTTCATGTTAGTTTTAGTTTGACTTCCGACAAATACCAGGTAAATGAAGCTTCCTATCCCTGCTCTCTCCTCCTCCCCTGAAAACATGTGACTGGATCCAGACAGGCTTCCTCCGAGCCCTACCACCACAAATCAACGAGTGCGAAGTTTATTTATCGATTTATATCCTGCCTTTTTCCTACAAAGGGCTCAAGGCAGCTTACATCTCCTCCTCCATCTTATCCCCACAACAACCACCCTGTGAGGTAGGTTGGGCTGAGAGTCTGTGACTGGCCCAAAGTCATGACGCCAGTCCTCAGTGGCGAGTGGACAGGCAGAGTTATGAAGGAGGAGCCACAGGACCCTACCTGAAGAACCTCTCCATCAGCCCCTGCAGGTTGGGGATCCAGCCATCCTTCGCAGGGTGAATGGACTGAGCTCGGTAGGTTATCAGGTTCAGAACTGAAGGCTCCTTTTAAGCAAAACAAAGAGTAAGATCCAGGCTTTAAAAACATCCAACAGGAAGGAAGATCGCAAACTGAGTGCAGTAAAGGTTGGCCCATAAGAGGGAATGACGGGCATCTGTGATCAATTGACAGGAACATGTCCCCAAGATACTTTTGTGTCACAATGGATTCTTTGGTTTGTATTTCATTTGGTTTGGATAAATATATTTGGATTTTAAATGTCTCTCTCTCTCTCTCTCTCTCTCTCTCTCTCTCTCTAATAACTGTGATTAAAACAAACTTGAGAAAAGTACTGGTATTTATCTTTTTTATATTAATCTCTGAAATTAATATGTTTGCAGGCTCTCTTGATCCACGAGCACAGCTGGTACAAGTTGCAGCCACTGCCAGGGGATGCTTCCCAGGACAAATACAAGGTAAAGCTTTTAATTTTAGACCTTTCTGTGTGCAGGCACACATTGGTGAAATACCCATTTTTATAGATACCATCCGTGCAAATACCAAGACCCAAACCAACCCCCCCACTATGAAAGTGTAAATTACCACCATCAAAAATTGCAGAAATCCACATATGGACCCCTGGTACAAACCTAACAAACTCCAGAGGGCCAATCTGGAAAAATCCATCAGGCTTTCACCCCACAAATGGAATTTCTGTATATCCCTGAAAAAATATTAGGAGATTTCTCTGGTTCTCCCAAGCCTTACTGGTCTCTGATTAGCACATCTTTCCACAAGCTCAAAGTATCTCTCCTTAGAACCATGGAAGTCATTCTGATCACACAGCTCCTCCACAGTGGTCAGCAGGTCATGGACAATGGTTTTCAACTCCTGGCTTTCCAAGGTCTGGAAGACAGAAACGGTACTGGGCTCAGAACCAGGCCACCCCTGACAGCTCCCAGTACCCCTGTCTGCCCTCCTCTTCACAGCAGTAATCTGGAACTGTTACCCTGAACCTTCTCATCCAGGTAACTCATCCATTACTGTCTTTCAATCAGGATTCTACAGTATATGTTTCTAAGTCCTGCTCACAGAACAGGATCCCCTCTGGAAAAGATATACAGCTGATCAAATTTCATGGCATTTCTCTGGTGGAAGTGTTTTGTTCCATATCAACAGAAGAACAGGATCAGGTTCTTCCTACGTATGAGACGTTACAAGCTAAATTCTGACAGCAAGAAAGACAAAGAGTGGCGAGAAAGGGGGAGGATTTATTTCAGGATCATTTTCCTTGAAGCCACAGAAGATGCAAATGCAGGCGTTTGGTGAGAAGAAATGATATACAACCATTTTACAATCCTGACATTGGACCAAGGCCTGTTCCACTCCCAAGGTAGCAATCAGAGAAAGGCTTTGCATTTACCTGAAGCTGCTGAAGCAAGCTCTCGATAATATCCAGGAGAATGTCCCAGGTGACTGCCTGGAGGTCCTTTCCATACTTTTTGATCAACCTCGTTATGGAGAGGACAATTTCATAAGATACAATGGCATTTGGGCACGTCATGGCCTAGCAGGGAAAAACACTGTGAGCAGCTGGCATGCCAATGCCTGTCTAAGCTAAGAGGATCCTATTCACTACTTGCGCTTGGCGAGAGATACTTCAAGAAAAAAAAATATTCAGGAGAGGAATTTATGCAGGTGACTCCTGCGGTACTGTACATATCAGGCACTGCACAAAACTCAAGCAGTCAAGTCAACCAACAGGCAGGCAATCCAATGAGCATACGCCACGCCGTGCCAACCCACAGCAAAGAACAGCAACTGCGCTCCCAGTGCACACTTTACCAGAGAAGAATAAACGAAAGGATTTTAAAGCAAGAAGTCAGAAAAAAATGCTTCCAGAGATGCTTCAAATGCACAAGTGAAGGTCAGAGCAAGCCGACTACTAACACCAACTAAGCCAGGAGCTTCCGAGTCCTGAGACAGAACCGGGCAGACAGGGAGGTAGACGGGGTGATGCAGGTGGGCCCTGCTGGGTGGCACTGCTGCCACAGGCAAAGTGATGGGCGATACCCGCACGTTTCTCAGTTGCCTGCCACAGACCGATGCAACCCCACTCCAGCCACTGCGAGGCTTTACAATTGGTGCAAGCGCAACCTTTTCGGCCTCTTAGGTGGTGTGACTGCAATCAGTGGCCCAGGGACTCTGTTCCCCATTCTGGGTGCCCAAGGCCTGTGTATTACACTTCTACCCCATCCTTCCCCCAAGGAGCTCAGCACAGAGCTGCCCTTTATCCTAAACCCCTCCCTGTGAGGCAGGCCAATGCACTGAACTTCAAAGGATTTGAAGCTGGGCCTCCACCAACCATCCCCTACAACCACCGTGGCACAAGGGGGCATTCTGGGACTCATATTTACCTTCAGGAAGGAGGGCAGCACTGACGTGGGTGAATTTTTGAGCGCCTGCAGCCTGTGAGCGCCCCACAAGGCCATCCCCACAAAGAACACGGCCCCTCTCAGCAACACCGCGTCTGACACGTAGGTCCTGAAAATTGCAGCGGCAGTGAGTTAAGATCGCACTGCTGCCCTTCTGCATATGTGAGCATCAGTGGTGGCTCTCAGGCCTGGGCTGCGAGGACTTTCTTCAGTCAAAGCAGTGCAGAGATGGCCTTCGCCTTCGTGCAGCTCGAGCACTGCTCCCCTTCCGCGCAGCCCTCCTGCAGCGCACACCTGGGTCTCTGCAGCCAGTGTCTGCCGCATCCCTGGAGTTTCACCAGCAACAGCACGGGCAGCACCTGCACGCCTCTCCACTGGGGAAGAAGCCCAGCAGGCGGCTGCTGCAGCAGACACAGCCAGGCCTTCTCCAGCGAACCACCGCTGAGCACTGGACCCGAAGCATTAGTTGCAGTGCCAGCTGCACGAAGTGATGCTTGAACATCCTTCGCTTTAAGGCTCCTGGCTCGAAGCGCCCCACAGCCCTGCACAGTCGTGCCAGCCCCACCTCCTGTGGGCGTCAGGCGACACCCAAGCCATGCTGACACCAGGGAGCCCTCGCCCCAGAGCAGTTTTTCCCTGGTCTTGCCATCGCTCCTCTCACTGCTGCTGCTTGTTCTTATCCAGGGCAAAAAAAGACGGCATTTTAGCACACCTGTCCTCCATGATCCGGCACATGTTGTAAATGGCACTGTGTCCCAGGTGAGTTCCCAACAGGTTCCGCATGAGCTGTAAGGTGAACAGACACACAGTGTTAAGCGTTGAGAGGCTTCCTGAGAAATTGGCACAAAAGTACTCGAAATACTGCAACAAGGAAAGATGTAAACTGAACGTATGGCGTCTGGTGGTAAACCACCCGATGAAAACTAAGGCAGCGTTCACCTAAGGCAGCTTTCTCAACATGTTTTAAACCATTCCATAGATTCTGTCTCTGGAAGCATCTCTGATTTAAGAATTGGAAGCAGCAGACCTGAGACCCGAGAGAAAGGCTGTCAGCCAGAGTCGACAGAGCTGAGCTGCAAGAACAAATGGTCACACTGGCAACAGGGCACCCTCTTAAGATCCACCAGACCGGCATTTTCCTCCCCAAGCGTTTGCTTTCCGAGGTACGTATGCTTCCTCCTACTTACAACTCACCTTCCAGCAAGGCTCACAGAGTTCCTTCACATTGATGGTCCAGCACAAGGTGATAATAAAGACCGGGAGGGTTTCGGAAGGCAGGCAGTTGTAGCACACCACGGCATCCAGGACCTGCAGGGAAACCTTGGAAGGACAGAGGGAAGGGAAAGGTGATTCCTTTGCAATGGCAGCCTTTGTGACTTTTGTTACTGCTGCCACAAAACCTCTCGATGTTCATACAGAGCAAGCTTAGCCAAAGAGATAGCTTCCTGCCCCAAGGAGGCGTTAACCTACATTCTGACAAACACAATTTGAGGTAGGGGTGGGAGAGGCAGCCACGGCCCGCTTAGAACTTTTTCTTGCATGAGTCACATCCCCAGTGGCGCTGGGTGCCCCCTCTCCACTGTTCATCCTGCCCCCAGACCACCAAAGACGTCTGTGTGAAGAAGCAGCTGCTTGGGGCTGAAGGGCTTTGCAAAAGAACTGCAAACAGGAGAAAGAGAGCAATGACACCCTGGAGGATTCCAGAGGTGTTTCCTGGCATGAGAGAAGCAAGGAAGATCGTTTTTTTAAGAAAGCAACTCCATCACTCAGACTAACATTTACTTTCATTAATAATGACACTTTTTTAGCATCCACAGTATTTATGTAATTACTGACCTCAATGTCAACCGCAGATGACGTCTGAACGCACAGGAGGCAAATCATGCTACAAAAAAGGAATCCTGGTTAGTGTTTTATTTTTTAATGATCTTTTATTTAGTTTCTTTAAACCTAATGGCATAATGTCTAAGTCTAAGAGCTCAAGCCACATGAAAAACATACTTGTTTCACAGTTATTTGATTAGGTGAATTCTTTATTTTCAATGTTTTAATTTTTATGTTATTATTGCTGCTACCAATGTTATTTTTTAATTCTGGACTTTGACATGTACTAAATTTAAATGTTTCTTGACTTATTTCTCGAGTTTATATATATATTCTAGTATTTTATTATTTCTATTTTGCTTATTTTGGTTTTATTTTGATAGCTTACTTGTGATTTTGCTGTTATTGGTCTTTGTAATTGTGCATGATGATATTGTTTATTGTATTGTTTTTACGATGGATTTTAATACGATGCAAGACACCCAGCGAGCCGATGGCTAGTGGGGTGGCATGTAAATCCAACCAAGCCAATAGCTGGGAGCCATTTCACTCAGGCCCAGATCTGTGAGCAGTACTCATCCTAGCTCAGACCTCTGAAAACGAGCTGCTCTGGCCAAGCCCTCCTCCACGCATTTAGTTACTCCGCTGCTGCTCGCCAGCATGTGGAACATCGCGGTGCTTAAGCGACGCGCGCTGAAACCCCATGCCCCCATCCCTGTCTATGCTGCCCACAGGCATCAAAACATGCTAGTTATAGGAAAGCCAGACAGCTAATGTAAGATGGAACTGGAATTCTTGAGAACCAAGAAGAGATCTAGAACATAGACTTACTGGACCATATTCGCAATATATTCATCCAGGTAGCAGCTGTTGAACTTGACCAAGTTGACCAGCACCTGCAGGAACTCTGAAGTTAAACCGACTTCCATCCATTGGCGGACAAATTCAGCTGAGGGAAAATGCGGGGAGAGGTGCTCAGTGAGAGGTGCTAGATGGGAGACTCCCTTTGGCCACAGGCTGGACTGGTTCTAGGAAAGCATCTCACTGGGCCAGCCCTGCTGCTAACGCAGGGTCCCGGCAGGCTTGTCCATGCACAGAGAGAACGAGATCTGCGTTTCTCCTTGCAAGGCAAGTGAGCCAAGCCACATGAGCAGATGAGGAGGGCTCCTCAAGGTAGCAGTTAAGGAACTTCGGGGAGGAAGAGAGGCTCTCCGGAGGCAATGTGGGTCAGATTGAAAGACTGGTGGGATAAATTTGGCTCTTGGGCTGCAAGTTGCCCATCCCTTCACCACTAAAGGCAATATTCCATCACGGATTTGAGATATTGTGGGCTTCAAGCACTCCCCTCTCTGTGCCAGAATTCATTATTGTTAAATTATTGCTTAAAAGGAAGCATACCTAATTCCTCTTCCAAGTATGTTATATATCTTCCATTATCTGTAAGTGCCTTGAACACTTCAAGTCGTTCGTGCAGGTCTTCATTAGAAGGATAATCTTTAATCACTTTAAAGAAGTGAGCTCGGAGGATTCCTAGTCTCTCACCCTTGAAGAAAAACGTTGGATTTCTTGAAACATTATGCCTGATTTTTTTTTAAAGCAATGCTTCCTAGCAGCACACGTTAGCCCCATCTGGATTTTAGACCTCAGATGTGTGCCAAGCCTTACCTGTCCTTGGATAATTGCCTTCAGCAGGTAGAGCACGGCGTGCCTGGCCTCCGTTGGCCGATCTGGCTGCAGCAGATCTCCTACCACCTTCCAGATAGCTTCCACTGCATGCTAAGAGTACAGAAAACGCAGTTACCCGCAGGTGTCCCTTCCTGACTATAAGTAAGAAATACCTTTTCCAGGCACAGTTAGAACTGGCTGGGAACCCTTGATCACCACCAGCCACCACCACTTACGTACCGGCTATCAACAGATCAACAGTATTTCTCTGCTATCTAATCAGCTGGGCAAGCTTGATTCCATCTTAGAACTGTCTGATACTAGCCTCTATCCAGTTTCTTCTCCCTTACTTTTGTCCTAATAAAACAGATTTCCCTTCCCACCTGAAAACTCCTCATGCAGCAACAACTCACTGGAAATTTCAGAAAAGGGGCAAATTAGTCCTACTTCAGGGCACTTTTTTTCCTGTCCTGGCAGAGGGTGCCAGTGTACCACTTTGCCGTAGGTAAGCCCACATTACAGACTTGGAAATTATCTCCATTCTTACACTGATGTCCTATTTTTACAATTTTACTCCAATGCTCATGCACAGGCTGGTCATTTTGAGGAGAAAATGAAGGACAATCTCTTCACAGAAAAGATTTTTGGTCAGACAGATGTGTCTTCCCATTAATTAATTCAAGCCCTCACCCATAGCTTGCTCCAGCCCCCTCCTATACTTGGGTAGAGAATTCCAAAATCATTTCTCCATTTCGCAGCCTGGCCTCCCCATCACCACCTTCCCCAGCCAGCCGTCCAGGGCCAGGTACACCCCTAGCGCATGAGCAGTCTTGCTGGGGGGGGGGGGTCGGGGGGGCGCTCCCAGTAGATGTTTTCCTCGGATGCCTTGGTTGCTCAATCCCACACACTCACCTCTTCAAACTTTTTCGTTTTTGCTACCTCACAGATCTGACCAATTGCCTTGATCCGACTGTGCAACCCACATTCAGGGCTCAGTTCCTGAAAGGCAAAAGGGAGCATTAGACAGACAAGGGATGGGCCAAATCTGCAGAGTCAGGGAAAACTACTAACCTGTGACCAAGGGGAGTTGGCTGTACTCTCCCTGTGCATGCTCTTCCCACCTCACCCACTCCCTTCAGTCCACTAACCAGATGCTCTGCTAGCAATAGAGAGCATGACTGCAAGGAGGAGGTTCTTCCAACCATGCTTCCTTCACTCCAAACAGCTGCTGCTTTGCGGCCTGATTCTTCTCACAACAGTGCTGGTACAAGGCTGATAAACCACTCTGGACACCATGAATCTGGACATCTTTGAGATGTCTGTCCATGCAGGGTCAGAAACCAACCCCGTACCATAGGTGAAGGATGCTGCAACTGCCAACATCTGGTGCAACAGATGGCGCAGAGTCAAGTCACAAGTCAAGTCGCCTGGCGCCGTAGTTATTTGTTTTTCGGCGCCAGGCAAAGACCTTTTTATTCAAGCATAATTTTAATTGTTAATGTTATTTCTATTTTAAAGTTTTTTGGCCAGGGCGACTTATTTTATACAGTTACGTGTATTTTATATTGTTATTTATGTATTTTATTTATTTGTAAGCCGCCCTGAGGCTTCGGCGAATGGGGCGGCCTAGAAATTTTCTAAATAAATAAATAAGTCAACTTGTGGCTCTCTGGGTGTTTTGCCCCACCACTGTCAACCTAGCCAATGGTGGCAGGAGCTGTCACAACTTTTCCACCCTGCCGTAAATCAGAGCATCAGGTAAAAAGCTTCAAAATAAAACACTCATAGAATCATAGAATAGTAGAGCTGGAAGGGGCCATGAAGGCCATCGGGTCCAACGCCCTAATGTTTTCAAATGTCTCTAGTGTGGGAGTTCACCACTTCTCTAGGCAGCTGGTTCCACTGTCGTATTGCTCTGATGGTGAGGAAGCTTTTCCTGATGTCCAGCCTGAATCTGGGTTGTCACAGCTTGAATCAATTATTCTGTGCCCTGCACTCTGGCACCAGCAAGAAGAGACCTTGGCCTTCCTCTTTGGGACACCCTTTGACTTATAGAGGGATACCATGTCCCCCCTCGGTCTTCTCAATGCCCAGTTCTCTCAGTCTCTCCTCACAGGGCTTCCAGCTCGAGGTCTCCAACTCCTGCACCATGAGTTAATCTGATCTGGTAGTATTTGCAGTATGTAACTTCCAACTCCTAAAGTACGTTCAGGGTTCCAAGATTTCAAAATGTTACCTTGAGTATTTCTGCTGTGATGATAAACTCTGTTTGTTTTCCTTCTGATGACTTAGAATTAGACCTGGATTGTCCGAGTCCCAGGAGACTCTTAAATTTCTCTTTCAGGCCAGGATCTTTGCTTGGTGGCTTTGCCATCATTAACTAATGAAGCATCAAGGACGCTGTATAAACATAAGACAGACAGCAGGCTGCATCAGCAAAGCACAGGAAGACTCTTTCTTGACGCAATCAATCGAATGCACCCAGTGCTCCATGCAGCCAACGGCTCCTGCCCACTGCCACAGCACAGATCTAAGCCCTCCAGGGCATCTAGGCGATGGGAAACCCATGCGCACCCAGAGTCCTCACACACTGGCTGCAGCATTGACTGAACCCTGTGCCTCTTGCACCACAGGTCAGGGGGCCATGGGGCATCATCAGTGGATATTCCAGGCCTTTCACACTAAGAATGAGGGTGGCGCACTGGTTGCAGTATCAGACTAGGACTAGAGGGACCCTGGCACAAACCGTCTCTCTGCCACTGAAGTTCACAGGTGAGCATGGGCAACTCTCTCCACCTAGCCCACCTTACTAAATTGGGAAAACTATATATGCTGATTTCAGCTCCTGAGAGAAAGACAGTATCAAAAAGCATTATGTAAAATAAACCATACTTCCAGTGAACTGTAGTAAGCAGACACTGCAACAGACAATCTTGCAATAGTTAAAATTATGAGTGGCATTACTGCCTAGTCAGAAAACCTCTTGGCATTCCATATCATGAAGAAACAAGAGGCACATGAAAGTGAAAAGATATAATCCTGTTATACAAAAAAGGCAGATTATTCTCTTTCTCAGTAAAGATATTAGATAGCATTTAAAAGTTTGTTAAGATACAAGATATGCACTGCACAGAACTAAATTTGGACGTTCTCACTACAGTCTTCATCTACCCACTTCACCACAGGGTCCCAATACAACCCCCAGTTTCCATTACCAAATTATCAGTATTGGCGTGTGGCAACCTCTCCTACCTCCAGAGCAAGGATGATAAACCAGACTGCAACCTCTCCACCAGTCCATGCACTTAACCTGCCCGGGGGACAGAGTATTAAAGGGCACAATTCTATCATGTTTAGACAGAAGCACCCCCACACCTCCCGGCATGTCCTGGACAACCATTTTTCTGCTAAACATCCATAGGGTTATATTTAACCCGCATATAAATCACTTAACTCTGGGAAAGAGCCTGGGTAGGAAACAGGGTGGCTCAATAGCCCCAGGCCTGATGCTGGACCTCAGAACCTGTCTCCCTAGTATGAACCCCTGAACAAACCATTTCTGCCTCCCTTGCCCATCTATACATAGGGAAGCAGCTCAGACTGCAACACTTTATGCAGATTATGCTTTAAGGCGACAAAGTAATACAATAGTTATGTGTAAGCTTTGGCTGTGGGGTGCCACAGAAAAGAAATAAACAAATAAGCTTTACTCCTTGTAGCCAGCCGTCACAACCACAATACATAAATAGACTGTATACGACATCTGTATATGTGAATAGCATTCTATACCCACCGGCACAAAATTCAAAAATGCAGTAAATAAGGGGCGAACCACACTCAGAAATGCCTCTAACTTAAACAGTAACTGTTTGTTTAAAAGTACAAGATCCCCCTCTTTAACATGTTAAACTTCAACTTCTCTCAGCTGTCAAATGTTATCAAACTGCAAAGAACCACGGGGAACCTAAAGATTAGCAGGCGTCTTATGGCAGAAGCTCTTCGTCTTGGAACCCACTAGGTCAGGCTGGTGCTCGCAGGCTCCTGTTAAAATGATGGGCTGGATCAGGAGGCTATAGCACCTTGCAAACCAACTTGATTTATATAAAATACTGCTACCTGATTTTCACTCTGGTATCCCCAGTGCATTACAAGCCTGTGCTATACAGAGATGCAAATATGTCCACTACACCAGCAGACCTTGGCATAGCCAAAGATACAGTGGTGGAGTGAACTTAGCCTCCACAACCTCCTTGAGACAAAGGCACCACAAGACTGACTGGGGTTTTTGCTACAACGGATTACCAGACAATCCTACGCCAGTCCGGGCAGGAAAAACTGCTACAACCCCCAGCATTCCCCAGCCAGCCTAGCTGGGCAGTCATGGGGCTTCTTCCTGCCCAAACACGCACCAGACTGCACCCCAAGGCACTCCGAGAGCCCCCGTACCACCCGCCCAAGATGGCCCGTGAGCCTCCGCGGCACTCCCTCAGGCCAAGGCAGCGCTCCTAACAGCCGCCCTGCGTCGCCTCAGGGCCGCCGCGCTTCTTTAACCTCCACAACAACCCCGCGAGGGAAGCCAGGCTACGAGGGAGGGAAGGCCGACCCAGCCAGCGCCACGGCTCGGGGACGGGCGCTGGACCGGGGCCTCCTCCGCCCCTGGCCCGGCCCTCTCCCCTCGGAGCCCACTCGGGCGGGGCTTCGCCACCAGGCGCGTCCCGTCGTCAGCACAGCCCTGCGAGGGGGCAGGCGCCGGGCCCTCGGAACGTCCCGGCGGGGCCCCCCCGGCCCTGGCCCGGCCCTCCCACTAGCGCACCCCTCTCCCCAGGGGTGCTCGGAGAGGCGCCGCCTCCTGCCCACACCCCTTGCCCCCCATCATCCCCACCAGGACCGGCGCCCCCGCCCCGCGGACCCCGCACTCACCGCCCGCCGCCGCCGCCGCCGCACCAGCACCCCGCCCCCTTCGACCGGAAACGCGGCTCCACTTCCGGTGCGGTTGAGCCCGCGAGGAACGGGGCGCCCTCGCGCGGGGCACTGTGGGGGTTGTAGTCCCGGGCTGGCGCCGAGCCATGTGCGCGGGGCGGGCGGGCTCGTCCAGGCTGCTGCGGAGCGGGGCCGGGGGCCGGGGCCAGCCGGCAGGTGGGTACGCCGCGCAGGGCTGATCCCGGGCAGCCAGGGCCTTCTCGCGCGTTCCTGCGCGCCCGTCCTCCGCTCCCCGCGGCTGCGCGTGCCGGCCGGGCTGGTTGCGTGTGCCGCGCTTCCTCGGAAGGCCCTCAGCAGGAGGAGCCCCGCGGAGCCGCCTCGGTGCCACCCCTCTCTGCCCGGGGCGGGAGTCCCTGGGTGAGGCGCTCTGAAGAGGGGCTTCGCGTTGCCCCGGCCGCCCTTTCAGGCTTCAGCCACATCTTGCCCGCCCGTTTCCTTCGCCTTGCGCGCTCAGTGGCGACTGCCCGTCTTTTGCACGTCTCCTCGTCTGGCGCAGACCCTCCCGTTCTCTGCATTCGATGCGTGTTGCGGTTCCTCGATATTTGCCCATGCCCGTGTTAGCCACCCATTCGGCCGAGACGTTGCAGCGCCCTGCCATAACCCCCCCGCCCCAAATGTTTCTCTCTTGCTTGTGGCAGCTGTGCCGAAGCCCAGGATCTTGTGCTCCCGGTAGAACTGGGGACCCGTCGCACCACGCAAGGCAGGTCCCCGCGGCGAATCCCGAGCGTGTCTTGCATTCTGTGCCCTTCCTCTAAAGAGGCAAAACCACCTTACAAATGACTAAAATGAATATCGGAGTGCCATCTCAGACACTCCAACGGGTGCTCCATGTGGCGGCCCATAGCTGGCCGTGGGAACTGGATGGACCCCTCTTGGCCTGATCCAGCGCAACTCTTACGCTCCTGGGATGAAGGCAACTTCGTGCTTCCCCACCTTTTCCATTTTCTGCTGGAAGCATGAAAACACCGCACTTACCTCACTTGATCAGATGTAGAACTTCCCTCTGCATGCACTGCCCAGCGCACAGGCAATCCATGACCCTGCCAGAGACCCCCACAAAAGCAGGTGTGCAAATGATCTTGAGGTGTGTATGTTTCGAACCAGTGTAGGAACCCATTTACCTGGCATGGACAGGCCCATCCACGTGGCACTCTCTGTTCCTTGTTTTTTCCAAGATAGCAGGCACAGGAATAGAGCTGTCATAACTCATGGACTAATGTAAACTGAGTCAGAATGTAAAGAAGAATTGCGGCTGGCTGCTTCTGACACCAGTGTGGTCTAGACAGACTTCCTCACCTTGCTGCCAGCTGGATGCCTTGGGCTGCCATTCCTATTGGCCCAAGTGAGCATGCGCTGGAATACCAGGAGACATCATCCCCAAATTCGGAGGGTCACCTAGCTGGGGAAAGCTGGTTTAGTAGGCAGAGTGCCAGACTAACGCTGGGAGAGGCAAATTCAAATTGTTACTTGCTTCCAAATATACTTGTTTCCTTCTCGATTCTATTTGAGAGAGCTGTTCCTCATAAAAGCAGGAATATTGAATGCCTGCCTCATTGTCATGACACCAGCCAGCCACCCGCACACAAAGATACCTTTGAATTGGCCAGTCAGAAGAAGCCCTGATGGGAGAAACGGCCCAGTGGCCTCCCTCAGCGAAGCCAAGCACAACCTGCGCACCTGGAAGGGCTCTTCTGGTCACTTTGAGCCTCCCTGAGCTTCCGGTTCATTGCTCACAACCAGGCACTTTGCCTCCTTCGCTTTGAACCCGGTCATTGCCTCGCACTCGGGGAGGTTGGTGTTTATTTCGTCTGCTCTGGCATTCCTCGTGTTTAGTTGAGGGTCTCGGCTGCTGGCACTGTGCTTTTGTTCAGGATCTTAGTCTCAGCTTTACTCTAATGTTTGATATTGAGAGTTCTTGGCTGCTACTGCAGTGCGCTCCTGGTCTTGTTTTGGCAGTGAGAGTACAGCGTCTCCATTTTTAACTTGCAGTTGCATAGTCTGTATGATTTCTGTATTGGCCATCTGCTCATGTCCTTGTGTACAGTCACCTGATTTGTTACTTGAAGTAGGTATTTTGCAACGAACAGATGGTTGGCTTCACAGTGTTCTGTGAGTCTAGATACATGTTGGTTGCACATCTATACATACAAGTTGAGTATCTATGTGAGCAGGGATATGCAGCCACAGTCCCAGGTGCTTTTTCTCCTTGGCCTGAAAAGCAAACTGCAAAGTTGGGAAAATGTGCAGATCTGGTTTGTTGGCTGCTTGGGGGAATTAGTGGCAGAAATAGCAGAGACAACACAGGATGGTCTCTCTAATCGCACACAGAAGAGAATGCCACTGAAGCCTACCATTGGCAGAGTTTCCTTTATGTTTGCTCTAGCAACAAATGAAACCCTGAACAGGAGGCGCTGTCGGGGAGAGAGGAAGGTCACTATTGCTTATGAATCTTCAGAAGAAAATGACACGAGGGAAGCAACTGGAACAGAGGTCAAGAAACAGAAGTGGGAGCCCAAGAACTGGGCGCAGCACCTGGCCAATATCCGGGAAATGAGGAAGGGGAGAGATGCCCCTGTGGACCAGATGGGAGCCGGCCAGTGCTTTGATGGAGACGCAGCTCCAGAGGTGAGGCCAGCAGGGCGGCGGAGGACTTTGGGGCCCAGCGGGAGCTTGCAGGTGGCCAACTGGCCCGCCGCTCTCCTGGAGGATGTGAGGCGCTCACCTTCCGTGTCTGCTCTGCTCTGCAGGTTGTGCGCTACCAGATTCTGTTGTCCCTCATGCTCTCCAGCCAGACGAAGGACCAGGTGACTTCGGCTGCCATGATGCGCTTGCGGGAGCACGGGCTGACTGTGGACAGCATCCTGGAGACCGATGACGCCACCCTGGGACAGCTCATTTACCCCGTGGGGTTTTGGAAGGTGGGTGAGTGGCGTGAGCTTGATGGTGTCAGGCCCACCCCCCCTTCCTTCTCACGAGGAGCTTGCGCAGCTCCCTCTTGTCCTCACGACCGCCACCCCGTGAGGGGCCTGGCAGCGCCAGCACCTGCCCCGAAGCTGCCCAGTGAGCTCTGTGGCTCTGCGGAGACCGGAACCCAGGCCCGACCTGGGCCACAGGGCTCAATCTGTGCTGTCCCAACAGCAGAAGTGTATGAGGCACGCCACTGCTGGACACCCCCCCGCAGCAGCCTGTTGGAGCCGCCCTCCTCCCAAGGGAGGGTGACTCGCATCTCGCAGTGGCGGGTGCCGATTCCACCGTGGGGCGGCCTCTGCCGTGGCAGGCTGCCCCGCTGCTCCCAGAGCGCCCTTTTCCCTGTCAGCCGCCAAAACCTCCCAAAGCGTATCCCTCTCTCGCCGACTGTAGCGCAAAGTGAGCTATATCAAGCAGACCACCGCGATCCTGAAGCGGGACTACGCCGGCGACATACCGAAGACAGTTGCGGAGCTGGTGAAGCTGCCAGGGGTTGGGCCCAAGATGGCCCACCTGGTTATGGACATCGCCTGGCAGAGCGTCTCTGGGATCGGTAATGTATTCCTGCTCTGGGGAACTCGGTGCAGAGGCCGGGGCTTTCGTCAGTTCGCTGCCATTTCGGAGCGATGACAGTGGCACCTTGGCTCACGAACTTGGTCTGTTCCACGACTCTGGTCGTGACCCAAGTCAAATTTCCCTATAAGGTTCAATGTAAATAAGGTTAATCGTTCTGTAACTATTTTTTTAATCAGAAATTTTGAAACAAAATGACAAAGATCAACAAAGTAACAAAGCACTGTGCAGTAAGGTGGAGAACACTAACCTAGGTGGGGGGGAGGTTATTGTTCCGAGGGAGAGCCCCCCTCCGTAAGGACACTGGGGAGACCTCTTTCAGGGGTTTCCTCTCTTCTGTGTCTCTCAGTTGCAGGTCAGTTTTGGTGAAAAATCTGTCTATATTCGCTTGTTTTTTCCCTGCTGTTTGTTACAGTTATGTTGGGGGTGGTGCTTCTCAAAGAAATCCTGGCACTCGTTCCATTTTTCCATAATGGATTGTATCACATCACCGCTAACCTCCTCCCTGCCTTCCTCTTCCTCAGTGGGATCCTCCTCAGCAGGTGCCTTCTGCTGCTCACTCCAGAGTTCAGCGAGTTCTTCTGCCGTCAGCTCCTCCATGTCTTCCCTGTACTCGGGGTGGCGGGGTGGGGAGATGGGCACAATTGTGCTGAGTGCGGGGGGGAGAGATGGCCGAGATCGCGCCTGTCTTTCCTGCACGAACACAACTGTGAACGTGGCCATCTCCCCACTCGGGGGGGGGGGGGGGGGGGGGGGCAGATGGCCGCGATCTTCGTTGCTACCCAATGCGGAGTTCACGACCCGAGTCAAAATTTTCATGAAATTTCCGTCCTGAACCGAGGCGTTCGTGAGCTGAGGCGCCACTGTACTCTGCTCAGGCCTCTTAGCCTCTGCTCTTGCTCGTGGGGGGGGGGGGGCGCTGAATCCTGCAGTAGCCACAAGGGGGCGCTGCGGTTCCATCTTCTCTTTGGAGGAGCTCCAGCCGCCATTTAGCAACCCCTTTCCTGAGTCTTTATTGTTAAAAAAGTTTATATGTTGGGATTGGAGAGCATGCGAACCCCGATTCCTGATTAATGGCTTTGCTCGTGGGCTAGTCGGCAGGAAACTTGGGGCCGGGGGTGTTTAGAGGCGAGCAGCTCCCTCGTTTGCTGCGCTCGTGCTGGATGTCTGGCGGGCCCTTCCAGTCCTTCCCAACTGTCCCAGCAGCTCCTGGATCCCGTGCAGACACAGTGGAGGAAGCTGCTGCAGCCGCCTCCCTTTCTGCGTTCGCTGCTCCCCTGGTAGCCTGGAGGACATTACCCAGTGCCGGGAGAAGCATCGCAGAAAAAGAGTTTGGGGGCTCATGCTGTATGCAGGAGGCAGGCCTGGAACTTGCCTCCCTGCCCACAGAGCCAGCCTAACGTTTCACTCAGCAGGCAGGTAAGAGGCGTTCCCATAGGCTGAGGGCGCCCTCGCAGGTGAGCTACACCTTTATGCCACACAGAGAGGCAAATGCTTCTGGGGCCCATGCTGGGCATGTTGGGGGAAGTGTCCTCCCTTCTTCGCATCTGGCTGCTCCCTTCCACTGATTCCAAGCACCGCCTTCTCCAGGCGTGGACACACACGTGCACCGGATAGCCAACAGGCTGAAATGGACCAAGAAGAGAACTAGACTTCCTGAAGAGACCAGGCAAGCTCTGGAAGAGTGGCTTCCCAGGTAAGCCAGCCAGAATTGAGTCAGGTTGCATATTACTCAAGTCTTAAAGGAGATGCCAAAGACGACCATGGCCAGGTTGCCATGTCAGAGGAAGCCATGGTGGTTTTTTAGCTTTGTTGGTCTGTCGGGTTCAACCCAGTCACAGAATTTCAGCATGGTGTGTTTGGTTTCTGGAAATCATGGAGAGAAACAATGGCTTGTTCACCGGACCTCCTCATGATACTTGGACCTGAGACTTCCATTTTTCTGTTCATGAAGAAGAAAAACTGCCATAGAGTCCTGTGGAAAGAGTGGCAACAGAAGGGGGTGGCTCTAGGCGTCCAGTTACTCCTGCCCGCATTTTTCTGGCAACACACACATCAGCTCATGCTCCCTCCAGTTGGTTAAGTGCTGTCCCCATCATCCTGTTTACTTTCTGTAGTGGAGAAGGAGGGTAAATACATGGAGAGAGAAGGGGGAATTGCAACCAAAGTGTTCGTTTTAAAGCAAAAAGTGGCTAGGAAGTATTAAAGGGGCAAGAGAGAGACCCTGCCTCAAAATCTCAGCAGACCAATCGGGAAAAGGCAGCTGAGGGTTAGGGCTAGGGAACAGTGCAGTAAAGAAGGATTCTGCTTGTGGGGCCACTGGGATGCATGGGAAGAGTGGGAGGACGGAGCAGGGGGTGCGGAAGCTGCCTTTACCTGGGAATCCTGTGCGGCTGCCTGGGGATCCCTGGAGAGCTGGACTGGGGCAGCCGGGGGGCCGCTTTTGCCTTCTGGACCGGGAGTTCCTCACCCCTGTTGGAGAGGAGTGACACTTGTGCTCGTGGGCAGGCCGTTCTTCTACCATTTGTCTACCATTTTTCTCACTTGAGATTCCCCATAAACATGCAAACTGCCAGTCGGAACACAGTTTGAAAAGCATTTGCAGTAAAACAACTTTCTGGGTGCCGACAGCATTTCTTAATTCATTTCTGAAACAGTCGGCTTTCCTTTGTAATCTCATCACTTTAAGTGGGGCTGCCTTTGACAAGTGGCTGGAAATGACCGCCAGGGCAAAATGCCACGACCAGGTTACGTACTGGGAGCATCTCAGCAGCTGCTCCATTAACTGCCGGCCTCCAGTTAATTTGCGACACTAGTTAAAAGAGCTGCACGCGCCTTCTGGCGCTCCTGGGGCTTCTCCCATGCGTGGCAGGGAGGACACATGAACCTGGGGCTCCGCAGGAGTGAAACTCCACTGTAGATGGTCTGTTAGGGTTCCTCTTTCCCTGCTTATTTCTTCATTATGCTTCTGTACTGCCGAAGAGCAGAAACTTGCAGGGTGAGTCACTGCAATTAAAACTGTAAAGTACCACATGCTGAAATGCAACATCGGGGCTTAAAACCACAGTACAAAAGAAAAGTGATCACCAAAGAACCACTAGCAACAGTGTGAAGATTTAAGATATCCAGGAGATTTAAAATGACAGACAGGAAGACTAAAATGCCTGGAGAAATGAACAGGTTTTCCCATGGCACCAGCGTGAGGTGCCAGCTGAGCTTCTGCAGGGTGGATAACTGGGATAAATGGAAAGGGCCTCGTCTAAGCAGCCCGCGAGCTCTTGCAAGGGTTTGAACAGGTTGGGTCTCCCTGCTTAAATGCCTGTGTCCCCTGTTTGCTGCGTATGTGGCACTGCACCATGTTGATACCCGCCAGTTGTCACCTGGTTAACTTTGGCTTTATGGGCGTGGTGGTATTTGTAATTGTGAAGGTGCTGCAGAGGTGGAGGTACTTTAATCCTCTTCCTCCACCTGCCACAGAGAGCTCTGGAGTGAGATCAACTGGCTGCTGGTTGGGTTTGGCCAGCAGGTCTGCTTACCGCTCCATCCACGCTGCAGCAAGTGCCTGAACAAGGGCATCTGCCCGGCATCCGAGAAGCACTGAAGACTGGAACTGCTTCCCACCCAGCGGAGCAGGTGGCCTTGCTGATCTTCCATTGCCCTGAGGAAGGGGACCCCCGTGCAGACAATGCTCGCGTCTCACCCCGAGGCTGAGGAGGCTGTTTGAACTGGCTCCTTTGGGATGGCGGTTGGGCACAGGGGGCTTTGAGGCTGAAATGGAACGGTTCCTGAACTGGCAGCCATGATTTCAGAAGCAGCACTCTCCTGGAAGTTGTTTCGGACTGCCCTGAAGGAGTTCCTCTTAATAAAGGACCATGCTTTATGGAAAGCTGTTTAATAAAGAAAGTATGTTAAAATGGAAGGGCCTTTCCCATAACAGTGGCTGGAGAAAGGAAGAGGTCTCTGTGGAGGAGCCACTGGTCCTCCTCGGTCTCGCTCTCCACAGCCACACACAGCTCAGCATATTGGGGAAGGACAGGTTAGAAGGGGGAATGTGGCTTTGTAAGCGAGCATTGCTACGAGTCAGTTTCCCTTGTGCGCCGCTGGCCCGTGTTTCTGGCTGCTCCTATTGCCAAGGTTTGGCTGGTGACGTTCCTTGCAAACAGGCAGAACGGCACGGTGCAGGCCCCGCTTGCAAAGGTGCTGGTCCTGCCGGGTGTGCATGTGGCACGGTTGGGAGCAGAGCTTCACTGCTCGACCAGAGGGAGGCTGCAGTACTTTGTCCCAGGCCAGACCCTCCAAGAAGTGCTCGTGGATCCTGTCAGTCCGCCGAACCTCACCGAGTCTCCAGCTGAACGGCAAATGAGCTCGTTACGGAGCAATCGGGGTTGCCCAGTTCCACTGCACGATGCGATTCACACTGGGCAAGAGGCATGGCAAGGCTGTGACGGAGGAGCAGGTGACGGGCGGCACCGGCCGTTTGCGCTCACCCAGCCTGGCGACATGGGGAGTCCGGGCAAGAGCAGCATTGGAATGTCCTGAGTGAGGACAAAGTGGCCAAGACCAAGCAAGGTTCATCACCCACGCAGTTCTCCAGTTTTCCATGCTCGGCCCAGTGCTTTTGATGAGAAGCCCATCTAGGCCTCTCTCTTGCCTGCATTTCACAAAAGCAGTTGTGCGGGTGGCTTGCTTGCAAAGGGCTTTTCCCACTCATGAGCAAGAGAAGTTGAATGGCCGAGAGCAGTTTTCTTCTACAGCAGCTCTTCACTTGAGAGGCGTTTAATAGCTCTAGCAACTTGGGGACGGTGCCTGTTGATTGTTCTCCTTGGTGTGTGAAAGCAAAGCACCTGCTTGTCCAGAATATTCTGTGCAAATGGACTGGGAGTGCAAAGGCAGTTTTAAAGAGAATGCAAAATGAGCACAGTCCTCAGGTTTCTTCCAAATGTGTGAAAAGGAATGGTTTCCCAGAGCTCTGGAGTCCATTCCGTTGTGTGGTCTGCAGATCTCTGTTGCAAGATAAAAATTCACGCTCTGATGTGGATGTCAGATAGAAAAGTACACATTTTGGCGACTCCGCACGAAAGCAGAACTTGTATGCTGCACGTGGGCCGCCTTGTTAATATTTCAGCTCTCTGGGGGCAGCCCTTCATTGTGAGTGAAGTACACATGTCTTCAGCCTTAGGTTTTCCCATGAATACCTGCTGTGTTGCAGTTCATGTTTAGGATGAGGACTGTTCACAAGTTCTGAGATCCAGGCATGCAGTTTGGGGAGGCCCATAAGGGTTAGGGTTACATCTCATACAGGATTGCCTTCTACTAGCATAAACAAATATGTTTGCATGCATGCAACCCTATGTCTGTTCTCCCTGAAATCAGTTAAAGCTGGGAGTGGGGAAGGATACCAGAAGGAAGAAACAAATTTGGACACCGACATTGTAAGGCTCACTGTACATGGGAAACAGGTTTTATTATTGACATTTTAGTATACATATATTTTACACAATGTAGTTAAAAGCTCTTGTATAACCGTCTAGGGAATTTCTAAGTTAGAGGTGCAGAAACTGAGAAAGTGTTACAGGGCTTACAGGGTAGCAGAAAAAGAGCCAGTGGTGCTTTTGAGTTACCTAGTTCAGTCCAATGGCGATGTGGAGTGGAGACAAACCTTTTGGGCAGAAAGGAAAACCAACCCCCTTTGAGACTTGGGCACAGATTTTCAGCTTATCCTCAGAGCCTTGCTTTCATTACACATGGCGGGCGTGTCGTGAACGGAGCCGGCTGGAGCCGGTGGTCGGGCTAGATGGCCCGGGAGGCCCCTTCTGACTCGCTCTGCTTCTGTCTCATCCCTTACACCACGTGGCTCTGGACTGACTTTAGACCTGCTTCTTAAGGCATTGGATGGCCACTATTGTATTTGTCAGTGCTCTCTCTCTCTCTCTCTCTCTCTCTCTGTATAACAGTAAAATAAGAGAGCAAAGGAAGCAATCCGTATTTGCTTCTTCTGAGACCAAGATGCTTCTTCAGCCCAGTTTGAAAAAGCAGGTCACTCAAGAACAGAAATCATTATGGGCACGATCCGGTACAAGCTCATGTGGAGAAAGGTCTGTGACTCTGCTGTGCTGCCAGGTGTGGGCTTCCTTTTCCCTCCCAACGCTCAAGATTGTGCCTCAAGCAGCACTGTTCAGATGACTCAACAAAACACCCCCAAAAAGACCTCACTCAGCATTGAAGATGCAGGACACCTTAAATCATTCCTGGACTTCAATCACCACTGGTGGGGACAATTTTTGTGTTGCTTCCCACAGTGTTGCTCTTTCCCAAGTTACGTTTCCACTCACAGGCATCCCTGGCCTAAAAGCAGCTATCCTGGCACTGAAACCCACGCAAGGCTCACAGCCCTTGGACTGCTGTTTATCCGGCCCAAGTTGCCTTCAGAGGACTAGTGGTTCACCAGGCAAGCAAAGCCTAACAGGCCAGAACAGTGCATGTATTCTGCAACAGTTAGCTCTGTAGATGTGATTATGCAAATAATTTGATCATTTTCAATGTTCCAGGCTTTTAGATAATTTGGAATGTTGTAGTAAGCAAAGCATGGCTGTTGAACGCTTTAAGGAAAAAGTGGAGCTATTTCTGACCAGTTAACATGCGGACAAGGAATCTTTTTAAAAGCAATAATTGTCATGATAATAGCCAGGCAGATATTCTCTGGTTGCCAACTCTTGTGATTTGCAGGAAAACTTTGTACCTGCACTGCTTATAAACATAGCACATACATATGGAATCTGTACTCTGAAGATGAGGTTTATACTTTTAAAAGCAAGTTTCTAGTCATTATGGTTGCAGAAATAAATTTCAAGATGGTAGAAAGTCCTGGCATCAGCCCAGAAGACAGAGAAGGCAAACCTCCCACGGGCTGGGATTGTAATGGTGGTCTCCTGCCAATCTGAGAAGGGAATTCATACAATTCTGGAGAATCCTCGCTTTTCTCTGGGGCACGCAGCCAACATTGCCCCCACTTGGCTTTTCCCTTCTTTAGGAATGGTTTCTGTACCCAGACTCTCATCAGAAGGAAAAACTTAGCATGCTGCTCATACTAGAATCCCTGGTCTCTGTCTGCTAACGCCAGAATCAAGCCAGGATTTGAAACTGACAGACCGTTCCTGGTTTGTTTAAAGTAACAAGCCATCAGTCAGGTTTAAACATACCACTTTTTTTTTTTCTTCCTGGTGCATTCTGGCTACTGAATCTTGCTGCTGAGAACCAAGCTTCTGTGGCATTGCAGTAAAGCCAACCAGTTCTCCGTACCTGAATGAAGCTGGATGGAAATGTTTCAGTGCAGAACTTGGATGGGGTTCTTTAGTGCAGGCCCGTGGGCAGGCAGTCATGGGCCTATGCCCTGGACACTCCGCTTGGCGCTTGCCCCCCCCCCTGCTGGGACCCCCCACACACACACACTCTGGCAACCCTTTTGGTGGCAGCTGAGGCCACTTCGAGGCAGGCCAGCAGCCGGCCCAGCCCCTCGGAAAGTGCGAGCTCGGACGCTCCCGTCAGTGAGCGAGCGGGAGAGGGGAGCTGGGAAGACCAGCGGGAGCCCAGCTGAGGACACAGCTGGTGGGTTGCAGGTGCTGGTGTGCCTGTGGTGGGAACGGATGCGGGCAAAACCACAAAACATGCTTGTGAGAAAGGAGAGCGCGAAAGGGCTGGGGGGGTTTTGGAGGGATTCTGAAAACGTGCATGTTGGGACGCTTGAAGGGATGAGGGGCATTTTCACGCAGGGATGCGAACAGGTGTGTGTGTGTGGGGGGGATGCGCTGTGAGTGCGGAAGTGGGTAGAAGAGGTCGCCCTCCTGTGAAATAGGTTCCTCTTGGAGCTGAAACCTGAGAATCCATAGAAATGTTATTATAATAATAATTATTATTATAATAATCCAGAGGAGTCTCCTGTTGGGAAGGTCTCCTCTCCTCCGTAACTCGCCCCGGCAGCCATATTGTGCCAGCGCTCCAGGCGGTTTCTTACCTTGCTAGAAGTGCCCAAAGAGGCTCCTTGGCCCTCTGGGCTGTGCTCAGAGGCCTGTACCTCATGCTCATCGATCCCCCAACCTGCCTTTTTCCTCAAGGCCTTCAGTCAGCACCATACTGAGCCTATACAAAGGCCTTCCTGAAAAGAAGCCACATACAGTTTACCCAGGCTGCTTTGTGGAGCTGCAGCCGTCTCCCAGAGGAAACCGAGCAGTCCAAGGCACCTTATTCAGCTCAGCCATTTACACAATATACACAAAGCCCCAGAGTGTATTTATATCAAAGGGCACTTGTTCAACTCGCAGCATGTGAGAACAAAGCCATTTTTCTTCTAAAATGCTAATATTCATTGTTCATTTGTGCCCTAAGTGACAAGTGGCAAATGCTTGTTTACATAGTCTGGGTTTTTTTGAAGAAAGAACATTTGAGTATCATCCAGCTCACTTATTAATACTGTTTTTTCTAAAGTAGTTATCAGAAAAGAGAGTGAAGTTATATTTTAGTAAAGGAGGTGGGGAGAATTGTTCCAAATCTTCTCCCACCCACCCCCACAACACACCATGTTAAGATCCGATCAGTATAGCTCTACTCTGTTTGCTTAGCAGGTTCCAGTTAAGAGTCTGGGCACCAAATTTTCTGAAATGCAGCTGTGATGCTTTTGTAAGGACACATTTGACGGATCTCCACATGGACACAAGTACTTGATGTCTCCTGGAGTTTACGCAATTATGCAGGAGCTCATATCCATGCACGTCACGCTGTCTAAACATACTCTGCACAAGAGGCAATATGATCCAGAATGAAGGACCGAAATCGGGGACTGCACAGGAGGGATATCCCAAAATGCTCTGCTTTCTCTGAGGTCCGAGTCCAAAACACGTTTGCGCCTGTCGCCTGCAAATGCACCCCCGACCCCGGCACAGACTCGGGCTGAGATCTCTCCCATTCTCACCGCTTGTGCTCCTGCCCCAGGGCTTGCCAGGCACACTTCCCCGGGCCGAGCCTCGCGAGGCCAACCGGCCTCACACTCCGCTACCCCAGGATATCCTGCTGCGGGTCTGGCCGGCCTTGTGAGCAGAGCAGCTTCTCATGTTCTAACCCAACACAGTCCTTCCTTCTGCGGTGGAGGGTGTTGTCCTATTTTATTTGCTTGGATACACAATGGGGAAAACGTAGTGGGCCCAACACCCATAATGTCCACATGGAACATGCAGGAGCAGGTGCACGAACTTCCTCATCAAGGCAGGAAGCTCCTTCCTCAGAAAGAACAGTACAAGAGCGGGAGGGGATCAGAAGCTGGTGAAATGCAAATTGGCACAGCATGGCTAAAACTACGATTTGGCTTCTGCATTCAGGAATCCCCTGCCCATCATCTCCAAAGGGAGGCTTGTGGGAAGGTCAGACGCATCTACAAAAGACATGGAGGTTTTGTACAGCAGGAGAATCTCCCCACTTTCCGCTGCTGTGCAAAAAGAAGCTTGTTCAATGATATGAATGTTAAAAGAGCAACAAGATTATGAAACTAAGGGCCTTGCTTTTTTTTTTAATGCCCTTGAAGAGGAAATAGCAGTACAATTGGAGATGAAACTGATTTGCTGGGTGAGCTGTTTTTCAAGAAGCAGCTCAGCTTTGCTGAGCTTTGCCCTGCAGGAATTCCCTGTGCCCCACCCAAGTTGTGAGGAGCTCACCCAGTGTGAGGAGCGGTCACAGGAACGCCATATCGCTCCCTGGATGTAGCGGTTTCCCTGTGCTTCCCCAGGTTGCACTAAAAGCCTTCTTTCCAGTTACTGCCACAGTGGAATTGGATTACGATCGCTTGCAGGTCTCGGGCTTCACTGGGTCTCTCCCCGCGGTCCCCAGGTGTTGGCAAGGGGGCCCGCCTACTGCATCCCGCCAGCCATCATGGCAGCATTTTGCTCCCATTTCCTACGTTCCCAGTAAGGCCGGCTCTTGCATATGGGGAACCTGGCCCAGGAGAGGCACGAGGCATGGAAGAGGGCTTTGCGAAGAGCAGGACTTGCAGTGCACGCGGTTTAAAGGGAGGGTGTCTCAAGCACTAAAGAAAAACAGATGAAACCCTTTCCCCCACTCCATTAAAAAAAATCTCCACAGAGCACCCTTGCAATCTTGGAGTGGTGAGCCAGCCGTGTATGAGAAGGTTAATACTGTAACCCACCCTGAAATAAACCATAGCATTCCATTAATTGGAAAGAAAATGCACTCTGTTTACAATGTAAAAATATTTAAAATGTCTAAAGGAAAGGGAGTAGGGAAGAAACTTAAACAATTAATTATATAAAAATGGTCCTATAAATAATATTGCAGGTTAAGTGATCCAAAATTAAAACAAAATGGGAAAGATTTGCTTTTCCTGTTTGTTACGGCTGGAACTTCAGCTACCTTTCCGTGACATCTGAGCTCTGCAGATTCCATTTCTCTCTTTCACCACTTTTGTACAATAAGAGAGGCATTGAAAATCTGCCTTGCACGAAGCAACACAAAGCTAGGAAGAAGGCAGCATGGGAAGTGCCTCAGAGCTATGCCCATAGCGGGTGGAACACGATTCGAATACATTGCAAATGTGCTGTTGCAGGAGCAGCTGGAAAGGAAGAGCAGCTGCCAGACTGGCTCAGAAGTTGCTGAAAATCTCCCGTTTCTTGTTCCAGTCCATCTGCGGGGCCCTCTTGTTCACCCGCTTGGCCCGCACTTTCTCTTTGGCTTCTGCTGCTGTTGGACTCAGGTTCAAGCCACTTTCTTCAAATGGATCCTTTTTCGCGGCTTCTCCCACCTTTAGGAGAAACAGAACAGAGAAAATTGTTCAAGGCGCGTGCATCTTCCTTGTTCCTGTTGTCTCTTTTCAAACTTTTTTTGGGGGGGTTTTGGAAATACAACAAAGAACTGATCCAATCAGCAAACAAAAATGACAGTATGCCACAGCGACAAAGCTAAGTTTTCCTTTCAATGCTCAAATGGGTCTCAACGCTTTTGCTTCTGAGCTGGGCAAAATGGAGGCCCCTGCTCTGAAGAAAGAAGTGACAAGTGAGATGCGTCCTTTTAAACTACTGCAGAAATGAATTCTTGATGCAGGTAGTTATGCATTTTGTTCTACCTGCCACAAGAAAGTCTACACAAGAACTTGTGCTGAGCCTGCCCCACAAAGGGGATAAATGGTGGTTGTGTTTTATTGCACGTCTTCATGATTTTCCTTGGAAAGGAACCAGAACCAAATCTCTGTATTAGCAAACAAATTGAGAAAGGTTTTCTCCTCCGCATGAGGGAACTGCAGGCAAAGAAGGAAAAAACTCAGATATCTCAGAAAGGTTTTCATGCTGCCCAAGGCACACAGAGGTTCAAGACGGTACAGTGGCCAGGGATGGACTTGGGTTGGACCCAGTGACTTGAAGGACCACCTTTTCTAATTGACTCCCACCCACCTGTTGAGATCTGGGAATGACGTTCCTTCTGAGAGAGCCATTCCGAAAGGAAGTAAACAGGACAGCGTTTAGAAGAAGGGGCCAGAGGACGGCATGTCCTGAGTGCAGCTGGCTGGAGCCGGGGGTCAGACTGGATGGCCCAGGAGACCTCTTCTGACTCGCTCTGCTTCCGTGTTTCTACATTTCTAAGAGGGGCCCTCTTGGTGACGGCCCCCAACCTTTGGAGCAGGTCGGAACCTTCCTGGCACCATCTCTACTTGCATTCCCATGCCAGGCCAAGGCCATCCTCACTCGCGGATTTTACGAAACCTGAATTTAAAGCCTGATCGCAAGTGCTCCCTCCTCCCAAGGATTTCCCCCCTTCTCCCGCCTGTACTCGTACCATGGGCTGTATATTGATTTCATTAGCTGCTCAGAAAGTCCTGTCAGGCTATTGAGTGGCATATAAATTTGAATGAATGAATGAGTGGTATGTAAGAGCTGCCTTTACTTTTCATAGGGCTCCAGTATGAGCTAAGAACAAGCTGGTTTGCCCACCACCGCATGCAGAGTGGTCTATGCAACTCAAATGTGCTTGTTCCACTAGCTGAGCACAGATGGAGGGCCTACAGTTCTGTAACAGCACAGATGCTTTAACACAGAAACTCCTAGGTTTGGTTCCCGGCATCTCCAGTGTAAAGCTTTTGAGAAGCAAGGCTGAAGAGTTAATGCCAACGGGAGCAGGCCGTGACTGTGGGTCAAACAGGACCCCCAGTGCAAGATTCTGCAGAAGCCATACGCCTTTCCCACAACCCCACCCCTTTCCCCCGAAGGTTAACGCTGAGGTGGTTCCCTGTCTCCGAACAACCTCCCCCTTCTCTAAGATGCAAATGGGTCTCCCGGGGCAGCAAGGAGCTTCAAGCGCAACCGGCTGCCTCTGGCCGATCTCTTTGGCCTGCAGCTTCCCTGATTATGGGGAGTATCTCCAAAATGTGATTTGGCTGTTGGGCTGAAAGAAGACTGGCACTCCTGGAATACGCAAGACTGGGCTGGATGGTTGTGTGACCTGATTCAGCCTGAAAGAGCCCCGTGCACTGAACACAGCTGGTTCACACGGGTCACCTTTGCTTAGCTCAGTTTGCAAACCATCTTGCTTGGACACTTAACAGGCTCCTCACTGTAATGGCCAAAAGTCAAGCTGCCTGCCTTTACCCATCCTTTTCAGCACTACAAGGCCAAGCAACTGAATGGATGGGATTTAGGGTATTCTCTTCGGTTCATGTGGGTTGACAGGGAAGTCCAGAGCTTCAGGGACTCATATATGAACAAATACGATAAATTATTCCTGTGAGCAAGTCAGGCCATATGCACAAGGCCAAGCGAACCCAAAGCGACAGCAATTTGCTAGTCTGATGTGAGGGAATTTTTTCTCTCATATCCAGGTGTGGCAGAAATAACTCTTTTTCGGGACCTGCAGTAACGCCCAACTGCACCGTCTGAGGGTTGTGGATGTGGAGGAAGAGGGGACCGTGGGCTGCGGCCTGCCCCTCCCACCCCTGCACAGCAGCCCTCCGGGGCTCGGTGGCTTCACGTGCTCCTTCTGTTCCCACTAAATGCCATTTGTCTCTGGCAGGACCAGGGACCAACACAGGAAACCAGGAAAAACGCTTGCTGGAACCATTAGCCAAACAGGGCCATTCAGCACGGCTGGCCAAGGTCAGATGGAACCAGCAAAGTACTCCTCTTCCTCACTGCCCACCTGCTCTGGACAGAACGCATAGTCTGGATGCCAGCAAATCAAGACCCAGCTGCTCCCCGGAAGAAGCATGAGCTGCCTTCGCCCGCGCAGGCTCTTTGCGGCCTTTGCCAAGCCTTCTGGAATCAAGGCCTGCACATTTCCCCTTGACGAAAAGGGCAAGGGAGGAAATAACAAGTTGCACTGCGTAGAAGTACTTCCCCTCACATTTGAATGGCATTATTATTTTTAATTATAGGCTCTGGGAGGGGTAGTCTATTATTTGCTGGCTTTTTTGTGGAAAAATGTCTGTTCTTTTTGCATCTGCCTATTTGGAGCAGCTCGTCATGGTCTCGATCCCAGAAGTTTAAATCAGGGAAGACAGTGTGATTCTGGTCACCTCTAGGTAGAACATGGCAGGTGTTTAATCATTTCCAAAAAGGATGAATGATAGATTAAAAATGCTGCATCTAAACCTCAAGGATGGCAAGTGAAAGGAAGAGCTTTTCTGCACAAGGTTATTAATCTGGCATTTCTGCAGAACTGAGATCAAGGCCTGACACTGAGCATATTTTCTGTCCTGCTTTTCCTCTGTGTGACAGTAGCGCTGTGTTATTATGACACAACAACTTTACATGCATGGAAAATGTCTTCATCCGCATCTGCAAATAATACATTTCCCCACTCTAAAAAGCTTGCTGAAAGCGCTGCTTAAAAATAGAAGTGAAACCTGGAAGATGACGACATCCTCTAAAGCAGGGGTCCTCAAACTTTTTCAGCAGGGGGCCAGTTGAAAGGTGCCAGTGCTAGCTGCGGGCCGGAAAGGTGGCACTGGCAGTGCACGCGGGCTGTGAGGGGGCGGGGTGGGCAGGCGGGCGGGCGCGTGGCGAGGCGCGCGAGGCCGAGAGAGACGCGTGCGGCGGGGCAGGCGCACGAGGCAGCGGCTTGCTCACTTGGAGGTCGTTTTCTCCGAGCGAGCGAACCGCTGCCTCCTGCGTGCGGGGCGAGGTGGGCGGTGGCAGGTGCGCGCATGGGCGCAGTGGGTCCAATTGGGCATGGCGGGCCGGATAAATGGGCATGGCGGGCCGAATCCGGCCCCTGGGCCTTAGTTTGAGGACCCATGCTCTAAAGCGTCTGCAAACAACCATTAGTGAGGAATGCTGAGTGGGCAGTAAAAGGCCTCATGGAGAAAAGCTCGCAGGAACAGGGTGCTGAGCGCTTGCTTGGAACAGAAGTACAAGGAAGATAACAGGCTTGATTTTGGAATGGAAAACCATAAACAGGAAGGACTAGTAACTTGGAAAACAATGCAGATAGGAGCAGCTAACCAATGCAGAAACAGAGATACAGACATCTCTGGGATTCAGGAGGGAGGTGGCAGGATGGGAGCTCAGCAAGGACAAAAATGCATCAGTCCAGGTAAATTACAGACCAAGCAGAAAAGAGCAGAAGGGCAGGCGATGCCTTAAGTATGTCGTGAGGGGAGGAAAGGTGGAACTTGGGAGAGCGGAGAAGACAGAGCGGAGGTCAGGGAGAGCTCCAGGTTGGCACGCCTGGAAGGACGGTGGCACTGTGCCCGCCCTGAAGGAGAGAGCCCAGGCGCTGCTCATTCAGTGTCGGGGCTGGATGAGAATCGTGCTTCTTTTACCTCTGATCCCTTCTCAGGACTTTGGCAATCACTGTGAGATGAAGACGTGGATCCTCCGTTCAGCTGTTAGGGATGGAAACAGGGTGTGTATTTATTACCAGAGATGGGTTTGGGCTCCTGGGATGGCTAAGGTGCTTTGGTCAGCTGGAGAGCAAAGGTTCTTGCAAATGTGCTATTGCCAACTGGAAGCGCACGTAAAGAGATGGACGAAGAGGAGGGCAGCCAGGCCAGTGCAACCCCACCCGCCCCGGGTACCAGCTGCACCTAATCTTCAAGCTGCTTCCCAGTCCGAGAGTCGTGGAATCCTTTCAAGAGAGGCAGTGCACTTCACAGAACCGATTCTCTCATCAGGTACGGCCCCCTCACTTGATCTGCAGCAAATGATTTCATGTTATGGCCCTTCAGCTTGGGAAGAAAGAGCTGGAAGTGCTGGTGGACGCTTGCTGAAGTCACAGAAAGATGGGGCGGAGCAGCCAGATGGGCTGCGGACAGGAACACTTTGCGGACTCGGCAGCCATGCCTTAAGTGCGTTGCCCAAGGCAGAGGCTTGGCCCTCCCCTCTGGGCACCCACTCAGCCAGCCAAGCAGGTGCGCCAGCTACTCACCCGCCTCTGCGCGGAGCCATTGGTCACAGGCTGAGGAAGGCCGCCTGGGGAGAGAGCAGACACGGCACCCACGTGAAAGTTCGTCCTGCAGAAAAGCTGGTCATAGACCGCGCCTGTCGGCCCGATATGCCTATCCCGCCATTTTCCCTTCCCACCCCCTGCTCTCAGTCCTGTCCCCACAACAACAGTCCTGTGAGGGAGGCTGGGCTGAGAGAACGTGTGAAGGGGACACACCGGGCCCCAAGTCCCCCAGTCGTGCCATGGCTGAGTGTGGAGTAGAACCCGGATTGCCCGAGGCCAGTCCCTAACTGCTGCACTGCTTTCAGCCTCCGGGAAGTGGCCTTCTGCTCTGTGATACCCTTAGCAGGTGGAGCTATTGCAAGGAATGGGCCTGTGGCACGGAGGGACGGGGACCTCAGAACATGCCTCTGACTGTGTCAGGTAGCCCAGTGCTGCTGGCACGGACAGGCAGCAACGGCTCTGGCAGCGGTTTTCTGAGCCCTGGGTTGCCTCCGAGACCCTCTTCATGCCAAGCAGGGGCTCTGTCCTTGAGCCATGGCCCCTCCCAAACACCCCCTCAATCTCTTCCCCATGGTTCTGAAAGGTCTTCCTCTGCTTCCATGATGGGCGAGTTCTCACACTCTGCCCGAAAATCTTCCCTTGGCAGCTTTGAAACTGCAAAGTCATGTGCACCCATCTCTATCCTTTGGCCTCCTCAGAACTGGATCAGTCCATCCCGCAGGTGGCAACTGGCGTGAGCTGGGCCCCCTCTCATGGTGGGCATGTTGTGAGCGGAGCTGGCTGGAGCTGGGGGTCAGACTAGATGGCCCAGGAGGCCCCGACTGACTCGCACTGTTTCCATGTTTCATGGGGGGATTTCCTAGCCTTCCTGGGCTAGGTGTAAGAGAAGAGCTGCCTTCGAGGCGGGGGGGGGGGGTACGTGTGAAGTGTTCACATGGCGATGGAGCAGCACTCTTTGCCTTAGTACCTGGAGAGCTGTTTGAGCACAACCAGGGAGGCAAATCTCTTCCAGTTTCCCTTCCCACATGCCTATTTCTTATGCTTGCACTCTGACTGTGTAGGAACTGTGTAGTATCTATGATGTTGAGGGAGGGAGGGAGGGAGGCCAACCAGCGACCAAGGCCTCTTGAGAGCACTGCCAATTGCGTGGTGTTCGTATTATTATGCCTGTAACGGGTGATGGATACAGGGCCATCCTTGGAAGGGCAGCTCCAAATACTGGCTGGGGAACCTTTCATCCACTGGGTGGAGGGACCGTTTGGGCTGCAACCGGGAGGAGGGCCTCTGCTGCAGCCGCCATGCCCTGGACACCTGCAGGCTAGAGGGCGGCGACGCACGCCACGTGCGGTGGCCTTCACAGGCGGCTGGGAGGCTCCGGCTGGCGCAGTCATTGCGCATTTCACCACATGCGTAAGCACTCGGATGACGCCTTGCCTCAAAGTGAAGGAAGGAGCTGGGTCCTTAAGAGCGTCTGCACGCAGCTCAGAACGGCAGAACTGAGCTCCAGGAGTTTCAGCGGGACCCTCAAATGACTTCCCCGCTTCCTCTTGCCTGCAGCTCAGCAACGACTTGCACAGCAAAGCTGAAGACGCGCCACAGTGAGGGAGCGCATTTGAGCGCTGCCGTCAGCATCTTGAAGCTGCGTCCCAACATTCGCGCTTGCTCTGCCTTGCTGACGGCTCCTCCAGGGGAGAACGGGCTGCTTCTACCTCAGCCGTCTCTGGCCCTCTGCACCTCTTCTCTGCTGCTGCGCCCGGCATCTGACACCTTCCCCGGCTCCGGACCCCTGAACCACCCCAAGCCATTCTTTGGGATGTTTCTCTCCACTGAAGGCCAGGAAGAGACAGCCCAGTCTGCAGGCCAGCACTTGGCGAGGAGAGGAGGGGAGGGGAGGGGAGGGGAGGGGAGGGGCGGGGAGGGGTGGGCAAGGCCTGCTGGGTGACATGTGGTGACCTGCCCTGTCCAGACACCAGACTCCAGTGCTGCAAAGCCAGCTGGAGTGGAGTGGGATCCACAAGGGTCATGGGCATTCATGCTCATTAAGAAGGCTAATTACAGTGGCACCTCGGCTCACAAACGCCTCAGTTCACGACCAAATCGGGTCGCGAACAGAACTTTCAGGAAAAAACTGCCTCAGTGCATGAACTCCGCATCGGGTGGCGACCGCGATCGCAGCCAGGTTGCCACACGAGCACAGCTGCGATCGCGGCCACCTTCCCTGCGTGAGTGCGCCCGCGAGCACGCCGGGCTCCCCCCGCCCAGCACAATCGCGCCGGGCTTCCCTCCACGAGCGCGATCGCCATCGCAGCCATCGCCCCCCGCCAGCACGATCGCCGTCACATGATTACGGTTTGGACTCTCCCTCCAAACAATAACCGCCCCCCCACCTAGGTTAATGTTCTCCCCTGCACTGTTCTTTGTCACGTTGTCTCAAATTTTTGTGATTAAAACAATATTTATAGAACGAATGAACCTTATTTACATTGAACCTTATGGGGGAATTTGACTTGGGGTCGCGACCAGAGTTGTGGAATGGATTAAGTTCGTGAGCCAAGGTACCACTGTATTGTTGCTTTGCAAGCCGTTACTCTTCACTTGCGCCTGACACCAGCCAAGCATGAGGCAAGCGACTGCTGCTTCATTTGCTGAATGTAGGGACTCCGACCCACCAGAATTCTATGAAACCAAGGGCAGTTACGCAGGCACTCTGTGCATGCTCAGAGCAACTCTCCTCTCTGACAAGCCTGGACATGCAAAGGGAAGCCACTTCAGCCAAAAGACTGCACATTTTTTTTCCAGAAACTGCTTCACCAAAGTGTGGAAGAGTGTGGATTTTGGTATATGGCTCTGTCTTTGCTCCCTTATTGGCTCAGAAGGTGTGAATTTCATACATTCATATTGAAAATGTGACAGAGCGGGTTCTCACCCATCCCGAATGCTGCCAGGTGTGCCTCTGTCTGCCTGTGCTTATGGCATTCGTGTATTACCATGTATTACATGCACCGTTAGAGCAGAACTCAACACGACAGCAACACACGTCTGCATCGAGTCCTGCTCCTCTGTGCCGTGCAGTAAACCTTTGCCCACATCCCGCATTCGGCCATCAGCACCCTTCTGGCAATCACTTGGGAGGGATGAGGGCAAGGGAGGACACTCCATGGTCACACCAAGGCACAAGTTTTATCGTGTTCCAAAGCAGGAGAATTCAGCACTCTGTCTAACAGCAGCCTTGCTTTTTGTGACATCCCGTTCCATTCTTGAAAGGTATTTTGATAGTTCTGCCATTCCAACAGGGATGGAGCATCCAAAGGGGGGCTCAGGACAGGGGAACAAACTAGCTTCTCAAAAAGGGGTCCTGGGGAACAAGAACCACCTCGAGCAGCCCAGCGCCGGTAGCGGTGACAGTCTCGGGGCATGGACTTCATAGTCTCTGGGTAACCCCAGGAACGGACCTATCAGTCTGACTGACTGCACAGGACTGTTGAAAAGACAGTATGGAGAGGGACCATTTATACCGTGACCTCTGGCATTCAGTCAGTGACAAAAAAGCAGCCTGCAGTTAAGATGATTTGTTTTACTTTTCAAACCGAGAAAACGGATCGACCCACATCAGCCTTCTTGGCAGGCGCCTTCTGTCACCCTGAATGGGGGCCGCCCTGCAGCATGACGGTCTCACCTGTCATGTTCATTCTATTCCAAAATTACAGGCCCCCTTGCCCAATTCTGAGTCCTACTGTTAAAATGGTCTTTGGAGTTATGGCTGAAAGAAATGATGGGAGTTGTAGTCAAAAAGCATCTGAAAGGGCCTCTGATGTGGGAAGCATTCTAGATTTATCTGGCAAAGAACGGCAGAGCACTGGCGTGGGGTCAGGCCAAGGGTCTCCCTGGTATAGCCGGCAGCCTACACGCAGCTTCTAGCGCCAGTTCTTCCGCAACCAGCAATGCGCAAGCATCCTTCCTCCGGCCATTTATGCATTTGCTCATTACGTTTATCTCTGAATTTATCAAGGTGCTCCAGGTAGCACACAAGAAGCTCCTCCTCCATTTTATCGTCACAAAGACCCTGTGCAGTAGGTTAGGCTGAAAGTTAGTGACTTGCTCAAACTCACCCAGGGCGCCGAACAACTGGGTGGGAGTGAGGGCTTGAGCCTCCCGCATCCCAGTCCAGCATGCTAAGCACTATGCTGCCGTTCCCCCATCATGTACAGGAGGCTGGAGGAAACAATGGGCATGGTATTTCCGCAGCCTGTGGCCCCTTCCCCGCCCCGAGTGGCTTCTCTGGAGGAAAACCTCACCTCTGATGTGCTCCTCTGCAGGGGTTACGCTGAGCTTCCTGAAGTATTCATCTGTTTCGGGGTCCACGACCAGCAGCTTTGCTTCGTCCTCCTTGGACTTGATGTGTGACACCACCTCGGAATGCTTCATGCCTTCCACGTTGATCCCATTCACCTGGAGAGGAGACCGCCGGGGCAAGGGAGCAGGAAAGAGACTGAGCACCGGACGGCACGGGTTGGGCTGGCTGCCGCACTGAGTCCACACCAGCCCAGGTGGGAGGGCACCTGGGGCTCTGCTCTGTCTGCAGCTCAGCCTCAGCTGGACATCCGCTGTCCTCTGCCCAGGGAACTGAGATCCTGGGAAGAGGCGGTTGCCCCCCAGCCGCAGTTCTTCAAGGAAGCCACGCTAGTTACACTGCAGCTGCATGCAGCGAGTGTACATGCAGGAACAGTACTTTGTGTCGTTTCCACAAAGCCTGAAGTGCCCGAGCCTGCCCAGTCTTGGACGCTAAGCCGGGTTGGCCTTGCATGAAATCTGGATGGGCGATGTCACATGTCGCAAGTTGCCTGGAGAGCTTCGGCCACAGGCGGGACAGTAATGTGCCACAACGAACATATTCAGAGAACGTTTGCTTCTCCCTCCAAACCAGGCCACTATGAGAACTTCCGAGGCCTGTCTGAGATGATGGGAAGCATTTCTCCAGGCCCCACAAACTACCCAGGTGAGGCACCCGCCAATTCTGATGCCACATCAGCCCACAATGTGCGTCCAATCTGGCCACTGTATGAGCTCAACATGGCTGGTTTCCCTGCTGATGGAATTGAAGGGTTCATTTAATGAATTCATTTTATAATGTTTTATGGATTTTTATGTATTTTACTTAATCGTATTTTTAAATTGTTGTAAACCAACCAGAGAGCCATGTGGTTATTGTGACAGTCTATAAAAGCTTGAAATTAATTATTTTTTAAAAAATACTGGGGAGTTAACATGCCTGTCATGTGGCAGTGTGGATTAGATCAAGGGGCTGGATTTTAAGACTACAGAACCAAAGCAGAGATGCAGATCCAGCTGCAGCATTTATTGCAACCCCCAAAATACAAAAATCCAACCCCACCCCCAGTATGTGCATTCAAGTATAGAACAAAAGCTCAAATGTCTCCCAGAACAAAGGAAGCCCCGGACAGAGGGACTCGCTCTGCTGTGATCAGGGCTACTTTAGTTGAGGGCTGGGGGGAATTCACTGGGCTGGGAGCTTCCGCCACAATTGCTGCTTTTTGTCAGCCAGGAGAATGGGGGGGGGGGGGGTCACTTGGCGTGCTCTGTTGTCATTCATCACCTGGCAACAGAGAGTAATTAGCCAGTTCCTCACCTTGCGTGCTGCTTTTTCTACTGCTTTTTTCTTAATTTGGGGAAGTACACATAGAAATAGTCATGCACTTAAATGAGGGGTTTGGAGAAAGAGCAAGCCACAAATCTAACCTGGGCTGTGGCCCCACACAGATCGCCTGCGGAAACCTGCCTGCGGCCAGGCTACGCTCTGCCCCCCGAGGTGCCATGCACTGCAAAAACCAAGCCAGGGCCCGAAACAAGCATCCAGCTGTGGATTTTGCGGTTGCGCATTCTCAAGTTGTCTCCATTTATGGTGACCCCATTTCTTTCACCTTCTGCTTTTTGCCTGTCCTTAAGAATTGGAGTGTGCCTTCAGTCATCCATCTAGGCTTTTTAAAATTATTATATTATTGGCAACAGGAATTGTCATTTGTGAAGTCCGAGACATTAGGAAAGAATACAAAAAGAATTTCTAGTTCATGGTCGGTTGAGTTCAGTAATGAAAACCTGTCTTCAAAATCTGTCTTATGTGGACCTCAAAATCCTCCGGAATGTTAAGCTGTATTTTGGCACTATGCTTCTCTTGGTGATCTTTTCCAGCGTTACTCTAATGTTTGTTCTTGGTCTTGTTCTGCTCCTGGTTCTGTTCTGGCAACAAGAATACTGGTTCTCCATCACTTACTGTAATTATGTAACCAACTTGATTTCCATGTGGGTCATCCAGTGATGCCCACGTGTCATCCAACTGGTTGCCTGAAGTCTGTACTAGCAGTAAGCAGAGGGTTGGCTTCACAGAGTTCTGTGAGGCTTCCTCCCGCTTCGTTTCTTACCCCAAGGTCAAATTCTCCCACAACACTGGATTATGCCATGTTTCCTGCTTGTACATTCCGGTAACCTGTGGCGACAGCACCATTTGTACTTCCCAAGCAGCAGGTTGAGTGCCTTCCTGTCTGGGAGTCTCATCTTTTGGCCCTACCCCTTGTTTCACTTTGGACTGTTTCCCTGTAGGGCTTCAAGATAAAAAGATTTTTCAGGCAACCATTCAGAAGTGGCTTACCGCAGCCTCCCTCTGCACAGGACTAACCAGAGTCAGCCTGAAAGATCCTCCACTCGTGTCGCCCTCAGCTATTGCTGCCCTTCAGGAGTTTCTCCACCCATCCCCATTAGTGCGACCCCTTCTCTTCTGCTGCAGAGACCATTCCTCCTTCACAGGGCGGACGCCTCTTAATCTGGTGCCTCTGCTTTGACCGTTCCACCGTTCCACCCTGCTAGGAGGCCACACTAGAGAGAGAGGCACTGTATCGCTTCCCTGACACTCTCAAAGCCCCTCTCCATGATCAGGTGTGCACCCAAGAGGGGGCCTTTTTCTTCTTAAAACATGGGCATGCCAGTGCCTCTTCAAAGGTTTCCTGCAGTCCAGAACGGGATGTGTCCAGTGCAGTCCCAGTGACTAGAGGGAAGGACCTTGGCTGTTGAGTTGATAAATAAATAAATAAATCTGGCTCCCAGTTTATATTCTCCTGATGATCATATCCCAAAGATGACTTGAAAAGAAATCCTGAAGTTGGTATATGTAAGTTTATTTTATAAAATTGTAACTATATATATTTATATTGTCCACGATCTGCACAGGGTTATGATGTGGTTCTCTATACTGCTTGAGCGAGTGAGGATAAATTATCAAAAGGCAGAGGCATTCATATTTCCTGGGGGATAAAAAAACAACGCCAGTCCATTAATGGTCGGTGCACTGAGCAAGTGACCACTTACAGCTACCTAGGCATCACTTTCAAGCCTCTTTTAACCAAGCAAGGCAGAGAGAGCTTTCTGTACAGAGCCATGTGCCTTCAGTGGAACAGGGATATAAAAGGAAGGTAACCAGGTGGTATCCAACTGCAGCGTATGAGTATGAATCAGGAACTGGGACATGGTCATGCTAAATGTTTGAGAAACATGTTGTGTAAAGAACATAGCATTATAATTAGAAGATGAGTCCTTTTTATAGACACATTGGTGTGGATCTGTGAATTTAAATTTGAGCATGTGGCTTCAAGCTCTCTGGCATGGATGTGGGCTGACAGCTGCGCCTGCCCATGGCAGAAGTTAATTGTTAAAGACAATCTAACTAGCTTATCACTAAACCAGTTAAAACAATAGAACTTCAGTGAGGTAAGATGACAATCAATGATAAACTATTGGATATTGATTTTCGTTGGCACTCTCAGAGGCAAACACTGTGAATGGGGCAACAGAACAGAAGTGGGGCAACTGCTGAAGTGGGGCAACAGAACAGAGATCAGAGCAGGCACTGGCAAACCACTTCCAGTTTCTACCTATAGGAAAATACCAGAAAGCATTTCCAGCTCTTCCTTTTCATTGACTTCCATCATCAATCATGGAAGGACTTTTTTGAAAGTTCCACTTGAAGTTAGATTGTGTCATCATTAATCTGGACAAGTTGAACAGTGGATCGTGTTTTATTGGAATGAAGATTTTTAAAAAAATGTTAGGGCCCATTTGTAACTCTTATTACAGTGGTACCTTGGCTCACAAACTTAATCCATTCCAGGACTCTGGTTGTGACCTAAATTGGTTGTGAGCCAAGTCAAATTTCCCCATAAGGGTCAATGTAAATAAGGTTAATCTGTTCTGCAACTATTTCTTTTACTCACAAAAATTTGAAGCAAAGTGACAAAAAACAACAAAGATCATGGCCATCTCCAGCCCCCCAGCGATGGGCTTGGGCGTGGGCACGCTCAGGCAAGGAACACAAGCACAATCACGGCCATCTCCTCCCATACTGCCCAGCATGACCGTGATCGCGCCCGTGCAGGGAAGGTGGGCCGCTCACAATTGCCACCCAGTGCAGAGTTCATGACCTGTGGCAAAATTTTTATGAAATTTCTGTTAGCGACCTGATTTAGTAGTGAACTGAGGTGTTTGTGAGCCGAGGTACCGCTGTACTTCCTGGAAGAACAAATGCATTTTATATTTCGCAGCTGTCATCTGGCAGAAATAAGACTGAACTAGAACAAAGGGCAAAATAATCTCATTACAGGAAGGATATAGCCAGGTTAGAGTCAGTGCAGTGTAGGGCCACAAGGTTGGTGGCCGGTTTGAAGGGATGGGGTATGAGGCGAGACTGAGGGAACTGGGTCTCTTCAGCCTGGAGGAGACTCAGAGGGGATCTGTTGGCGACACACAGGCATGTGAGGGGGTGTCACACGGAGGTGGGTAGAGACCTGTTCTCCCCTGCAGAGGAAGGCAGGATGCGCTCCAACAGAGCAAAGCTCAGGGAACCCAGGTTCCACCTGGATGCCAGGAAGCAATTCCTGACAGTCAGGACCCCGAGGGGGTGGAATGGGCTTCCACGAGAGGTTGTTGAGGCCCCATTGGTGCGGGTGTTCAAGGACAGGCTGGATGTGCACATGGTGGGCATGTTGTGAGCGAAGCCGGCTGGAGCTGGGGGTCAGACTAGATGGTTCGGGAGGCCCCTTCTGACTCGCTCTGTTTCTATGTTTCTATACCTTGCCCCAGCTATTAAGCTATCAAGATGAGATCACAAATAATTATGGGCAGTTAGTTAATGTTACTGAGAGAAAAATGTACTTTTTATGTGACACATATGTATGCTTTTATTCAATTTTTAGGGAGGACTCCTCATCCCATCTAGGTGTTTCATTCTACTTTGTTCTCTATTTTAATACTCTTAACCGTTGTTTAATAATGCTTTAATATCGGTTGCACTAATAACGAACTGCTTTATTTATTATATTAATACCCCGCCTTGTTCCCTTCGAAGGAACTCAAGGCAACTTGCACAATGCCCGCCTCCTCCCCACCTTCTCCTCACGCAACCACCCTGTGAGGTGGGTTGGGCTGAGGGGAGTGACTGGGCCAAATTCACCCAGTCAGCCCACGGCCAGGTGGGGACTAGAACTGAGATCTTGAATTCCTGAAAACTTCATGTGAGCTTCTGCTACTTCCACAGCCCTGCCTGTGATTTGTGGCATTTGGCCTGTTCAGTTTTGCTGCCATGGCCCCAAGAATTGTAAAATAGTAGAGTTGGATGGGGCCTACAAGGGACCACAAGTTAAAGTATCTCGAACACGTGGCTGCCCAACTGCCTCCTGGATGCCTCCCGTGTGGGTCCCTGGTTCAATTGCTGGGCTGCTCTAACAGTCAGGACAGTTTTCTTGGTATCCAGCGGGAACCTGGTTTCCATAGGACACCCACCCCTGCTTTAAAGAGATGCCTGGTGATTTCTAGAGCTGCATACGAAGGTGGCATGTGGAGGGCAAGATGAAAAGAGAGCAAAGGCCGGGCAAGGCAAACAGAGTAAATTAATATGCTTCCCTTTTCCCTAAGAGGCGAAGCCCCACCGACAAAAGTCCTCCAAACAGAGGAGCTGTTGAGCATCAAATATTTATGTGATATTTAACAGAGCAAGGCGCCTGGATCAGGTTTCTGCATTCCACAAGTCACCTCTTCCTTTTTTGTGTGCTCCAGGAAATGTGCCAGGGGTTGCTAAATTAATAATAAAAGGCCTATCAGTGACATATTGAAAGTTGAGAGAGAAATCTTTCTTCATGCAGTACCTATGCCCATGCTTACAGCCCCCCCGCTCCCGCTGAAAGAGAGAGAGAGGGAGAGAGAGAGAGAGAGAGAGGGAGAGAGAGAGAGAGAGAGAGAGAGAGAGAGAGAGAGAGAGAGAGAGAGAGAGAGAGAGAGAGAAATTCATTGATTCATTGCAGGCATTAAAGATGCAGGTGCCAGGAGAAAAAGACAGCTACACTGCAAATTCAGGGATAGTCCCTGTACCACAGGTGTTGCCACAGAGAGGGCAAGTAGAGGTCACAGCAGAACCTCTGCTGTCCAGCTGTCGCTCCATCTTTTCTCTCAGAAGGAAAGACATGAGCAGCAGGCACTGCACTTTTCATTTCCTGCCCCTTGGTACAGAACGCCTGTAAGCCTAAAAAATCAAGACAACCTAATGCATGAGTTGCACAGTCTTGCTTACCTACCTTTAACTTAGCTTTGCAGAAGTTTGCTGGGAGTGCCATAATGTTCTGGCAGAAAACCAATTCGCTAAAAATAACAAGGCCAAACTACACAGGCAGGTCACCTCAGGCAGCAGATTTTTGATGCTATTAAAGAGCTGAATTTGATCCTTTTAATCTATCTGAGCAATGGGTGCAGTTTGCTTTTTTTTAATTGCCTGGACGAAAAGATCTACCTAATGGCGCAGCTCAGTGAAACAATCACAAACAAGTGCACAGCCTCTGCAGCTGCGCCTTGTGTTCTTACGAATGCAGAGGGTCATGTTTGCAAATGCAGGATTGTCCACGTAAAATTTTCTTTATTGTTTGCATGATCATTGACTCCAGAGCCAGGATCTCCAAAAATGCCTCTTCCTCTTGTCACCCCGGGGTGTATAAGCAAACTCGGGACAGCTGACCACTTGTGGGCCTCTACTGCAGAGAAGCTGTGAAACAGCAGAGAATATACTGGTTCCCAGCAGGGCCAGCCCAAGACAAGGTTTGGTCACTGAGGTGGAAAGCCAGTGTGACCAAGTGGTCAGTGCTGGGCTCTAAACCAGAATTCTCTAACACAGAATCTCATCTAATCTGCCTTACAGGACTGTTGTAGAGATGTGATGGATATCTGTTAATTCTTCTTCTTTTTTCCACCACAAGGCAGCATCTCTCTGGGATTTGATTAACTGAGCTCTTTATTTAGGCATTTTTATCCTCCCCATCAGCAGTACCATGCCTACACAAGGAACTATACTTTGGTTTCTCTTCTGGAGTTCATTTTCCGATGGCCGAATTATCTACGTGCTGCTTTATTTACTTCCCTTCTGTGTATTTTGTTTGCTCCTTCTTTCTGCTGCTGTTTTTTATTTTGAGATGTGGGGCGTGGAGCAAGTGTGCTTGGGGTCAGTCCCTTTGTCCTGGCTGGCAGTTTAGGGGCACCTGCCTGGGCTACAGAGGCTCCACACAGGCATTTAGTATTGCCCAGTGTTACTCCTCCCCGGCGAGCCAGCTTCTTCTGTAACGGTTGCTCAAGAGCATCCTCCATTCCGCAGATGTTTGCACGTTCAGCCCTGGGGCACAGTGCTTCCTTGCCCTTTAGTCAGCTCTTGTTCTTGTGCTCAGTTGCCAGTCTCTGCTCATTCTTCTTATTTCTCTCCTTATCATTATAGTGAAATTAGCAGTGAACCTGCCCTGAACAAGAAAGCAATAAAAGGGACGTCCTGTAAGCAGGAAGCCCTTGATGAGAAGGGACGACAACCCTGCCCAGCTGGGGCTTGAGCTGCAAGCGCGTTTTCGGTGGTGGCAACGAAAGGCTGCGAACCGGGGCTGGGAGCCATGGCCGGGTCGCACCGGAAGTGCCAGGCCAGCTGGGGGGCTGCCCTGGGACAGGGCTCCCCACGCAAAGGGTGCCGATGATATCCTTGCAGAGGGCTTGTCCGGAAGCAGCCCAGCCCTCCCGCCATCCTGTTACCTCAATGAGCCTGTCCTGTGGTCGGAGTCCTGCCTTGGATGCTGGTGAATCAGGGTCTACAGAGCGGATGAACTGCCCAGGCCGGGACTTCTCACTGTGGAGGTTGAATCCATAGCCAGTGGGGCCTTTCTGGAGATGGCAAAGCCGTGGGCACAGAGGCTCCTTGGCTTGCCCATTCACATCCTGAATTGAAAGAAGAAAAGGCATTGTTGCGTGCCCTCCCTTTTACCTTTTGTTTTGCACTTCCTCCCTCTCTCTTTCCAATTAAGCATGGGCAATAGCAGTAAGAAGAAGTACAAGAGACCAGCCCTGGACAGGAGACACCCACCCATTCCCAAGGGCAAACGGACAGATTATAAATAGACAATTGGAGGAAATGCACTTGATAAAAACCAATTGTCCAACCCCATTCTGCCAGAATAAATTTAATACGCTAGTTAAATGAAAAAGGATAAAATTAGATATACACATTCAATCCCCTCACACACTTCAAGGATGCCTGCCTGAAGGTTCTGAAATTAATCCAATAACCTCTTCGGACACTCTGAAAAATGGAGGCCAGAGGAAGGAGGCAAGTACCAGAGCAGGCTGCCTGTCCTGAGTAAAATGAAACAGGTGGACACTGAAATAAAAGTGAGCTTCTGTCCCCCGTGGATTTGGTTGCCAAAGCCATTGCCTTCCTCAATTCTGTTCTCACTCCTCTTCCTTGCTAAACATTTCACATTAGGTCTAAAAGTTAGAAGCAAAATAATTGTTACTAAATTAAACTGGTATTACACAAATGTAACAAATTTGCATTACATGTTTCAATTGCAAAGGTTTATTTTTCTGCAAAATCATACACAGCAAGGCACACTTTAGAACACAAAATGTTCCACGTTCTGTAAAATCAGAAGATTTGACTGTCCTGGGTTTGGTCTTTCTAGAATGATCTGCAACAACAACAACAAAATCCGAACTGTGATTAGGGAAAAGACACGGAGGTTGGCAATCTGCGGCGAGGAGTTGCTAGAAGCAGCAGCTTTCTGCACCTCAGCCGATCTCCCTTTCACAGCAGTGTGGTTTTCCGGTGAGCTAACCACACTCGCCACAAGCAGAAAGGAACCAGGCAGCCTTTTTGCGAGGGGCCCTATCCATGCAGAGTTAGATCCACTGAGGCAACTCCTCACTCACCTGAGCTTCTGGACTTGCTGAAGAGCCACACACACGCCACCCATTTTCTTTTCTGTTTGCAGAACACGTCGCCCATGCAGTTGAAAATGGGCATCAAGTACGGCAGACAGAAAGCTTATGCAGGCAACCTCCACCCGAGGGCTGCCCAGCACGTTGCCCCCTGCCTGGCCAAGCCAGAAGGATGGTGTCTGCCCCAGCAAAGATTTGCGTCTCTGGTGTTTCCAAGGAGCAGCTGTCTCGGCTCAGCAGAGCTGTTTCTGCAGCTGCAGTACTTCCCAGCTGCTCCCACAAAGCAAGCAGAAATCTGTAAAGGAAAGCTTGAGAGAACCACACTTTGCCCCCAGGTAAAATTTCCTTGCACATATAAGCTGGAGGGGGGGGGGGGTGGAGCAACAGGAATGCATGAGCCCCTCTCGATTAAGGCAGAGCAGAAGGCCTAGCACGGAGCAGCCACCGGTCCCAACAGCCCTTGCCCAGGAGTCCTACAGACCACAGGGCAGGTTTTTCTCCTTTCCTGAACCTAGAAAATAGCACCAAGCGCTAAATCTGGCAAAGAGCAGACACTGCATCCCTGATTCAGGAATAAAGGCTTCCCGCAAGGCGGCAGCTTTCCAGCGCTTGTCACAAGCACGGCTCCCTTCTGCCAGTGTCCTTGCAGTTGGTGCTTATGGGTACCAACTTCCCCCATGGGGGTCTGCCCCCCTGCCCCAGTACGTTTTAGCTAGTGGGCATAGCAGCTGCGGGAGCAGGAAATGGACAAGCGGAGTAGCATTTTTTAAATGTCCCCGTCAATCTTTTTTGGGGTGGGGGGGTCACCTTTCCACTATTGCCATGATAGCCCAATTTCCATTATATAGTCTGGTTTTAGATCAGCATTTTGGATAAGAACCAGATTTCAGGGAGCTGGTGTTATATAGTGGTGAGGAGCGCAGGACTGGGACTCGGTGGCCCGGCTTCTAGTCCCCGCTGCTCAGCCCTGGAGCCAACTGGGGGACTTGGGCCACCACAGCCTCTCAGCCTGCCTTCCTCACAGGGTTGTTGTTGTGGGGCTATGATGGAGAGCGGCAGGAGAATGATGTAAGCTGCTTTGAGCTTGTTGTAAAAAAAAACAGTGGGATATTACTCGAATAAATAAATGAGATTTTAACCTCAGAAGAAAGCACTGCTAAGTTGGTCGTGACTGGAAAGACACCAAAGATTTTTTAAATCATTTATTTAACTTGTACTATAAACCTTCTTTCATTTAAGCACATTACACTGATAAAGTGTTTTAAGTGCAATAGTTATAACATCAGTTAAAAAAATTTCTAGGGGAATAAAAACAGCATCCACCCAGGTATGCACTGAAAGGGCCCCTCTTGGGAGGATGGAAGAAGAATTCCAAGAAACAATGGCGATTGCTCTTTCCGTTTTGTTTTATTATTATTATTATTATTGAAAGGTTGACTGACAAATGGCAACAGTGTCATGTTGTGTGGGTACCCCCATAAAGAGCAGGGAAGCAAGGCCCAGTGATTCCTAACTAGCAAGGGAGCACCCATGTCTCCTGGGAACCTGCTTTCCGCCTCTCCCAGGGGCCACAGAGGTAGAAGACTGGGCCCATCTAGCCCCGGACAGCCCAAAGCACTGGATGGCGGCCTCGCCACTGGCTTAGGCAAGAGCTTTTTATTTATCTGCTTATTTGTGAATTTATATGCCACTCACTAGTCCAAACAGATGCTCTAGCCAACGTACAGTAAACGATGGTACCAATGCTAAAAACAGTAACAATAATAAAAGCAATTATAGATAAAGTCACAATAACAAAATAAAAAATACACCAGATAAGCAGGACCACAAGTTGTTACCCTAGATAACAAATCCCAAATCAATTACAGTGGTACCTCCGCTCACGAACGCCTCAGTTCACGACCAAATCGGGTCGTGAACAGAAATTTAATAAAATTTGGCTGCAGGTCACGAGCTCTGCACTGGGTGATGATCGCGAGCGGCCCACCTTCCCTGAATGGGTGCGATCGCGGTTGTGCCGGCGGAGGGGATGGCCGCGCTCGTGCTGGGAGGGAGATGGCCGTGACTGCACCCATGTTTCCTGCCCAAGTGCTCCCTCACCTGCCCCCCCCATGCCTCCCCCTGCACGCCCACGATCACGCCCGCCTCCCCCTCCCCGCACAATCGCTGGGACGGGGGAGATGGCTGCGATCTTTGTTGTTCTTTGTCACTGCTTCACATTTTTGTGAGTAAAAAAAATAGTTGCAGAACGAATTAACCTTATTTCCATTGACCCTTATGGGGAAATTTGACCTGGCTCATGACCAATTTGGGTCACGACTAGAGTCCTGGAACGGATTAAGTTCGTGAGCCAAGGTACCACTGTATTAAAATACTCAGAGAAGAGAAATATCTTCACCTGGCACCAAGACAAGAACAACATAGGCACCGGGTGGATTTCTTTGAGGAGCCTATCGCATAATTGAGGGCAGCCACCAAGAAGACCCTTCTTCTGTTCACAGTCCCTTTCACCTCCTTAAGGGATGGCTCTTTCAGAAGGACCTCCTGCCCAGATCTTAAGGGGTGTCTGGGTGGGGACACGTGGGAGGCCCGGGAGATGCCAGGGGCTGAATCTGGGACCTTCCAGACACCAAGGAGGGGCTCTGCCACAGCCCTGGCCATGCCGTTTGGTCGCACCAAAGCCTCTGACTCAGAGCAAGACTGATGACATGCATTTTCCTCCCAGTCTGAACGGAGCTGGCGCCACCAGCCTGGTTCGCTCTGCCATGCGTGCTTCTGACTGACTATGGAGCTAAGGACACAGCTGGTACCAGATAAATATTTTAGAAACACATGATCATTGTTTCACTTTGCCAGAGCATTTTGGAACAAAAATGCTTTAATTGCAAGGCCTGGTTTTGCACTGTTGCTGTTGGACATAATTCAAAACAGTCACAAGGGGAAAGAGAGGGTGGGCAGGAGGGAGGCGTTTTCCAGAGTCCGGAAAACTTGCACGCACCATGCACCCGCACTCTTGTTCACTCACTAGCTAAGTGGGAACAAAATAACTTTGCCCCCAAGAAGAGCTCACTTAACCTGGGAATACTGTTTTAAGGTATGTCTAATAGGTCGGGTTTCTTCATTCAGCTTTTTTAAAAAACTGCAGTCCCCTGGATTTCACGCATGCCCTGCAGTCACACCACCAGTTCAGTTTTAAGAAAACAGACTGCTCCAATGCAGTGCCGTCCATGTGTCTGGGACTACAACTCCCCTCACTCCCAGCCACCATGGAGAATTGTTGGGAGCTGCCCACCCAGACGTCTGGAGGAGGCTGAGTTCAGGGAGGCTGGCCTAGAACGTCCAGCACGTCGTGTCAGACCCTGCAAATAAAGGCTGAGAAGCGGAGAGCGGCTGCCGAGCTGGTGGTCCCTTCAGCAGAGCTGCGATGGGAAGGGGGGACGGAGGGGAGCCCAAGCCACCTCTGCGTGGGTGGTCCTCTGGCCACCAACACGAAGGCTGCGGGGGGCAGTCATTGCGAAGGGGAGCGGGAGGACCGACTTTGTCCCCAGTGCAACCTTCTCCCCTTGCAAGAGGGCAAAGGGGACTCCAGATCCACCCTGTGCCCAGGTGCACAGCGTGGAAATTTGGATGGGCCACCCGCCACTGTGTACAAAAGGCTGCTGGACACACCAAGAGCGGCCGAGGGATAAAGGCAGAGAGAGCGCCAGCCCAGCAAGTATTTGTGACGCCTCTCCAGTTTTCCCCCGGCAGGCAAACCGTCTGGGTGTGAAAGTCCTGCCAATGCGCTCGGGGAACCAATGACATGCTGGCGGCAGCTTCATCTCCAGGACAATAGCACACTCAGACCCGCCCTGATTTGCACCTGATCACCCACTCCCGGCTCGAGCCACGTGCAGAAAGCAGCACGCAGGAAGACGCAAGAAGCTGTGTCGCAGGCAAAGCGCTTTTCAGCTCTGGCTGGAATTTAGATACTGAAAACAGACCATCCCTGAGCCGGGAAG